TTACAAATGTTTTTTTTTTTTTTTTTTTTTTTTTTTTTTTGAAAGTTTTCGAAATGTTTTTACATAACAAGTGTTCGTCTCACCTTTTTCAATAGCATAACATTTTGTTGTTTTTTTAATATTTTTATTTTGCTATTCCTTTTTTTTTTTTTTTCTTTTACACATTTTGGTCCTTTCCTGACCTTTTCATCATATAACATGTTCCAGGGTATTTTTCAGTTTGTGTGTTTCACTCTACGCTTATATAAATTATAACTACACTCAGTTTTATACCAATCCTTAATATCTTTGATTTGATGTGATTTGATTTGATTTGATTTGATTTGATTTTTTTTTTCTTTTTTTTATGCACATATCACCTGCACGGCAAGAACTTTTTTTTCTTTTTCCACAGCGGAACAGAATTACCCTCCATCTTAAGGCACAGCTCCATATGGGAATAGGTAAGGAGAATTGGGAAATTTGATTTATGTAACCCTCCACTACAGACAAGTGAATAGAAGAAAAAAAAAAAAAAAAAAAAAAAAAAAAAAAAAAAAAAAAAAAAAAAAAAAAAAAAAAAAAAAAAAAAAAAAAAAAAAAAAAAAAAAAAAAAAAAAAAAAAAAAAAAAAAAAAAAAAAAAAAAAAAAAAAAAAAAAAAAAAAAAAAAAAAAAAAAAAAAAAAAAAAAAAAAAAAAAAAAAAAAAAGAAAAAAAAAAAAAAAAAAAAAAAAAAGCTTGAACAAAATAGGAAAGAAAAAAAAAAAAAAAAAAAAAAGCTTGAACAAAACACAAAAAATAATACTGAACATAAAATTGCAATAAAGGACAGAAAGAGTTACAAGATAAAAAGAACAAATGAATCCTTGATATTGCTAAATTTTTTGAGTTATGGAAATACACGAAACATTTATTGCAAGACAGAGTCAGCGTAACGTGTGTATCAACAACCTTCACACTAATGTAGTTCCCAGTTTGAATAGTCTTGCCATTCCCACACGAAATAATCGAACAGAGCTTTAAGATGAGTAGAACACTGTTCAACCTGCTAGCTCACACCAAGTTTTACTTTGATAGGGTAAAAATAAGTTTCATTTTTTTTTCGAATGTGCTACTCTTTAATATTATTCCATTAAAAAACATCAAAATAAAAAATATTTCATTCAGATATGATTTCTTTAAAAAAACAATTGCCCTTTTCTTTAAAAAAATAATCACGCTTTTCTTTAAAAAAAATAAAATCAAAATAACAAAATGGAGAAAAAAGGAAATTCTCGTTGAGTCTATTAATTTATCACTTGACTGGGAAAAATATGAAACGCACAACTCGGATTACAACATATATGAAAGATTGATAAAAGGATCATTTAAAAATAAACTTCTCCACTCTGTTTTTTTGAAACTTTTTTTTTTTTTTTGTAAAATTATTTTTAAATATTATTGTTTGAAAGTTAACAAAGTGCAAATAAAAATATCATACAGCTATGTGCATAGACACGGAAAATATTGCCAAGATAATGATGCAAAATGTCAAACCAAAGGAAAGGCAAATTATTATTTGTGTTTGCACGACATTTCCCTCTTTCTGGATTCTTGTACAGTGTCTGCAAATGGGAATGCAGAAAATGTCCCAACAAGGGGAAAAAACTCCCCTTCGCCTGAACATGTTCAAGCGAAAAGCGAAGACAGCTATGGGGACATCGCTAGACAAAACGATACCGCTCGAAACAATCGAGATAAGGATAGTCTTAATCATAGTCATCTCCTATGCAGCAAAATAATCCTATGGAAAGAAAACAAAAAAGAAAAATTAGTTATTGTTAAAAATTTTTTTTTTCTTGTTCAGAAAAAAAAGGTTATTATTCCGCTTTTTTACCTGAACGGCAACGTATGCGAATTGAAAGAAATATTCACCAAATTGAATGGGAGCAACAGGAAGGACAATTTCCTGAAGGACTTGATAAAAGTAGTGCAGAAGGAGCATGCGAAAAACATTTTTTCTAGTTTCCACCACAGCAATGAAGAGAACAACAGTCATTTCATTTTTTCTGCTAATTTTTTCTTTTACATAAACACAATTCTTGTTAAGGCACATTTAGGAGATAACACAGTAGTAAAATGTACGGTGCGTAATCTATCGTTTGAGTCTAACGTTTGGGAAAAGGATCGTAGAAGGAGAGGAAACTCAAATGAGGGGAAAAGGATATGTTCACACAATGATAAGATACATCACTGGAACAATTTTAAGTTTTCGTTAAAATCCATGCTGACCTGTTCAGAAAAAAATGTAATTTCCATCAATGCGTTAAAAAATGAAGAATTAGGTAAATCCTTTTCCCTTCTGAAGAAAATGAAAAAATGTATCAAACAATACAATCCAAACAATGTGCAAGATGTATGTAATAATAGTTTTCTTTTTAAGAAAGAAACAAATGAAAATTGTATCCTTGAAAAGAGGAAAAAGAAATATCTCTTTTTTCTGCAAAAGGTCTGTGTAATTTCTGATGTTACAGAATTGATGTCCATTCAGGAGAGGTTAACAAATTTGTTTGGATTAGAATGTGCTAATAAAAAATCCATTGGTATTATTACTCTTTCTAATGATATGTCTCATCAGGACTATAACTTCCTAAACGGTTTATTCTTTGTGTGCATTAAGGATTTTTCTCTGTACGCAAATAAAAGTATAAATAAATTCCTTTTGCTGAAGTGTTTGCCAGTTATAAAGTATCCAGAAGAGGAATTACGATACGTCAAATCGGGCCATCTGTTGAAAGAAGAAATACTCAAAGTGGAAATTGAAGAAATGAGAAATTATGAAGATATCCCAATAGATTTGGAAGTAAGCTGGAAGGAAGAAGAAGAAGAAGAAGAAGAAGAAGAAAAACGGATAGGACCAAGTTCTCAATTCGACACAACTTGTGTGGAATGTCTTGATAGGGAAAAAATTAAAGTAGAGGAGGAAAGCTCCAATTTTTACCTGAACAAGGTCATGTTAAAATCGGCATATTACCAAAACGATGCTATTCACGAATACGCCTTAAGTGACAAAATGGATATTATTTTAAAGAGAGAAAAGAAGAAAGAACAACAGGAAAGAATTACAACAATTTATGTGAATAAGTCCACTTGGTATTTGTCACCAGAACACATTAACTACATTTACAATTTATATTCAATATACAACTCCAGCTTAGGACAAAAAATGTATCACTTCAGGAGTGGACTATTCAGGAGTAGACTATTCGGGAGGGGGAAAAATAGAATCATTGATCCTATGAATAATACAAGTTCTTCTAACCAGTACATAAACATCATAAATAGAAACTGTCAGGTAAATCTTTTTTGCATTTCGTGTACCTTCGACACATATAAGAGTGTCTACCCGAACCTCCTTTATGCAGAAGTGGGAACTGAAAAGAGGGAATCCTTAGATATGCAGCACCAAACAAGTGTTAGTATAACCTTCAATTTGACATACATTCGAAAAATTACATCTAAAAGTAGGACTCATTTTAAAGCAAATAAAATCTACTGCAACTACATCTATCTCAGAAATGTGAGTATTGAGTTAAAAGAACTTACAAATCGCTTGAAACATATATGCACTTTTAAAAAACAAAACATTAATATGTGCAGAGGTCGTAATAGACAATCCAGTAGCACATGTAATAATTATGATATTATTATAATAGTGAAAGGGAGAAAGGTGCACATAAACATGTGCAATATGGCAAAGGTTACATTCTTGAATTTAATCATATACGAGTTGTATGCGTCTCTGGGAAATTTTCTGAATCTGAACAGTGGAAAGGAGGAATTAAAGAATTGTGTTAAAAACAGCAAAAGGAAAGTGAGCACAGGAAGAAGAGGTAGAAGAAGCATATACCATTTTGTTAAAAAATCTTTTGATAAGAAGGGAATGAATTCTGATACTGCAACAAATGCAAACACGTGTGCACAGCTGGAATATCAAAATGAAGGACTTCCTAATGGTGGTGAAACGTCAAAAGAGGAAAAATGTAATCATCCTTGTGAGGCACATAAAGTGAAAAAGGGTGTTTCAAAATTTACATCATTGTACAAAAATAAATTTAGAAATAAAATAAATTCTATATATAGTAAGCCAAATTTGATGAAATATCAAATTCAAATTGACATAAAAAGTAAAATTTCATTCGCATTTTCTGATAATGCCTTATCATTGGACGAATTAAAACATGTCAAAAATGATGAATTGAGAAAAAGTGAATATGTAATGACTCTGAATGGGGAACTTTCTCTTTTATATTTCGATACACTTCAAAAGAAAAATTTAAAAATGTGTAATTTTTTAAAAATACATTTGGACATACATCAAATGAAAGTAAAAAAAAGAATCAACAGGAATAAAACTTTCCATTTTTTTCGATTTAAAAAGAAAATTTCACATATATGGACAAGACAGTCTGAAAATGTATTTCACAACTCGTTTAATAGAATATTTCTTTCAAAAAAAAATTCTCATTTATTAGCAGATTCAGATGAACGCTACCTTACACTTGTTACAACTGTGAAAAACATCGATTTTTTACATCAAATTTGTAGTCTGTCCTATGAACAAGTTAAACATTTGGAAAATTTATATGACCATAAAAAAAAGATGAAAGGTTGTACGATTGCTAAACTATCACAAGAAGTAGAAAAAATGATCCAAAGTGTTAAGAAATACAACACGAGAACGAACATCCATGGGAGGGGTATAAACATGATTTACAAAACGAATGACTTTTTTTTCTTTCTGAACAAGTATCTCTTGACAGACGTGGGATATTTATTTTCAATAAAACACATTTTTCAAGAAGGAAAAGACCGATCCAGAAGTGATAATCCCTTTCTATACTTCCGAGAAGAGGAGGTTGCAAATCCGTTTTCCTTTCGAAATAGTATACTTCTGAGGAATCAGATGCAAGGTTGGTTCGAGAGAAATGGAGAAAAGCTAGTTAACCAAAAAGAGGGAAAAAAACCAAGAGGCACATATTCGTCCAGCCCTGCACGATACCCTCCTCTAATTGCAGACAAAACGGTGAAAAAAGTAAAAAGTGTAAAAAGTGCAAAAAGTGCAAAAAATGAAAGGAATGGAAAAAAAATCAAGCAGGAGGAGAGGGAAACCCATTTGTACAAAGTCAAACGAATTGAAATGAAGAACGATGTAATAAGTTTACATAAATATAAGATCGTTTTAAATCGAGTCGCTCTTTTCCTACCCAACGTGTCCAATAACAGAAATGTTATAATAGCACAAAATGATATATCTGTAAAAAACAAAATTATACTTGAAAAAAAAAAAAAAAAAATCGCACTGTATGATAAAATTTATACTCATTTTTTAAACACACGATTGGATTCTATTGAAGGAAAATTTGTAGGAAAAAATGTAAATCTGTTGATATCATATTGTAGAAACATGTTGTATAGAAGCATAAACGGGATCAATATTTCGATATACGCTTCTGGAGTTATATACCTCTCTCCAATGACTTACAGATTACTTCAAGACATATTTCTTGAGAATTTGTTAAACAACAACTTGGAGTATGCTTATGGTAGATACTACAGGAGTGAAAGTAGTTTAGAACAGTACAATCCAAATGAATCTAACTCAAATTTGAACAGTGGTAGATGTGCAAAGGATCTAGATATACGTTTGTATCTGTTTCACCTGCATGTGAATCTCCAGAACTATCACTTAAATAGTAGAATGAATTATCTATTCAGCAAATTCATTTTTGTAAAAATAGTCCGATATATTGGTTTTGATAAAATTATAACTTATGTTAAAGGAAGTATCCCACTCCTCTTGAACACCTACTATGAATATCCATATGATATATTAATGTACCATAAGAGAATGGACCCCAAAAAGTACACCAAATGGCTATCTCGTATGAATCATACTGATGTAGAAATAAACGACATCACATCATTTAACTCATTTGTAAAAATGAAACTTGTTAAATATAGACACGTAAAAAAAAAGAGAACGAAAAAAATATTTCAAATTCTGTATAAGAGATTTAAAACTGATCACATGGCATGTGAAATAACGAACGATTTATGCATCAAAATTGACAGAATCTGCCTGAACACAGACATGTTCGAATTGTTCAATTTATACATCTTCTACTTTGTGGATGATAAAAATGTACACATCAGTAAAATTGAAAACGTTCTTCGCCATAAGGTAAGCACAAAATTGTGCACCATAAGAGATATAGATAGAGGAGCGCGAATATATAACATGACATCAGCTGAAGTGTTATCAGATCAAGTGCAACATCAGGAAGGATACAATACTAGTGATTCATGTCAGAAAGATAAAAAAAATCTTAACATGATAAAAGTAGAAAGCATAAAAAATGCACCGTTAGATACAAAAATTGACGCAAATATTTGTTCATTATACTGGAAAATGATGAAACATGTAAAAAAATATGATTTCAATAATTACAATAGCATAATTAAAACTAACAATGTGTACAAAACATGTGTGAAGGTTAAGCACATTAATTTAGTGTTCAATTTTTTGTTTTATGAAAATATGTTAAGTGCAAAAAAATTCCGAATTTCAAAGAAAATTAGTCAAGTACAATGCAGAGAAAAAGATCAAACCAAAGGGAAGAAAAAAAGAAAAAAAAAAAAAACAACATACAAATTACCAGAACAGAAAAATAATCGATTCAGTTTAATTTATCGGGGAAGCATGAACATCCAAATGCTATTTAATTTGAGAAAAAGTATATTCTTAAATTTTGTAAAAAATGCAAAATTTTTATTTTTTAACAATTTTATTGTGAACAATTTCTTGCAAAATCGCCTGAACAGGTCAGGTGAATTATCAAAATTTGTATTGCACATATTTGACAATATTAATGAAAAAATGAATGAATATTTACATTTTAAATGTAGAATAAAAAGGAAAAATGCATTACACTTAATAACCAGAACGGGATCCTATTGCATAAGTAGGAACCTCAATTTCTGTCTACATGTGAAGAATGAAAAAGTCATATATTTTAAACACAATGTTAAAAATTTTAAATTCGACAAGATACATTTTAGAGAAATATTATTGAACAGATTATTGAAAAAAAATCACACCTCTAAAATGAGTGACATAAATGTCTCTAAAGAAAATGTTGCATGTGATATTCAGTTAATAGGTTACAACAAAATGGACATACGGAAACGTAAATGTATCAATAATGAAATATCATGCAAAATTGGGAATGCCCAAATGGGTGCCCAACTGAACGATCGAAATATCAGCTTAAAGAATGTACAAGGATTGGAAAAAAAAGAATCCATATGCACGATCCCAAAGTATATAGATGTAGAGATAAGACAAGCCAATTTTGTGCTTAAATTAGACGATTTTCTATACCTTGTAAATAAAATACACGAATTGTTGTACATTATGAACAGACATGAAGAAATGAATGTGTGCTTCTACAGGATTTGTGAAACGTTGTTAAATGGAAAAAAGTATGAATGTAAAATAAAAAGAATGAAAATAGAAAATTATTCCACATTCATTCTGCGATTGATTAGCACTAATTTGAATATACATTTATTCGAGAATGTGTATTATTCCAAATTAAATAGATGCAAAAAGAAAAAAATATTGCATGCACATGTTCAGGGAAATTATGAATATGTAACATGTAGTAAAAAAAAGGATATTATTCTGAAAAGACATGAATCAAGCATGTGCTTAGAGTTGTCTTTTTCGAAAAATAACATTTATGAAGAGTTTGTAAAAGGTATTCACATCCACTTTATATACATACGCACGAGAAAACAAAATAATATAATTCTCCTTTTTAAAAATGAGCATATAAACATTTTTCTTACCAAAAATGCATTTAGAAATATTATACACTTGTGTAATGAGATAAACGATTGGAGGAATTATCGAACAAGAGAAGTAGTGCACACTAATCGAACACCCTCTGAACTCAACCGCAGGGGTTCATTAGCAGAAATGGGTTCATTAAAAGAAATGGGTTCAGTCAGCCAAAATCAACATATGGAGAAAAGTTACGAGAATTTCATGCAGTCTCCTGTTAGAGGTATAAATGATGGAAAAGACACATCAAAGGGTGCTAAACAAACACAATTAAAAATAATCAGATGTGGTAGACTTAATTATGGAGAAGGGTTCAATAAAAAAGAGGGAAAAGGAAATAACCAAAATGATCGATGTGGAATGAATGCAAATGAGACATCGAGACGGGTGAACACAAATAGGAAAAATCTCTACCTCTTTAGAAGCAAATACTTCAACTTTAACCATGACGATTACACAGTTGTAAATAATATTTGCGATAGAATAATGACATACCAAAGCAATGAAATAATGAATGCCAGATTTGATAAAACGAATCTAGTACATATGCTATATATGGAGAGAATGAAGAAATTTATATTTCCATCGTTAACCTTTAAGTGGAGCAGAAATGAGGAACTTGTAGTGTCACGAAATAATAACTTTTATTTTGTGTACACAAATATGTGCATCTATAACAATACAAAGTACGACATGATACTTTTGTTTAATAATTATAAGAGGATTTTATTTTCCAGAAGATACACATACATAAGTAGACATAGATGCAACCTTCAAATGGATACTTTTATTTTGATCCTTTATTACAAAAAAATGTTATTAATTTCGAACAAATTGTCATTTCAGAATTTTAGTAATGTTCGAGTAGTGGGAAAAGACCAATTGATTCAATATATGAGATGCAAAAAATATTTTGCATCTTCGATAGATCGGAATGATGCTTATGGTGGAGGTGACGGAGGTGATCACAAGAACAGTGCTTCTTACCATAGCGTAATGAACAAAATCGTTCCCTTTCATAGAATCCACGACAGGAACAATTTTTTTTACGCAGATGCAGCTAGCCATTTTGCGAATGTAAACCATGAACCTAGTACAATGAACCTCCTCCATCAGGTTCAGAAAAACAATATGAACAATATATATAGCATATACAATTGTATAGAAAGAAAATTCATAACAATGCTACTAAACGATGAGTGCAACGAATGCTGGAATATCAATGATAATGAATTATACACCAATTTGACATTGATTAGAAGTAAAAATTCGAATTATGGATGCTTCTATTTGCATATAGACAAAATGGTGAATATTACAAATGCACTACCGATAAGAGTATGCTATAAGAGTAGAAATCGTTTGAGAAGTGTAAATCCATTTACGAGTAAAGATATATTCCATGACGATGTAGATTTGAATGTATCTTGTAACTCCTTATGTGGCATCAAATTGAATGTAACCCATCAACTACATAATGGATTTCCAATTCATGTGGATCCATTGTATGCTATGAATTCCAATTCTTCAACGTGGGTTCAAAAGGAAGAAAAAAACATAACAAAGATAGAAGTTTCAACAGAATCAGGTTTGAGGAAATCAGGTGTGCAGAGCATTGGAAGAAGAAACGAATCTTATGTTGTACAATACTACACAAATGTCATTAAAAGGAACAGCGAAATTGTGATAACTTGTCACACATTAATTTATCTCTATTCTTATGATTTGAAGAACGTAGAAATAAATAGAAAAAAAATTCATTTTGTGAATCGGTTAAAAAATACAACAAAGAAGAAGAAGAACAGCAACAACAGCAGCAGCAGCAGCAGCAACAACAACAACAACAACAACAACAACAACAACCCTTTGAATGTGTACCCGTTGAAACGGATGAAATGTTTTCTTGGATTATACAATGAACCTGTTACTAGTGTACAACTAGAAAATGTCAAAATAAGAAATATGACAATTAATAGTTATAAAGAGACAAATGTATCTTATTCATACAAAGGAAGAGAATATACTTCAGGCTATACAATACATTATGTAAAAGATTATGAACATGGAAGTCATTCCACTCGGTTCAGTAAAATTAGTTCTCTTTTGATTATATACCCAACATATATAATCATAAATCAGACAAATTTCAATATTCTGATGTCCTCTTCTTTCACTCCTAACTCTTTGATGTATACATTTCAGAGGAATTCTCGTTCAGTAATAAATCTCATGGAAATTGAAAAAGAAAATTTTTTTTTTAAAATTAAAAATGAAAATATATCTCACGATTATGTCTTTTGGAGCGGAGCTATAAATATAACAAGGGAAGGTTCTTATATTTTCTGCTTTTCCGTTTCTTCTCAAAATATTATGTGTAGCAGAAAAAAAAAAAATCCGGTTGTGTACCTCAAAATAAGTGTAATTCGTGGAAATAAGCTCAGAGGATACTACAGCAATGGTTGTAATAACAATTGTGATAACAATAGTGGAAGTAATAGTGGCAACAGTAGTGCAAACAGTATTGGTAAGAACGCCCATGTGTCGTTCAAAAATTCTCTCTTTTTAATAATTTCTGAATACAGATGGGAGAAGAAGAAGAAAAAAAAAGTGGAGAAACAGTTTTCAAGTCATAAGACACAGAAATTGCTATTCCATTCTATGGACAGCAATGAAAACAACACAATAATGAATATTTACAAATTTATCGAAAAGGAACAGCAAATAAAAAAAATATACATTCAAAATGACATGGATACAGATATCATTTTCGATATTTTTCACTACAGCGAGATTGTAAGTATGATTAAAAAGGGTCTGGTTCTAAAGCATGGAAAAGATACAGCCTTAAACGAGGGAGACAGAAAAGTGGAAGATGCTGTAGATATCCAAAGTGGAAAAGAAAACGAGAAAAGGAGTAATCATCTGGAAAGAAGTAATCATCTGGAAAGAAGCAATCAGCTGAAAAGAAGTAATCAGTTGAAATGGAATAACCAGAGCATAAATCAAACAGAACACAAAGAAGTGGGCAGTATTAACACGGCTGAAAAAAGGAATATCAGAGACAAGGAAAATTTCTTCCGAAATATATTTCAAATTGAAAGTAGTGATCACTCAAGCGAAGAAGAAGATGTAAAAACAAATGAATATGTAAATTATGACAAGAATAAGCTGACAAAGGAAAATATAAATTACATATCGAACAATGTGAATTATTTGAAGCGATTTTTAAAATCTAACCTCAAAATGCTTCGCCATGTAAGGAAAAAAAGTGTTCATTTTTTTCCGCTCAGAAAAAATAAAAATATAAAAAATTCATTTTTCATTGTCTATCCCTACAAGCAAACATCAGCATATCAAATCGTCAAGTTTCCCATGAAGAGAAAAAAACAAATTCTGTCCTTTGTAATAGAAAGAAAAATGAAAGGTGATCCAATTTGGATTCCATGTGAAGATCCAAAAGAATCTCCACGTGCCTCTCCAAATTATGATTCCCTGAACCCTGAGTGCAACAACTTTATCATATTTCTTGAAACCTTTGTTACAAACAAGAAAGGGGGGAAAAAAATTTTTCTGAAAATTTCTCAATATGTTGATAATATAATTCACATTAGAGGAAAAGTAAATATGAACACATTTTTCACTTGTGCAAAAAGGCCATCTATCCAGAATGCACCGATACATGAGAATTTGACACGAAACAGAAAAAGAAGAGATCATCATTTCCAACATAAAAAAAAGAAAAATTGTAAAAAACTTTTCCAAAATATGCACCCATCGTCGCCTCAAGACTTACGATGTATTAGTCAGCATATAAATTTGTTCAGAAAATATGCAACCGTTTTTATCAAGTTAAAACGGAAAAGGTGTCGACAAGTATACAATTCCAATTTTTTCTCCAATTTATCATGGGACGAAAAAGGGTTCCCCCCATTTGTTAGGATCCCCATGCTTCCATGGAATAATAACCTGCACCAAGAGAAGAAAACATACGACACAAAAAAAGAGAAACAACCATATCCATATATAACAGCACAACTGATGAGAAAGCAAAGGAAAGGTAATAAAAGACCAATTTTTGAAACTCCAAATTGTAAACAGAATGAGAATCTCAAATTGTTAAAAAAAGAGGAAAGACAAAATAATTCCCCATCTTATTGTCACTTTGAAAATAAAAATGTCAACTTGTTCGAGACTAGAAAGAGATATCAATTTGTTTTTTATGACCTAGGAAGGACAAAAGCTGAGGATGGCATGCACCTTTACTTCGACATTGTAAAGGACATCCAAATTAACGTTTTTTCCACGGTTCTGATAAGAGATGAAGACAAGAAAAAACAAATCAGGAAAGGTAATTCAAATTGGAAAAATCGAATAATCTCGCCCCATGTAGAAAATGAAAAAATCTCTTCAAACGGAAAAATTGAACAAGACAAGATATTGGAAACATCAAATTATGAGCAACATGATGAAACTGGTTTCGTTACTCCAGGAAATTTTTTTAAAAAAAAGTACAATTCTCATCTATTCAGTATCATTTTAAATAATGTAAATATGCTGCTAAGTTTGAAAAAAAACCAACAGAACGTTTTCCTGCTCTTCTTGGAAGACGCCACTATAATCGATTTCTCCTCCTCTGATCTAAAGAAAATTTTTTGTAAAAATGAGGCCAAAAATGAGGCCAAAAATGAGGCCAAAAATGAGACCAAAAATGAGACCAAAAATGAGGCCAAAAATGAGGCCAAAAATGAGGCCAAAAATGACATACATAATGAAAACACAAGAATGGTAGACACCAATAAAAACTCCGAATTAGATAATATAAGTAACGGAAGTTGCTTAATCCGTGCACACGTGGCTTACGAAAATTGCCATAATGCATTAGTGATCAAAAATTTTGATTTGTTCATTTCGCCTGTACATGTTCAGATAACTTTAGATATGGTCGATAATTTTGCATATTGTTATGAAATGTTCTGTAAGAGAAAAAAATGGAGAAAAAGAAAACTCAAAGAGGAGGATTCCTTCCTCTTTTATTTTACTAAGACATCTCAGAAAAGTGCAATGAGGATGCACAAGCTGAGTCATAAATGTCTTTTCCACTGTGGTATCCCCAGTTTCAGTAGAGGTAGAAATGTTCACCTGAACAAAGTCAGAAATAATCATAAAGATATATATCATTACATTATAGGAGGAGGAAAAAGGAAAAAACTAAAAATAAAAAATTTTAAAATATCTAACATAAACATAAATTTGATATTTGTAAAGACAAATCAGTACAACATATATCAGTACAAACATAAAGGACCTTGCAAATTAACTGTTCGACTCTCCTACCTGAATAACTTAAATAACGCAGACATTTCCATCAGCTCTTTGTACATAAAGAAAGTGAAAGAAAAGGACGCACAGAACTTTATAAATTATCTTTTCGATTTTTATATGAAGGAATTGTACAAAGGTTTATTCTTTTATTTAACGAAAATGAATTTATTGAACAAGTATATAAGTAATTACTACAATTTTTTTCACAACCTTATGGATAATTCCATTTTTAACGTTGATATTTACACTGGGTTTAGAACCATACAGGGAGCTACTGGCTTTGCAGATTTTACTGGGCTTAGCGGATTCAGTGGGCTGAGTGGACTTAGTGGGTTTAGTGGGCTGAGCGGACTTAGTGCGTTTAGTGGGCTGAGCGGGCTTAGTGGGTTTAGAGAACCAAATGGAACGGGCGAGATCAGTTTGTGTACTCAGGTGAGAGGCACAACCGAGCTAGCCATTTCAAACCAGCAGTGTTCTCAAAATCACATGAACAGTCAGGTAAAATGTAGAACGAAGGAAAGAAAAAATAGTGGTGGTATTAGAAAACAAAAAAGCCTGACCAGGTCAGGTTATACAAGGGGGGGTATGCAAGATGAAGTGTATTACCAAGAGATTGATAATAGGAACATAGAGAGTGACTCTAATTTTTATATAAAATCAAAGAAAAATAAAATTATGGAAAATATAAACAAAGACTTATTTTACATGGTCAATAATAAAAAAACTTACGTCTTTGAAGAATTTACCGAAAGTGCCAACATTCTTGCCAGCCCTTCTATTCATGAAAGTGAACAATCTGAACGTTCAGATAAAATATCCAATTCAAACAACTTTAGTGTTTTAAACAATACCTTGAAAACCTTTGGTAAAGACCTTATGTCAAGTATTAATTATTACCTGTACGATGCTAGCGATAATAATACCTCAGGCGTCCAAATGCCTCCACAAATTGATAAAAATTATCTCCATAATGATAAAGCTACTTTTAAAAAGGAAAAGATACACATTTTGAAATATTTTTCGGAAAGAACAATGTATCAACCTGCAGGGAGTCATGCCAATGTTAAGGTAATGAAAGCGTAAAAAAAAAAAAAAAAAAAAAAAAAAAAAAAAAAAAAAAAAAACCGAATCGATGGCCGAATTGGGTATATTTATTTTATTTTTATTTCACAACTGCACACTTATATACTCCATTCGTAAGAACAACTGATCAAAGGAAATTTTCTCTTGTACAATTTACCCACTTTCTCAGTCCAACTTGGAGGAATTCCCCGTGTATTTGTCCATTTACAAAAGAAACAAAATTATACACGATAAGTATGTCTTTGGAATATGCACTCCAATGGATCGGGTCCTCATGTAAGACAAACAACATGCATTCTCATTATGCAGTTTTGCAAACGTGCATGTGTAAATTTTATACACCTATATATGCATGTCTAAGTGTAATTACCAAGCTGATGAACTGAGAATGTGTGATGAGATATCTTGCTACCGCTGCTGCTTTATTCCCATGTGCCCAACTTTTATCGTCATTTTTGTATCGTTTCATTTCACCTAATTTGGCTTCACAACATCACATATATTATCTCATCAGACATTATCTTATCCCAATCCTATTTCACCCCACTTCTTTCTATTCACAGACACGACCTGGTTGTTCTGAACTACCTGCACGACAAGGAGGAAAATTATTTGCTACTATTCTGTGATGATTATTTTGTGAAATTGAACCGAAACTGCCAAACTGTTGTACGAAAAGAAAATATAATGAAGGTGGAAATAAACTGTAGTCACTTCAACTTAACATTTGACAAGGAGAAAAGTTTAATTATAAATTTACTCATTATCATTAAAAAAAACAAGAACAATTTTTTATGCTACTATTTTGATATCCTTTTTAAGGGGAAAAAAAAAAGACTAGTTCATAAAATTAAAAAAAATTTATTTAAAATTTTATATTTCCTATACTATATATTTCATTTCATTTATAATTACAATATGAGAATAAGAAAACTGGAAAAAACAAATCCTCCTCCCCCCAGTACCAAAGGCTTAAACCCGTTTGTAACTATTTTCGAAGGCCATAGGAAGTTGTCCCTTTCCTTTTCTTCCCATATGCATTTGACTCTTTTTTACCTGAACACGCGCAGGTTTTTGTTTGACATGTGTCAGCACAGCGCCGAGGGAGAAGTGTGACAAGAGTGAGAACTCTGCGGAGGGATGCTGAACAGGGGTATATTCATATGTTTCATTTCACGTCACAGCATTTCTCTATATTTCACTGCACTACACTGTATTTTATTATATTTTATTTTTTATTTTCTTTATTTTTTTTTTAGCTCCTTACACGAGCTTCCTCCCCTCTGAGGACCCACCATTTTGCCGTCTGCCTATCACCACATTTTTTTTTTTTTTTTTTTTTTTCTTTCCCCTCCCCATCCAAGTACGTAATACACAAGTATGTATCACGCATGTATCGCACAATTACATAAAAATATTCTCACGCATTTTATGAATTCCGCGAAAGTATTACCTTGCCACTTCTTGTTCCACACACACATATGTAGAAATATACTTACGTTTATTATCTCCAACCGATTTGATCCCTGCGTGTTCACGAAGCTTTTGTTTGTTTGTCTGTGTGTCTGTTTTTTTTCAACCGCTTTTTTCATTTCTTTCTTTGGTCATTTCACACGTTTTTTCCACTGTCAAAAGAAGAAACCACATTGATGCAAAAATTTATCTGCACCCAAGGGTGATGACGCACACACACTGAGTGTTTGTTCATTTTTTTTTTTTTTTTTTTTTTTTTTATTAACAATTATTCTACTTCTCATACTGTTTGGGATATATTCCATGCATTCCACTTGAACATATTTCACAAAAGGATTCTAAATCGTGGAAAAAAAAAAAAAGAGCAAAAAAAGGAAAAAACGAGGAAAAGAAAAGAACGCTATGTATATGTTGTAAAGAAGTGTTCTATGTGTGTAATTCTCTTCAACTGTTTTATTTTATTTTATTTTTTTTTTTTTTTGTGCGTGTGTGTGTTCCCACAATTTATGCAGGAAATTTTGTCACGTTTGGTATAAGCAAAATATTCGTTCATTTTGTCCCTCGTTTGGTCCCTTGTTTGGTCCCTCGTTTGGTCCCTCGTTTGGTCCCTCGTTTGGTCCCTCGTTTGATCGCTCGTTTGCTTGCTCGTTCTTTTTTTTTTTTTTTTCTCTCTCATTTTACATTTTGGCCACGCTCAATGGGCTTGTCAGCCCCGTTAAGGAAGTGCATATATGCAGACCAACTTTTCATAGAAGCAAATGTAAACAGGTGTGGAACAAATGAAACAGGTATGCAAGCAGAAGTATACACATGCATGCATGTACGTGTAATCGTGTTGTAACAGAAAAAGAAACTTCTCCTAAGTGAAACACAATAATCTATTCCTCAAAAGGTGAAGGAAATTGATGAAGAACGGTGAAAAAGGGGACACGTTCCAATCCAACCACCCCACGTGGAAATTCATAAATATGGGGGGAAAGAGGTAGGAAGGAAAAAAAAAAAAAAAAAAAAAAAAAAAAAGTGATGAAACGTTAAATTGAGAAGATATATTTGTAAATCATATTATGAGATAAGTTTTAATTCAACCCTTCAAGTATCCTAACTTTTCCACTTTTTTTTTTTATATTTTTATTTTTTTATTTTTCCCTCCAAACAAATTCCTATAAAACATTAGAAAAAAAAAAAAAAAAAAAAAAATGTAAAATGTTAAATATTAAATGTTAACTGTTAAATGTAAAATGTAAAATGAAAAAGGGAAAGGAAGAAAAACACAAGTCCAGAAACGAAGAACAAAATAAGAATGAGTTCAGTAAATGAACTTTTAAATTACTTTGATGTTAAGGATGATAATGATGATTTCATTAAATCAGGAGAAGCTGTAAAATCAAAAGCAGCACAGAAGGAAAGAGTCAGACAAAAGGAAAATGAAAAGGCAGTTGTTAGGAGGTATTTCCCTGGAAAGGTACGCCCATCCGCTATTCCCCCACCCCACCCCCAAAAAAAAAAAAAAAAAAAAAAAAAAAAAAAAAAAAAAGAACTCTAGTCCATTTCACTTGAATAACACATGTCATTTACATATAACCCAAACAGAGGGAAAAACAGTTTAAGACTCGTAAAAGCATGTCTGTCATTTTATATTAGTTTTAATTTTATCGCATAATTTTGTAATTCATTATTCCGTTATCCTACTTTGCTTCGTGTTACCATTTTGCTTTTTAATTTTTGTCCATTTTTTTTTTTTTTTTTTTTTTTTTTTTCTCTCTCCCTCCTTCCCCAACTACACACACAGAAACCACATTATGCTGAGAACGCAAATGAAGATGATGATGACGAAGAGGGCGATGGAAATGACGAGGAAGTTGACTATAAAGACAAACACGACAAGATTAGTGATCCCGTGGATGAGTACTTACAATTACAGAATCAGAGAAAAAAGAAAGCTCATATAAACAAAGAGTTACTAGGTCATTCGTCACGTACCCATATCCAAGATGACAGCAGAATTGAGAGACTTAAAAATAAAAGTAAGGTTGAGTAAAAAAGGAGGAGAAGGGAATAGAAATACATTCTGATGCGCTTTGCATCTCCCATCAGTATTGCATCTCCCATCAGTATTGCATCTCCCATCAGTATTGCATCTCCCATCAGTATTGCATCTCCCATCAGTATTGCATCTCCCATCAGTATTGCATCTCCCATCAGTATTGCATCTCCCATCAGTATTGCATCACCCATCAGTATTGCATCTCCCATCAGTATTGCATCTCCCATCAGTATTGCATCACCCATGAGTCTGTCTTTGCATCTGTGCACGTGGCAAATGCTCTTCTCTTCCACCGAATGATACATTGAGATTATCCCACTTATGGGGATACACATATTAATAAATTAAAATCAAACAATCTGTATTAACCCTTGCACGCTTGATAGACATAAAGGGCAACGAACGTGAAAGAATTATCAGGAGAGTTAGAGAAGTCCAGGTTATTAACCATTCGGATGAACGAAAAGGTCAAGGTGATATAAAATCTCGATTGGAGAAAGAGAAGCATGAAAGAACAGCGAATGGTGAGAAATGTTTTCCGTTAGGTAAAGAAATGATAGATGTGAAAAAAGAACATGATGCAGCATGTGAAGAAGCGGATGAAGAAGCGGATGAAGAAGCGGATGAAGAAGCGGATGAAGAAGCGGATAAAGAATTGGATGACGAACCAGATGACGAACCAGATGACGAACCAGATGACGAATCAGATGACGAATCAGATGAAGAATCAGATGATGAGAACTACATGAATGGAGAATATGAAAACGTGCCAATGAAACACGAATACGTATTAAAAAATAAGAGAAAAACACTGATAGAAAATAGCAAAAAAGAGAAAGAGGAAGAAAAAATGCTAAAGGATATGACAAAGGAAAAGGAAATGATCGAAATGGAAAAAAAAGAAAATATAATAAAAGAGACCATAAACAATGATATAATGATGGAAGAGAGGAAGAATAAAGAAAATAATTTGTTTTTCTCCTCTGACGAAAATTTCGAAGATGAGAATGTCGATGATAATGAAGATCCAAATGAAGAAGAATATGAACTGTGGAAAATTCGTCACCTGAACAGGCTAAAGAGAGACGAAATGAATAGAAAAAAATATGAAATTTTAAAAGAAGAAATTAACGAAAGAAGAAAAATGACTAATAAAGAAATATTAGAACAAAATAAATTAATACCACACAAGAAAAAAAAAAAAAAAAAAAAAATGTTATTTATGCAAAAGTATTACCATAAAGGTGGATTCTTTCAAGATCTCTTTGAAGAAGGGAAAGAAGAAATATACACTCGTGATTACAATGAACCAGTTTATGAGGATATGATTGATAAACAAAATCTTCCCAAAGTTTTACGTGTAAGAAGAGGAAATTTTGGAAAACAAGGGCAAACCAAGTATACACATTTATTGGACAATGATACCTCAAGGAAGGATTCACTCTGGGCCAACGAACACATACAAAATCGTCGCTCAAAACAGAAGGAAGACTTATTTGATCGCCCCACCTATAGGAAGGGTGCATAGAGGAGAGGATAGGATATCCACACCGTATGTATATGCAGCTTTGGGAAGGCAGCACGTGCTGCCAACTTGTATGTTCGCCTTGTTCTACATGCAGATGAGAAACTCATTTTAATCCGAAGAACTAGACTGAATTCCAAAGTTTGTCATTTTTTCTACCCCCTTTTCTATTCACGCTTCTATTCGCGTTTCTATTCACGCTTCTATTCACTCTTTTGTTGCTTTTTTGTTGCTTTTTCTTTTCCGTTTTGCTACTTTTATTTTTTCGCTTATAATATGTAAACTTTTTCACCACACAATAAGCTTCAATTTGATTTGACACCTACCTTACAACTCGCACGTTCATTCCCGTGCTGATTACACCATCCCTATGCCAACTCCATTTGTGTCTTTTGCCTTTACCCTACCGTCCTCGCATAACTTTTTCCTCTTTTTTATGTTTACAAAATTGAAACTTTTTTATAAGATATAACAAAGTTGTTAGTACTTTAAAAAAAAAAAAAAAAAAATTAAGCCACCTTGCCACTTGTGTGAATAATATGGCTTATTTTTTTCTCATTATGTTCTTTTTCCTTTTTTTTTTTTTTTTTTTCTTTTCTTTTCACACACATATGTGCCACTCTGCCAATATCGTGAAGTTTATACGCTGAACAGGTAAAATGCTCGCAATATTTATGCACATGTTAGGTGAAATGAAGAAAAAAAAAAAAAAAAAAAAAAAAAAAATTAGCCATTTAGCTAGATAGCTACCAACTAGCTAAATTGCTAGTCGGACATGACGAAAAAGGCATATGCCGGTGCTCATAAAAAAAAAAAAAAAAAAAAAAAAAAATTACGACGAAAATGAATGCACAACAGTTTAATTTAGTCTACCACACATATGCACAACTCGATGGAGGAGAAGTCCTCGCCCGTTTCCCTACACACGTAGTTGTCTCTATCCCACCACCACCACCCATCCTCAGAAGACCGTGCGGATATTGAGCATGCGGCCGGTCTCATAAAAAATGGAATATATGGAGGAGTAGTTTTTATTAGGTATGACACAGTTCTCAAAAAAGTAAATAAAATTGTTCAACAGTAGGTAGGACCACATGAACATGTCATTTGCAAAGGGGAGGTGGAAAATTTCTTCGCAAAATTTTTCTTGAAAGAGTAAGCTGTTGCTCATTCTGTTGTAAAAGGCATTTGTAAAATACAAAATGATGGTAGCAACAATTCTGCTTGGAGGTATGAGTTTATATGACCCAACAGAAGTTATATACATAGAATATGCATAAATAACGTCAAAAATAAAATATAAAAAACCAAAATGCTCAAGGAAGATATAATAAATTTTTATTGCTGGATATTTCTTTGAACAGCTTTTTAAATTTATTAAATAAACATAAGTCAATTCTGAATAAGTCCAATAATTGTTATAATTAAGTGGTAAAAATTTTATTATTTCCATTTGTTTATTTGCTATTTCGATGCATGTATAATTAACTTTATCATGTCTTAGTTTGTTTACAAAATAGAGAATATCATTTAGGTACATAATACTCGAACCGTTAAAAACTTGTGTCTTTATGAGTGCTAACAAAATGGAACAAATAATAACTAACAGTTTAATTTTCCTGTAATGATTCTGTTCTGTCATTTTATTAATTCTATGCATATAAGAATCGAATATGAAAACAGATAGTAAAAATGTTTCCGTTTTGTATTCCAAACCGTGACATATTTCATAAATGTAAGACAAATTCATATCTCTACCTTCAATAAATGAATGTATTTTATACATAAAAATTCTGGACTTCTCAATTAGTATAGTTTCTAAATTTAATTCTTTCATATTGTCTTGAAAATTTAATACATGCAAATGGTTCAATGGTCCTTTTTTATTTTTCATCATTTTATATTTTGTGAACAAATTATACACTTTATTATCTACTAAATTTTTCGACTCATTTTCATAAATGTGTTGCATCAATTCTTCCTTATTATATAATTGAAAACAGGTATTGTACTTGTTATCAATTATTTCTTTTAATTCCAAAGTTCCTATTAGATAATCATTTATAGAAAATGGTAAATATGTCAAAATATTTTTTAATAGTGTAAACAAGTGGCTGTAACTCACTTGTGTAACTAAATTCTTAACACACTCATCCCCCACTCCTCTGCTTAATTGTCGATTCAAATTCTTGCTCATATTACGCACAATCTCGTAATTCATTTCATCTTTTTTCCCATGCCTCTTCAGTTGTTCATTTTTTTCCATTTCTACGTTTTCTACGTTTTCTATGTTTTCCATGCTTTCCACATTTTCCATGTTTTCCATGTTTTCCATGTTTTCTAGGTCTTCTATGCTTTCCATGTTTTCTATTTTTTCATCATCTACAACATTCTTATCATTAATATCATATGGACACACACTATGAACTGCATTATTTGTTCCTCTCTGAGATTCAAATAAAATATCCATTTCTTTTTCTTCCCCAAACTTTTTATTTCCGGTTAATTTCTTACCATCTCCAATCATCATTCTATTCCTCTCGTACTTTTTCTCAATCCACTTTTTACAAATTATTTTTCTCGTACTGTCCATGCTTTCGTTCATATTCATATTTACCTTTACCATTTTGTAAGTACTTCAAAAGGACGTGCAAATTGAACACTGGAAAAAAAAAAAAAAGAAGGAAGAAGAAGGAACATTCAGCTATTCGATGCTGATGAAGGACAATGCACCAACGAGATAGTAATGTCCCTCCCTCGATCCCTCTTTTTTTTTTTTTTTTTTTTTTTTTTTTTTTTTTTATTAATATTCCCAAGAAATATCCCAATTTCGCAATTATCCGTTTACACAAAAAGAGGGAATATATGTTTTTGTACCTGTCTTCATGTGTAAGATTTACCACCCCACGTTAGGATATCAGCAACAGAACAAGTGCAAAAAAATACTCTTTTTTTTTTTAAATTATCTGATTGGGGAAAAATTAATTGCTCATGTGACATGGCGATTATTGTATTGTTCATACATTCACTGTTGCCTGTGCATACAGTATGCATAAGGGGTGTTGCAACTTACAAACGTGTTAGTGTTAAGGATGCGCTAGCTATGTAAACATATCAACATATAAACTTGTTAACTTGTCAGCTTGTAAACTTGTTAACTTGTCAGCTTGTAAACTTGTTAACTTGTCAGCTTGTAAACTTGTTAACTTGTCAGCTTGCCAGCTTGTCAACTTTGTCAATTCTCCAAATTCGTGCAAACTCGCACGGGAGAAACAAGGAAAAAAAAAAAAAAAAAAAAAAAAACGAAAATCAAGAGATTTTATCCGGTTGCACTTGCAGATATGGTACATAAGTAGGGATGTGCACATATATATGCATACATTTACATACATGACAGGCCTGGGTGGGAATATTAAAAAGGGTAAAAGGAGTGAAGAGAGGGACAATTTTAAAAGGGGCGCAAAAAGTATGAACGTGTTCAGGTGTCACACTGCTCTATTCATCCCTCAGGATGTGCTGGGAAAAGAACAGGTGCAGTGGGGCAAAAAAAAAAAAAAAATAAAATAAAATAAAAACAAAGCAAATCCAGGCAAAGCAAAGCAAAACAAAATAAATAAATGATAATATAGGATAATAAAACATAGGCGAGTAAAAATGACAAATTAGAAGGAAATTTTAATTTTCTATCTTACATTAACAATCTTTAAGAAAATATAAAAAATCCTACTTTTTGGTTCACCCCACCCTTAACAAATAATACAGGCACTTCATTTGGGAACATAGGAATAGGTGTGGGGTGTGGGGAAAAAAAAAAAAAAAAAAAAAAAAAATATCTAATTATGAATTGTGCAAATAACAAATGAGACTTTGGAACAAACCATATGATAGTAAACGAATATTAATGATGCATTGAATTATGAGTCAGCATGTTTGATAATCCAAACGCACACATATACCTCATGCAGGACGAGATAAGGCAAAGGACTTTGGTGATGGTGGTAAATATATTACCATACACCAATGTGAACTGTTGCAACATATGGTGATGATATGGTTCATTAATGACAGAAAATAATTCTTCGTACACCTGGCACTGCCACAAGTGCCAACTTGATTAATCCATTGATTTGTTTAAACTGAATCTTTTGCAAAAACTAGCATGAACCTCATAAATATATGGAAGAGAAAAGCATTTCTCAAAATATACAAATTTTGCGAATTTTTTCAATATGTCTAACAGGGAAAAATAAACATACTTTATCTGAACATGGGCACTATATATCTCTCCTTTTCTTTCCTTTCCTTTCCATTTCATTCATTTCTTTTTTTTTTTTTTTTTTTTTTTTTTCATTACACAATTTAGTTTAATTTAACAAAAACATGGCACATAGAAAATGTATCAAAAGAGGGATATTATTTAAGTCTGTTAAAAAAGAGTAAAAAAAAAAAAAAAAAATATATATGAACTGATGCTTGTCTAAGTGCGTAAAAAAAAAAAAAAAAAAAAAAAAAAAAAGGCTAAATAAAAAGAACCATACATATATTTTACATGTCATGGAATAATTATTTGAGCATTTCTTCGTTTCATGCAATTTTTTATATTTTTCCTTGAATACTACGTTTAAAGGGAAAAAAAAAAAAAAATAATAATAAAAAATAACTCTCTGGCCATGAGAACTTGAGCACGTCGCTCCTTTTTGCTGTTTGGTGTATCAATTGCTACAGAGAGTAACACGAACCACTGATCACAGCAGTAATTCTGAGGAGTGATTTGAGGGAGCCATCTTAGTGGGTACTCAGGTGAGTAGTGATCTCAGCAATGCCTCGAGTGTGTGATGCAGAAAAAAAAAAAAATAAGTAAAAATGAATAAATAAATAAATAAACAAACAAACAAATAAATAAATAAACAAATAGAATGGGATAGAATAGAATAAAACAAAATATTCAAGAAATCGCTCGAAATCATCCAATTGAAAAGCAATACAATTTTTGGGAGGCACATCAGCTTTCACATTATTCTAACGTCACACCCTTGCCTTAGGTAAAAAAAAAAAAAAAAAAAAAAAAAAAATCGAAGCATCCGTTGGCTGTTTTTCAGCCTGCACATCTTATCGTTTCATAATTCATTGCCTCCAGGATTTTACGATTTTATAACTTTATGATTTTAAGATTTTCTAGATTGTCGATTCACTGCTTAGTCAAAGATGTGGAGTTCCATCAGTCTTTGTGCACGCCCAAGTTACCTACTCGAGATAATGGACTCAAAGTACACTTCCCACCACACTCAACCAATCCCTTACACACACGCTATACAACTGACACAAAATATATGTATTATGTATATACGATCCTTACCACAACTGTTGTTTACAAACGAATATTAATCTATATGTGAAGACCTCCATTTCTGTTATAAAACTAAGGAATCAATTTTTACATTCGAATCCATACATAGATATATATACACAATTACGTATACAACTTTTTTATTCAGCCTTTTTTTTTTTTTTTTTTTTTTTTTTTTACAAATGAAAAGTATAATATTTTTTTCATAAAAAAAATTAAAATAGAAGGCAAAAAATGTAGGTTATTTTATTTTATTTTTTTTTTTTTTTATCTGAGCACCTGGTCAGGTATTACCTTATGTTCATATTTATGAACACATATTTACATGCATAATGAAATCTACAATTCGACAAACACCATGGTGATAAAAAAAAAGAAAAAAATAGCAAGTTTCCCAATGATGTTGAAGATGTAAAATGGGATAAATAAAATGAAGAAAAACAAATTAATGACTTTTTTTTTTTTTTTTTTTTTTTTGTACTCCCAATCAGGAGAATAACGTTATCCCGCAGGTGAGGATCAACAAAGATGTAGAGAAGCATAAGAGTGAAGCATAAATTTTTTTTTTTTTTTTTTTGCTTTTTTGTTTTTGTTCTTTTAACTAATCGTTGTAGAATATCATTAGTAGTAGTACTCTTTGTGATAAACAAATAACGTTTTGTAAATGTAGGAAATTGATGAAACACATACTGTCGTTCTTTATGAGTGTAAGAAAAAAACAGTCCTCTTCACAACCCGCTTCATTTTCCCGACACTCGTGTGACATAAATGAAGAGTCACATATACTGTAGTAAAAACAGTTTGCAATATTCTCCACTCTGGTATTCTACTTAAACATACCCAGGTGAATAAAAGATTTGTTTTACATTCCACTACTATCCTCCTTCAAGGGTTGATACCATATAATGGAGAAAGAATTGTTACTCTAAAAATTGCAAATGTTTCATAAATTTTTAAAACATCAAGGAAAACACATAAATTTGTGATAAAGTCTTATGAAACCAATTTTTTTTTTTTTTTTTTTTTTTTTTTTTGTTTTTATTTGAAAGCTAAGGACGTAATAATGAATGGATTCATGGTAAAATTACACACATATAATGAACATACAAGGGATGAAATTCACAACTCCTTCGAAAATATGTTTGGTGAGGTGAAAAAGAACAAAGAGATAGATGAGTCAAAAAGATGTAAGAGAAGATCAAAATATATACTCACGAAACATTATGTGGATACATATATGACCCCGTTTTTAATAAAAAATGAGGAGAATTGCATATTCCATTGTGTGATTTGTCAAATGGATATAGCGAAAGGTTCCACTACTAGCAGCAATCATATTATCACGAACATTGGTGAAAGTTCTTCCTGTAATTCAAAGGAACACGTTAAAGTTCAGAATAATACACTACAACTGGAATTTCACGGGTCTAATATTTATTTTGAAAATATAGAAAAGGAAGAATTCAAAATCAGAAGAAACGAACAAAATAAGAAATTTAGAGAATATAAAATAAGAAACCAAGATGTGCTTCTGGTTTATGGAAACTTCAATTATACGGATAAGGGCTCTCAAATGAAAAGAAAAAATGACATCAGTGGCTTATATCAACTTTTAAAAAAAAACAAACACAACATAAATAATGCATTCAACTTGGTAGAAGGTAATTTTATCCTTATTTATGTTTGTTACTCGTGTGAACATGTCAATTTATATTTTTTTAATGATTCATGGGGAATGAAATCCTTCATCTTCTTTTATGAACAAAACTCAATCATATTAACAAATATGTATGGCTTATTTATTAATTACAATTTTAATTTTATAAAATATGATAAATTTAATTACTTGTTTGACGATTCATCTGTTAAGGAAGAGCTCAATTTGATTCATCACGATGGAATATTTAGAAAAAACGACAGATTAAAGGTTCCCAATTGGACTAAGTACACAGCACAACAGAAACAACGACAAATTATGAACTCAGCACATGGAACATTTAGCAAGACTGAGAAATGCACTATAAATGAAAAAGTAGGCATACAGATAAACCCATATCATATTTACAATTTATCACTATTCGACAGAGATAAAATTTATGTGAAAAAGTTGTGTAAGCAAAATTGCATTTACACAAACGGCAATGAATGGAATAACGACAATTTGTCAGTTACAGAAAATTTCCAGAATTTGTGCAACTTTTTCGAGCTCCAGAATTTATTTCATCCTTACAGGGATGAGGAAAAATCTTTCTTTAAGGACGAGCTTAATAGGATTGTCATGGATTATCCAAACATGAATAGCAGCGAACGCGCTTGTGCCCAAACGGTGATAAACAACATGTTCATCAACTTGCACTTGAACTTGTTAAGTAGCGTTATTCAGGGAAAGATTGAAGAGTTTTTCACCTCCCCAAGAGGGGAAGACATATCTGTAGAAAACCACCTAAACTGTGCAGGTATAGCAGAAAATGGGGAAAACCGCCTGAACTGTGCAGGTAGAGCAGAAAATGGGGAAAACGGAAAAAGGGAATTGTCCCAAAATGCGCCATTCAGAATGGACACGGACAAACGGAAAACCAAATCAGTAGGAATTTTCTTCTCTGGAGGAATAGATTCAACTTTGCTGGCAATAATAACGATTAGAAAATTTTTCCACGTACATGCAGAAGGGTATATAGAACTAATTAATGTGTGTTTTAATGACAATGCAATTGACAGGTACACGTCTCTAATATCTTATGAAAAAATCATTACCATATACCCAGAATATGATATCAGACTGGTACTCATAGACGTAACTCCAACAGATTTAATAAAAAATGAACGAATAATATTTTCATTAATATCACCAAATAATACAACAATGGATTATAACATATCATCAGCTTTATTTTTTGCCAATTTGGGAAAAGGGGTTCTTTGTCCCCCATCCTTTTTTAAACGCCCAGAGTGGGCCTATATAAAAGGGAAGGTCTTCCACACCCTCAACGTAAATTTGGCTAGTCAGATAGGATCGCCATCAGAAAATTACAGTAAAGTGGGTGAAGAAGTGGGTGAAGAAGTGGGTGAAGAGGTGTGCGAAGAAGTGTGCGAAGAAGTGTGCGAAGAAGTGGAGGAAGGCAAGGAAGAGCAACGACGTGGAGAAGATGTAGACACCAAGATGAAGAATAAATGCAATGTGTGCAATTTTGTCATGAATAAGAAATGTGTACATAAGTGCTGTTCTTGCTGCTGTAGAAAGTTAAGATACGTTTATAGAAGGGAATTCTGTTCAAAGGAAGAGAAACCGCTTGATGAGTCTCACTTCAGGGCAAAGACGAACGAGAAGAATCCATCAGAAGAGGTACAAAATGAAAGAGCCCACTTATACCAAATAAAGAAAGACAAAAACACCGGAGAAATATACATTTATTTAGTTATAAAAAAGAAAATAGTGTTAATAAATTTTGAAATATTTCCAGAATGTCCATCACACAAGGGGAGAGTATATGACTATGAAAAAATTACTTCACTGTTCCTCCAGTTCAACAAAGAGCTAAAGACACAAAAGGATACAAAAGTAGGAAAAGGAAAAAACATTGAAAAATGTTCTACGCTTTACCAGCAGTACAGTGAGCTAAATGTAAATACCTTAAGAACCATGTTTGATAGCGAATTTTATGAGATGGGAGAGAAATCTAGCCAAGGAGATGAACAGAAGCAAAATAAAAAAGTAAATGAAGACTTGATCATAATTTCAAATCGGCCAAATGAAGGGGAAAAGGAAAACTCAGTTGATCAGAGTCTAAAGACCAAGAGAGAAAATAATTTTATTGAACAATTTGCAGCCGAACACGCGGATAGAGATATCCAAATTTTTGAAAAAATAAAAAATTTATTTTCTGTTAATAAAAAGAAAAAAGACAACCAGATGCAGAAGGATAAAATATTCGCTGATCAGTATTCTGAAAAGGAGGAAGAAAAATTGAATTATCTGAGCAGGCATGTGTACAATGGTTCTACTGGCACTGCTGCCACTGCTGCTACTTCCACTTCGGTTACCGCTTCGAACTTGCTAGCAAAAGAAGGAGTGTATGAGTGCACTCACCAACTTTTAATTATAGGTAGCGGGGCTGATGAACTGTATGGGGGCTACTATCGTCAGAATAATGGACAAGTTAAAAGTAAAACTATGAGCAATACATATTTCAAGAAAAAAGAAATGATGAAAGACGTAAAGAGAATATGGAATCGAAATTTGTATCGAGATGATCGAATTTTAAGCTTTACTAGTACATGTAACAAACATATCTTTTATCCATACTTAGACATGAAATTGGTAAACTTCTTATTTATGATGTCCTTTTATATCATAGAATCTCCTATTGGTGAATTAGATGTGAAGATATCACAGGGGAAAAACTTTCAGAAGGATAAACACTCGAATGGTATATCATCCTCAAAGAATCATCTCCTGTCACCAATCTTGATAGAAAAAGACAGAAACAGAAGAATCGAAAATATTTATTGTCCTTTTGAAAACATAGACGAATGCTATGAATTATATGAAATTATACGTACGTATAGAATTAATAAATGGGTTTTACGAATGGCAATTTTTTTCACAAAATGTAAGGAATTAATGTTCTTTAAAAAAAAAGCTATTCAATTTGGTTCAAAATCGAAAGATGTTAAAAAGTATATGCGAGAATACGTAGCTCCTTCGTGCAGTAGCGACACGGCAGGTGGGTTCACACCTGGGCAGAAACAGATGGGGAAGAAAAAGAAGAAGAAAAAGGAGCCGGACGATATGAACAAAACGAGCGAAACGAACGAGCGTAGCATTACTACTGTACCATTTTTTTACAGTGACAAAAAAATAAAGGGAACTGACTATTATACCCTTCTGTATTGAAAAGGAGGGTTTTTTTTTTGTCCCTGTGTGTGCGTAAAACTTTTTTATGTACTTTCCCGTTTTTGCTGCATGGCTAAACCAATATGTACATTTTTTTTTTTTTTTTTTTTTTATGGTTCAAGGGGATGATTGAAGAATATATGGGATCATCCTTGATTTTTTTTTTTTAATAACCCTTAATATTTGAAATGAACACACCCAGAGAGAGCTAGCCATTTTTTCGCGTCATGTCATTTGGTCTATTTAATATGGTTTTGACTTGTGTTTTTATACTCCTTGAAACTTGAGGCATTACACATTTGGGACAGGTTTTTCTCCCTGGATAGGTTCTTCTAACACTTGTGTAACTAATATCCTTCCTGAATCATCTGTTTGACCGCTTCATCAACTTTATTGAAAGGAACGATAAAAATAGTAACAAATTCTTTGTATGTAACCTCTTTATTTTTATTATTGCAAAATTCGTAAAACTTTTTTATGTTGTTATTATTCCACATAACATGATATATTTTATGCTGAAAAAAATATTGCTCTTCATAATTTGCAAAAATTATTTCTTCCCCTAAATTTTTATAAACCTTGGTATAAAAAAGGATATAATCAAAAAAGTAAAATTTTTTTTCACTTTCATCTAAATCTTCAATTCCTTGCGACCAATAAACATCATCAATTACATTTTTGTAAATTAACGGAACTAATTTAATAGGAGTGTTTATAATCCTGTTACTGATATATAACCCTATGTTACCTGTCTTGTCTGACATTATCAGTTTTGTTATCTCCTTTATGTTCTCTTGAAAATCGAGGGTATTCCCTTTTTTCATTTTATTCGTTAGAAATTCTTTTAGTTCCTTTATTTCATCGTACTGGTTTAGGTTGATGATGGTTTGGAATCCCACCACGTTGTCGCTCTCGCTGTTTAAATTGTTGCCACTGCTGTCACTATTTGAGCGACCTGGGAGGCTCAAAAACTTCCCGATGTTTTGCTGGTCACATATAACATTTATTAACTGTTCAGAACACTTTAAATTGTTATATAACTCAGTGCTTCTTAGTAGTATTCTTACATTGTCCTTGTACGTATCGCTTGGGTCTATTAATTCGAAATCGACTACGAGTTCGTCCTTTCGGCTATCCCGTTCGTCTTCAGAATTCTCTGTTTTTTCGTTGGTCCCCTTGTTTCCACCACGGTTCGCTTTCTTTGACTTGTTCAAATTCTTCTTTTTCTTCAGTTTTTCTTCAGCTTTTCTCCATTGTTTATGTTCTTTTTTTTTTTTTTTTTTTTTTCCTTTGTCCAATTTTTTCACCTCTCTGAGTCCTTTGTTCCCTTTCGATTCCTTCGTTGATCCATTATTTCGTCCCTTCCTTGACTCTCTTTTCACATCCAAAATGTTGCCTTTTTTGTCATTTTTTGCTTCTGCATGTGTATTTTCATCACAACTGTTTTTTTTCCTCTCCTCCTTTTCCATTTCTTCGGACTTCACAAACTGGTTAAGAAGTAACCGAAATATGGTTATGCTGTGAAAGGTGATTACCAAATAATGAGCAATGCATGCTTTTCGTTTCGCTACGTTTAGCTTCGTTTCTTTTCTGTTCTTTTCTTTATATTTGCATTTCCTCACTACCCTCCCTTGCGAATTGTTTACGATTCACTCAACCTTCGACCTAACTTATGCGCAGCTAAGCATGTATATGTACGTATATGTACGTATATATATATCTACCTGGTCAGCTCAGTGGCAGCACCCTTTTCCTATATTCACAAAAACAGTCGCGCAGCAACAACAAAGTTTTGGCACGTGAAGAGCACAAACATATATAATGTTAATTCTGAATATTTAGGGAAATTTTTTTAAAGCATGTAAATACACAGTACAAACAAGCCATTTTCATATTACGTGCTTACATGTGAGACATTTTTTTTTTTTTGGTTAAAGCTATATTTCTTACTGTTCGTGCTTTTCGCATTATTCACATTACTTGGATTACTCGTGTCGTTCGTATTATTCTTATTTTTTTCCACTTTTTACTTCTTCACCTTTTTAGCTTTGACTCCTCGGTGAAACACTGAAAAGCATTTCACCCCACCCCCCACATATTAGCTACTTTACCGAAATGGAAGTTGGGGAATATTAAACAGTGGTACCGAGAAGACCCAGGGTGCTACAAAAATGTGAATTTGCGAATGGCTATTTTTTTTTTTTTTTTTTTTTATTTTTCCCCCCCAATTTTTTCCCTTTTTTTTCTGAACATGGAATAATTTTTTCCCAAAATTGGGACAATTTCCCTGACAGGCAAGGTAAAAAAAAAAAAAAAAAAAAAAAAAAAAAAAAAACTAATATAGTCGAAAACCTTAGCACACCACCAGTAACCACGTGATATTAATTTTTATCTCATCTGAAAAATAGGATCAGCATATATCTGCTAACTCCCCCAATAGGTAAAAATATACAATGCAATACGATCGTGTGCAAATCTTAGTTGATAAATTCCGAGAGGACAAATACATTTTAAAGGTATATGAAAAAATATACAAATTGAACAAATGTAAAATTTATAGAAATGTCAAAGTAGCGGATATAGAAAAAAGGAAGAGGGGAGAGCAGAAAACTTGTGCAGGGTATAATGACACAAGCATTGGCGAGTCTAAAAGGGGATACCTGAATGAGTGCAAGGGGACATGTCAAAACGAGCAAGGAGAGAAAAAAGCTAATGGAGAAGAAACCCGTTTGCAGGATGTAATCGAAATTGTGAACAGAATGCTGTACTACTACACAAACGAAACACTCAGACAATTTAGTGAAAATGACAAAGAACTTATTGATATTTATAACAAAATTGATAAGTGTAGCAATTTATGTGAAGATGTAGACAAAGTTTTAAATATGCATAAAAATAAAATAAAAGATATTTCAAGTGACATAAATAATATACAAATATTAACTGAAAACATGAGCGATAAATTAAATAACAGAAAATTAACCCTAGAATTGTTAAACACATATATAAAAATTATTCTTGTTACACCTCAATTAATATATGATATTTGCAATTCTGAAATTAATGACAATTTTGTAAAAAGCGTGCACATATTATCCAAGAAACTAGAAAATTGTAAACATTGCTTATATGATTCTTATCCAAGTATAAAATGTTCTTATATAGAATTAGAGAAATTAAAAACTAAAGCCATAGATAGGATTTACATGTTTTTTTTACACAAATTTCATGATATAAGAAATAAAAAAATTAACATTCACTTTATTCAGCAAAATTTAATTAAGTTTCATCAATTGAATTTATTCCTTTACAACAATTCCTTCCATGTTTACACCTACTTAATAAAGGAATATATAGCCATTATGAATCGCACATATTACAATCTCTTCAAAAATTATATGAATAGTTTGGACGCAAAGAAAGTTGAATTCAGTTCAGAGAAAACTGTTGGTTCCGGTAGCACATATACAAATTACACAGGTCTTCAGATGGACGAACCGAGTTCTACTAATGAAATTGCAACTGCTGCTAATGACACATTAACTATTACTAATGTCATACCAAGTAGCACTAATGTCATACTTAGTACTACTAATGTCATACCTAGTACTATTAATGTCATACCTAGTACTACTAATGTCATACCAAGAATCACTAATGATATTGCAAATACCACCAATGATTCCCTCGTTTCGAGCTTAAATGCCAATCTAAGTCTACAAAGCGCGACAAACAAAATGATGAATATGCTGGGATTCGGAACCAAAGGAAATAGCACCCAAAACAAGAAGGAAAGTATTTTTACTTTGAACAATAGGATCAACATTTTAAGTGATCTGCCCTATTACACAGACATATCTGCAAGTTTTGAGTTACCCATATCTTTGCAAGGGGAAGGGGAGAAACACACACAGGAATCCTTACCTATAATTTTTACAACAGATACATCTCCACATTTCTTTGAAGACATTTACAAGTCTATTAACAAATTGCTAATAGACACAGGTACAACGGAGTATACTTTTTTGTCAACATTTTTTAAAAATTATGAAAACCACGATTTTTTATTTTTATGTATTTACTCAAAAACGATATCCCTAAACTTTGATTTTATATATTATTACCTGAACGAGACGTTTGATTTTATTTCCCTTTTTTGTATATACATAATAAATATGAACAATGCATATATTGTCAATATGAGGAAAATTTACCCATTGTATGAATTTATTAACAGGATTCAAAACTTAATTTGGAATCGAATTCAGTACATTATAATTGAAAATATCAAATCTTTAACTCATAAATATAGGATTGTTAACCATATGAATAACATCCCAGTTAATCCAAATGGAGCAAAAAAAACTATCTACGATTTTTTTTATATTCATCAGAACAGTTATATCAACACAAGTAATATAAATAACAGCATTAACACGGCAGGTAATTATTCACATTCTGTGAGTAGTGTCAATTGCACGCCTTCCTCTAATGTCCGTCTTATCGACAAGGGGGAAGGCGAGAAAGGAGAGAAAAAAGAAAAAGTTGAAATGGTAGAAAATGGCGAAATTGGAGAAAACATCAAAATTGGAGAAAATGGAGAAATGGGAGAAAATGGCGAAATTGGAGAAAATAGAGAAATGGGAAAAAATGGCGAAATTGGAGAAAATATCAAAATGGGAAAAAAAAAAATAAACGTAGGAAAGACATTGCAGCGGGACGCGTTGCAAGAATCGACTAGCCAAATTATCAAACGCAACCAAACGGATACTACTTTTCCACATTTTTCCACAGAATATAAAAAAATGAATAATAATTATTCTCATTCACAAAATTTAATAAAAACTCAAGTACATCCCATTGTTAAGCGTTTTTCTGATTTCTACTGCTCCTTGGTCCTTCTTACAAAATTATCCTTCCATTTTGAAAAAAAACATCGCGAAGAAAAAATATGTTCTGACATTGTCATCACTGGGGAAAGGGAAAATGTTCCAAAAAATTATGACTGTTCAGGTGAAATGGAAAAAAAAGAGAATGCCAATCAGCTAAACTATGTTAAAGATGATAAAAATATTTCGAATAAAGGGGAGATATCAAAATCAATTTCAGCTACTACCACGGATAGTATCTCACAAGACAATCTAAAAAAAACAAAGGATAGTATGAAAATGGTCAAACCTTATGACCATTCAGATGGAAATAACAATCACAGAGATAACAGAAACTTAGCAGATTCTAAGAACAACGATATGATGACGATTTGTGAAAAGAACGAATTTAATGACCAGGTCAAATTAAATAATGATAATGTAAGAGAAAATCTCAAGGAGGAAAGTGAAGAAACAAAAGTTATTGGAGGTCACTCGAACAGACCATATAACATCATGCAAGTGGGAGAAAGAACAAATGAAGAAGAAGCGAGAGGATCGAAGGTGGAGAAGGACGAGACGGAAATCACATCAAATGGAAAAAAAAATACAATTACACATGCAAAAGAAAGTGATATGATTAACACAAAATATAAACAGGTAAATAATCTAATCATAAAGTTAGAAGAGAATTTAATTGAAAATTTACATAATTACGCGAGAGAATTTGTATTGGCACGAGATCAGTTTCAGTTTTTGATTAACAACTATTGTCATTTGATAGATGTTATGAAGAGATATAAAATAGACGAAGAGAAAATTGAACGATTTGATAAATTATTAAAAAAAGAAATTAATTCATACATTGAGTATCAACTAAATGAATACATAACGGATTTAATTCTGTTTGTTCATAAACATGAAGAAATATATGACAATTTAAGTGAAGATGATGGATATGATCTCTCTAATTTCATACAACATGTAGATGTAAAATTAATGGAATCTATTGCTATTCAATTTACTAAAACATGGAAAAATCTTCTTAAAAATATTAAACAAGAAGTTATTCGTTCCTTTACCAACCTGGATAATTCTTTACGTATATTAAAAATGTTGAACACGCAAATTCTTTTATATTTTACCAGATTTCATCAACTTATCAAGAACATTTTTGTAAATTCACAACCCCCACCTTATATTCAGAAATTACCATCTGTGGACATTGTCCTCATTCAAATTAAGAAAGACTTCAAAAATGTGGACTCCTAAAAAAAAAAAAAAAGTAGAATAAAAAAAAAATATATAAAAAAAAAAGATTACAAAAGTGGAAAACTAAAAAATGGGGAGTGTTGATACGAAAAGGAAATAATACAAATCCATTAGTGCAAGCAGGGTTAAAATATATATTCCCTGGTTTTTGTTAACAGCCAATCAGATCAAATTATATTGGTTTAGATAAACTTAAAAAATCAACTTGTTATGCAAAATTAAGTTCTTCCCTGTTACTTTGTATAGAATCAAATATAGTAGGACTAGTACATATATATACTTCTCTACCCATAGTTATACCATTACCTTCAAGAATATTTTTTTCTCCCATTTTGAGTTTTTCTCAGGGGTCCCTAAATTTCAACCCATTTCGATCGATCTATTTTCCTTTTTTTTTTTTTTTTTTTTTCTTTATTTTTCCTTTTCTGTCATTCCACACGGGTAGAGGAAGAAAATCACACCACGTTGTCTGTTAGCCCATCTTTTTTCCCCTTTTTTCATTTTTTAATATATATGCAAAAAAAAAAAAAAAAGACAATTCAGTAACACTGAAATATTCATGGAGACATTTAATATTCACAGTTGATCATTTGTTTGCTTTCCCTTATTCCCACACCCCATGTAACAATGAATTAAATTAAACAATAATTAATAAAATATAAAAATATATGAAAAATTTAATAGGAACACATATTACAAAAGGGAAAAAGAAATGCGGAAGGTAAAATAGAAAAACGTGGGATGATGAAAAAATGAGAAAAAAAAAAAAAAAAAAAAAAAAAAAAAAAAAGTTAAATGTATCGCAAAACATATTACTAATCGGAGCGATAGATGTAGTAAGACGGGAAGAATTACAAATTTGAAAACGAATGAGCACGTATATCAGTCGAAAGGGGTGGCAGATGGGATAAAAATATACCACATGTTTATTATCCTACATGTGAGTATATACTATGTACGTCTGTATGTAAGTATGGAAGAATGTATATGTATGAACATATATATATATACCCGAGATGTAATGCATATTACAAAAAAAAAAAAAAAAAAATGTTTTTATTCATTGAAATTTTCGCATTATGCATATATGTTTTATTGCACATTTGCAAATGAGTTAATTTATCGTCATTTCCGGTTTGCATATCCACCAATGCACAAGGACACACGTATACACACATAATACATGCAAACATATACACATATATATATATATATATATACATACATGTGTGCATAACGATTTATCCATGATTTGACACATTTTATGTGGGTCGTCGTATGTTATGTGTAGTGCACTATTTCTAGCAATTCAGCTTTTCAAAAGTTTTCTATGTCTCGAATTGTTGCTGGAATTTTGTTCACGATTCGCGTCCTTGTGTCGGTTCAATCATTGAAGGTGTCGCATTTGTACTTCTCCATTTTTGGTTTTCCATTTTTGTTTCTCCATTTTTGTTTCTCCATTTTTGGTTCTCCATTTTTGGTTCTCCATTTTTGTTTCTCCATTTTTGGTTCTCCATTTGTACTTCTCCATTTTTTCTATTTCTTCCCTTTTTCTTCTCTTTGCCAGCTAAAATTAGCACTGTTTACATGAGGTTACATTTTCAGCAGAAGCTTCAATGTCAAGCTCTCCATTTGCCGTTACAACTGCCGGGCCATAATAAGCCATTGCATTTCTAGATTTGTAGTATTCATTTCTCATTGCACTTTGTGTTAATTTCACATCATATCTGTGACTTATGGGTTCAAATAACAATCCCCAAACGACACTAAAAAAAAGACTCATTCCTAGAAAGACACAATAAAACCAATCTAAGGATGCAAACATGGCACTATTAAACAATGTTAAGGCTAACACTTCAACAAAAGATGTTACAATAAAACAAGTTCCACATATCCATCCCCAAGCTTCTCCTGCACCTTCTGAATGATACACTTCTAAAAAGAAACATCCAGATCCATACAAAAATAAACAAAATGCGTCAATTAATCTTGAGCTAAAATATAAAATCCATGAAGAGCCTGCACCAATTTTTTCTTCCATCCATGGGTCATCAAAATAGTATGAAGAGGCCATTAGACAAATCAGTGATAAACTCCACGACACGGTTCCTAAGCAGGTAGAGAAGTGTGCACAAAACGGTCATGTAGAGAAGTGTGCACAGAACAGCCTTGCGGAGACGTGTGCAAAAAACAGCCATATTGCCAATATGTGAAGAAATCAATATGACACAAGGGTTGTGCATGCAAATTCTGGTAATAACCCAATAGGAGCTTAATGAATACACCAAATATACATTATTATAATATTTTCGAAATACACACAAACGCACACATCTATAAATTAAAAAAATGGCTAAAATGACATTACATGTCTAAATCCATATGCGTGCACTTCGTGTGTACACCCATATGTATGTATCTCCATTGTACACTCCTTCTACTATTACTTACCCATAGATGTGGCTTGCAACAAAAATTTCGTCCCTGCTCTGTAACCTCTGGACTGCTTAATACTTAAAAAGGGAGATTAAATTTGGCATTAATGAATGTATAGGAGTGGTCATACATGTGTGTGTGTGTGAAGAAGTGTGTATTAACAAATGTACAGAAGTGTGCATGTATGTGTGGAGGTATATGGGCATAAAACTGGTGTCTCAAGTGATCAATCATGAATTTGATATGATAGTGAGACACACATTTAGTAACTTTTTCTCCCTCTCGCTCGTAAAACATGTTTACATGGGGGAGTGTATGTATACATCTACACATTTATATCCATGTGTGTATCTATATAGGCACCCCAGTACATGTGCAAGAAATCACTGATGTACACACAGAGGCACTTCGGAATGTCTCCTGTATACCTGCTGTCATCTTCAGTTAGTTGCAAAAATGACATAATAAGAAGAGTTCCTAATACAAATCCTCCAATGCTAAAAAGGACCAAAGACATTGGTGCATTGCCAACACTCCCAGGTAATGCCCTTAAAAAATTTAAAATTCCTAATGGATTTTTTCCTATTAATGTTATAGAGCATACTAACAAGATGTACGAAATAAATTGAATTAGAAATCCAATACGCAAATTAAAGTTCATGAAAAAATCCCAAAATGGCTCAAACTGTGGTCCACGACCTTCTGGGGCTTCCCCGGGACGAACAACATATGTAAAAAACATTTTTTTCAAAAGTTAAAAGTAGTAATTTTGTGGTGTGTGTGTGCGCTTGTGGGGAGAAGGGGTAGAGAGAGAGAGATAGCCCACTTGTTCGTTCGGGTGGTAGTTCGTTTGTATATTTTTATAGCTGTCTATATATATATATATATATATATATTTATGTTTTATTCCCGGTATATCTGTTTTACATTTGTTTCGTACTTAATTTTATTTATGCATATATTTTTGTGCACATTTTTGTGTGTACTTTTACGTGCCACTTTTGCGTGTACTTTTACGTGCCACTTTTGCGTGCACTTTTGCGTATATTTTAGTATATATTTTCCTTAAATTTTCTGTTTGTTTTTTGCGTATATTCTTTTAGTTAAAAAAACGGCAAATGGTGCAGCAAAAACAAATGTGCACGGGTATGTATCTGTACGCGCGCATATATATATACACGTTTGTATTGTATTGTGTTATATGTATATATTTAGATATATGTGTGTTTATATACATACATGTGTACACCTCTCCGCGAACAAGAAGGTGGAAATGAAACGGGATAAAATGATAAAAAAAGGGAGCAGGGGAAAGCAAACTTTGGGCAATGAGCAGCCAACATGAAAATTAACATGAAAATCAACATGAACATCAGCATGAACAACTAAGCCATCGAATTCACTGATTTCAGACAAACAGTTTTTTTTGTTACACTTGCATTTGAGGGTTGGGGGAGACACAGAAGAGAATTTTCCTCTTTCTAAGTGTGCAGTATGTGTAAATTTATTCATGTACACATATTTACCCGTCTACGTTAACACTATGCTACGTTGTATATATTTATTTTTATTTATTTTTTTTAAATTAAAAAAAAAAAAAAAAAAAAAAAAAAAATCATCTTTGAAAAATTTTTATATGAACAGTTAGTTTTTTATGTTTTTTTTTTTTTTTTTTTTTTTTTTTTTTTTTTTTTTTTTTTTTTTTTTTTTTTTTTTTTTTTTTTTTTTTTTTTTTTTTTTGTCAAACATTTAGCTAACAATCGAATGTGTGAAATCGTTTTTTGTAAACTAAAGAGCCGGAAATAAGGATAATAGAAAGGTTCATTTGGTACATGAATTGACTTAAACATGTATTTATAGTACAAAAGTGTTATCTACATGTGTATTTGTATATGTGTATTTTTATTTACAAGAAATTTACATGTACACACATGTGTAGCGCTAGTTTATAGAATTTTTTTTTTTTACCTGTACATAATAATTTTTTTTTTTTTTTTTTTTTTTTATTTTACGAGTGCATAATACTTTCTTTGTTCTTGAGCGTATTTTTTTTTTTTTTTTTTTTTTTTTTTTTTTTATTGTTATTTTTTTTTTTTTTTTTTTTTTTTTTTTTTTTTTTTTTTTTTTTTTTTTTTTTTTTTTCTATATGGAAAATATGTACAGATGCAAATGATGAAGTGTGGCAACATGTACACCTACAAGCTTAGAATGTGAAAACATGAACCACGTGTAAGTGTTAGACCGTGATTATGGGCACACACATAAGCTTACACTGTGACCATATACACACACATAAGCTTACACTGTGACCATATACACACACATAAGCTTATACTGTGACCATATACACACACATAAGCTTATAGTATGATAATATATGCACACCTGTAAGCATCAACGCGTGGCCGAAAAACTAAATGAGAAGGACTAACACACCGTCTGCAAAATAACATAAAGTACCTTAGCAACAAGCACAGATATTAACATGTGGATCTACATTATACACATGTTCGTGTTTAGAAACAAATATTCCAGTGGTCGTATACTCATTTTCTATTGTTTACATTTCTTTTAGTAAAAATGTTAAGAAGTTGTTCTTTTTTTCTTTCTTCTATTTTCCTTCACAAATTTTTACCTTCATAGCAAAATGATTTTCCTTTTTTTTTTTTTTTTTTACTGGAGGGGTATGCAACAGTGGTGCGATATGTGCACATGATAATAAAGAAAGTGCGTCAAAGTTAAAAAAAAAAAAAAAACATTACAAATAGTTCGAATCATGCAAATGTATTATGTGCAGGTAATATGCACAAATGTACATGCATATATACACATACATATTGCATATACATAAAATATGTACGGTTCACCCGTAGTTTGTTAGTGATGAATAATTATTATCATTTCATTTCTACAATTCAAGTGATAATTGTTGTATTACAAGCCCTACTTGTCTACACTTTTGTGGAAATAGAAATTGAAACACAGACACACTTTCCAATAAAAGAAATATATTATTCGTTCCCATATATGCCCATGTGTTGCTATTTCCAAAGTAGCTGAGAATTTTTTTTTTTTTTTTTTCAGTTCTGCAACAGTTGCTTAGTAGTCACTCATTTGTTCAGTAGTCACTCATTTGTTCAGTAGTCACTCATTTGTTCAGTAGTCATTCATTTGTTCTCTTCTCTGTTCATTCATTCACAAACGTTAGCACATTTTTTTTTCTTTTCTTTTTTTTATCTTCTCATGTTCATACAAAAATGAACCAAACACAACAGCAATGACGCATGTAACTTTCGCTAGAAGAGATGATAAAAGGGGTGTACGAAAAGTGAAATGTTAAAGCATCGCGAAGGAAACTAAAAAGTGGACAATGTGCAGCAAAATCAACGGTCATATTTTGGCATTTCGCTTCATCAACATACATACCTACATGCGTACATATATGTGTGTTTATGTTCATATTTATGGGCGTAAGAACAAGGAAATATTATTTGCCTGATTGTACATGTAACTATATCCCATTTTTTGAATGTGAAGAAGAAGACAAAAAATATTGCTGTACAAGTGAGCTTGAGAAGCGTGTTTTTTTTTTTTTTTTTTTTTTTTTTTAGCATGCTGATAAGGTCATGAATGTGTCATCCCTATTAACGTCTCAAAAGTTGAGAAAATTTGAGGTTTCCTTTCCCCATCTCTGCAATGTGCATCGTCCCATAGTACCACACAAGTATGAATGCATGTTTACATGCGTATGTGCATGTAAATGTACATATACATGTGGCATGAAGGATATTAATCAATTTTTGCTTTCTCAAGGAAGTTTCACCACCACTGATTATTTCACAAAACGTACAACTTATATTCTCATCCAACTTGAGTATTTTTTTTTTTTTTTTTTCAAACGAGCTCCTATAGTTAAAGTAATTTTCTTTCATTAGCTCTTAAAATAGAAAACCCTTCGATTGTTAGATCAATATAGACAAGTCGAATGTGTATATACATATATATATATATATATATATATATATATATATATATATATATATGTGTATTTTTTTTTTTTTTTTTTTTGGAAGGTTTTGGTACATGAATAAAAATTTAGCAAACTGAAACTTGAAAAAAAAAAAAAAAAAGAGGTAACCCAAATGACTAAAATGGACAATATAACCAAAATAAGTGATAACAAAAAATGAGAGTAAGATAAAAAGGCAAAATATAACACGCGTTGGAGAGATTAAATAAGGACAATCTCCCTCAACGTGGTTAATAATATACTCGAAAACGAAAACATAAAAAACTGAGTATTCAAAAGTGTGTGTAACAGGTACATAGCCAAACTGATGGGGAGTCTTTTATGTCTGTACAGGAGAATCAGAGAAAGAATATATAGCTACAAAATATTTGTTCTCCCATGCTTTTATTAAATTTTACCTCACCTTGTGATCAACATAACTGATTAGTTTGTAAGTGTAAAATACACAAAATGGTGAAGTACTGAAAAAAAAAAAAAAAAAAAGTAGCATAAATTCTTCCCGTATTGTCTCTTCTACCCTATAGCGGTGTGCACACATATTTACATGTCATCTTGGGGGTGTCGGATAGTTAGAGGCTGGCATATTTTGGTTTTTCAGTGTTTGAACTTGTTCTAATATTTCCTGTAATTTTTCCTTAGGCGTGTTTTTAATAATGGATAGTTGTTTTTGTTTTTGTCTAATTTTATCTCTAACAAATCTCAATCTATCTTCAGAGTTTTGCAACATCAATGCATCATATCTATCAACAATCATAAGATGAAAGTCGAATGCAGCAAAAGCTACGATTTGAATAAAAGCTTGTCTCTGTTCAGGATCTGAAGGATCTACTTGAAACTTTTCTAATTTTGCATCTATTGATTCTTTTAAATCATTTCTTAATTTGATATTCATAGAAGCAAATGACTGGTCCAATTGTTCCATTAATTGTGATTCCATAGTAGAACATTGCGAATGAATTCGAATAATTTCATCCACCATTTTTAAACTGTCTTCAGCATCTGATAATCCTTTTTTATCTTCTATTGGCGATATTTTCCCTAAAATACATGGTTCCTGATTAATAATTTCATCAATTATAACTCGACCTCTTACTATTCCCTTAACAGCTAGATTATTTCCAACCTTAGTTACATCTTTTATTTCTGCATAAACAGCTAATGGTGCCAATACACCTGTTTTATGATTAAAAAAACACATTCCAAAAATTTTTCTTTTTTCTCCATTTATATTTATTTCTCTTGTCATACTTTTAAAAATATTTTCAACATTTTCTCCATTAAATTGCATATAATCTTCAAATCCTACTTGTAGTGGAGATGGCTCATTGGACATCTCTTCCAGCAAAATAGGAAAAAATCCTAATTTATTATTTTCATCAAATTCAGTTATCCATTCGTTTATTCTCCCTTTCACATTTCTTGGCACATCTTCTATGATTGGTTTGTCTGTAAGATTTATTTTGTAATTCTCAGCATATAATATATTGCTTCTTTCTTTTTTTCCTCCCTCAGATTTCCATTTTTTACACGTCTCTCTAACATATCCTTTAACATCTGGGACAAAATAATTATTGCTGTTCAGGTAATTATATGGATATATCCATCCTCCTCGATATTTCCTTCGCTTTTCTTTCTGACCCTTCATCCATAGTTTCCCTATGTTAAAATAACTACCTCTGGTATATGCGCTCCTGTCGTTCTTTGTCCTTACATTGTGATGTTCATTTGGTGATAAGTTCATGTCACCACTTATTAACATTGTTTTCTTTGCATAGCTCCCATCATGCTTTAGTAAGATCTTCAGAAGAAGACACCAAAAGATGCAAGAGCTCACCATGGAGGATGTTCCTTTCATGTCGTATCAACGTAGGATCCCTTTAGGTTTGTGTTCCCACGATGCGTTTTGTAGTATCCTCCTACATGTACACAATGGAGTTGCAATTTTGGCGCACACGTCAAGGAAAAAAAAATGTACATACATATAAAGCAGTGAAACGGAATGGTAAAAATGTACAACTCCTGCGGGGAGGAAAAAAAAAAAAAAAAAAAAAAAAAAAAAAAAAAAAAAAAAAAAAAAAAAAAAAAAAAAAAAAAAAAAAAAAAAAAAAAAAAAAAAAAAAAAAAAAAAAAAAAAAAAAAAAAAAAAAAAAAAAAAAAAAAAAAAAAAAAAAAAAAAAAAAAAAAAAGGAAAAAACTCGTTGAACAGCCCATCCACAAATTATTTCCCTCTTGTGCAATTCTGCAACGGATGTAACCCCCCCCCCCCCCTGTCACCTTTGAATGAATGACAATCGAAAATGGTATATGATTATATATATATTATATATATATATATATATATATATATATATATATTTTTTTCTTTTTTTGTTTTACTCGTAAGCCAGGTTAGAGATCACCCAGAATATTGTTCCGTTAAAATGGTGTCATCAATAGGAGCCACTCCCCCCCTTTTTTCGATGCGCAGCACCAATTTAAGGATTTTTTTTTTTTTTTTTTTTTTTTCCCACCACATTACCCATTCATCAACACATAGGAACGATAACACACATTGGGTAATTATACATCTCTCTTTATGAACATGTGAATATTTTTTTTTTAAGTTTGCAGTTATACATTGGAAATTTCCTCTTTCCTTTTAAACACTCTCCCACCTAGGTTGTATGGCCTACTATTTGTGATATCACCATGTACTAGGGATTCACTACATAATGTGAAGAAGAGGCAAGGAAAAAGAAATGTAATCCATTATAGGTAATTCTACATTGAATAGGACTTTACATTTCATTATGAATTAACATGCATGGAAAAAAAAAATCAGAATTGTAAGGAGGAAACTTCACCTTTTTTTTTTTTTTTTTTTTTTTTTTTTTTTTTGGATGCTAACTTCTGACATATGACACGTTCTTGCTTTTCACCTTTTAAAATGGAGGTGAGAAAAAAAAAAAAAAAAATTTTAAAAGGTCTGTTATTTGAACTATATTCATTATGATTTCTACCCATCTTTGAGAAAAACGTTCCTGTTACCTCTGCTTTGGTCTTGTGTGACATTCTGAACGATCGATCAAATTCAAAACCTGCAATGTGTAGTGGTGTGCAATGTAAAATCACGTGCAGTGAAGATACCTCTATCGCGTGTCATAATTTTTCTAACTTGATAATCATTAAAAAAAGGAAGGAATGTAAAGAATCGTTTTGAAAGAAAAAATGTGAATCGTTTAGCTAGTCATGCAAAAACGGAGAAACGGCAAATGGACAAGTGGACAATGAAACAAAAAAAAAAAAGGATAAAAAATTGTAAACTTAAAAAAAAAGGTAAAATGGAATGGCAAAATGGAATGGCAAAATGGAATGGCAAAATGGAATGGAAAAATGGAATGGCAAAATGGAATGGCAAAATGGAATGGAAAAATGGAATGGCAAAATGGAATGGCAAAATGGAATGGAAAAATGGAATGGCAAAATGGAATGGCAAAATGGAATGGAAAAATGGAATGGAAAAATGGAATGGAAAAATGGAATGGCAAAATGGAATGGAAAAATGGAATGGAAAAATGGAATGGAAAAATGGAATGGAAAAATGGAATGGAAAAATGGAATGGAAAAATGGAATGGAAAAATGGAATGGAAAAATGGAATGGCAAAATGGAATGGCAAAATGGAATGGAAAAATGGAATGGAAAAATGGAATGGCAAAATGGAATGGCAAAATGGAATGGAAAAATGGAATGGCAAAATGGAATGGAAAAATGGAATGGCAAAATGGAATGGCAAAATGGAATGGAAAAATGGAATGGAAAAATGGAATGACAAAATGGAATGACAAAATGGAATGGAAAAATGGAATGGCAAAATGGAATGGCATAATAGTAAAGTAAGAAAAAAAGCATGCAAAGTGCTGATGCAATTTTTGATCTAGTATAGGAAACCTACATGAACATAGAGACCCCGGTATGCCGAGTATGTCTGATGTGTTTCTTCCAAAGAAACATCTTAGATGGAGAAGACCTACGATTGGGTAGGTGGGTGGCTTACATCGGATGACAGTGGATTGTATTCCATATGGTACAACCTCTTCATGTAAAACAAAAGGGAGAGTAATATAATGAGTGCAAAAAGCACAAAAAAACTGTATAGGGAAAAAAATGGAATTTTTAGAAATATATTATCATTTCTTTTATACTCATTATATGTTCTTGGTCTTGATTTTGTAGAATGAGATGGACAATTAGAATCGACAAAACCAATATGATTTTTTTGAATGTCAAAAATAACTTGTCTATTTTTAAAAAATGTTAAACCTAATATGGGTTTGTTATTTACTTGTTTTTCTATTCCCTTACACCAAAATGATTCTTTTTTATATAAATAAGAATGAGGTTGCCATTTTAATTTATAATTATTTGATAATGTTATGAAAAGGTCAGGTAATCCATCTAGATATTTCCAACATTGTACCCCATCTACTATCTTTATACACATATTTTCTTTCTCTATAATATTTTTTAACGACTTTTTAAAATCATCAAAATGTACTAGTGGATTATTGAATGATTCATTTGTCATCTTCAATCTTTTATTCACATCATATACATTATTCATATCGGATATACAAAGAATATCAAAAAAAAAATTTATTTTGTTGTATAAATCTTCAGGTACATGTGTAAATGTGCTACCTGAGTCTACTAACATTTCCAAAGTTTTCGTTGAGTTCATAAGATTCGTTCCATAAAAGTCTAAGCCTCTTACCTTTATGTAGTAATAATATTTTCTCGTTATGTTTTCCCACACTATTTTTTCTGCTTCTCTTAGCCCCTTTTCTCCATTCCTCATTTCATCTTGGGGATGATGATAACCATTTTGTTCATTCTGTTTATCACTTGGATTCTCTACATTGTTATCTTTTCCAACTTCATCAATGTTTTTGTTCCTACTGTCAGAACGAACGATGTAATCATTCTCATACCCTCCTGCTATGAATTCTCCTCCACTTTCCGATATACAAATTGTAAAAATTTCCTGTAGTTGAGGAGCACTATTAAAAAGTAAATTGATAAAAGTTGGAATGCCATGTGGTTTAGAAAGACTTAATCCTAGAACTCCCGTGGCTTGCTGATACAAGAAGAGGCTTTCTTCATGCATATGACAACCCATTAATTTTTTAAAAGTTATTTTTTCATTGTTGTAAGATACCACACTAACTACATCTGAAAAGTAAAACCCATTAATTTGTGAACCTTCACAATATGATTGCATATATTCACATTTACCTTTAACACAATTCAGTTTAAAAGGACATTCATTCTTTTCATCACAATACAAAATAGATGACGTCTTAGAATTGTTCAGGTTAAATGGATTCTCCATATGAACTCCACAACTTTTACAACCTGCACATGGAAAGCTCAAAGACGATGATCCAGTGTCAAGTATTAATGATATCCTCTGTTCAGGGGTTCCTATATCTATATCTAAAAAGTAGTATGCATATTCATCTATATCTCCATATAATTTATATTTGTACAAGGGGAAATTCTTTCTATTTTCGAGACCTTCACCTTTGCACTCAATATCTAATAGACAAATTCCAAATACAAAGATGACAAAAAATGAAAAAATGGAAAAAAAACCACGTGTGTGGTTCCGAAAGAACCCTTTGTCCATCTTTCTCCAATTTGGTCCACTTCTCCAGTTTGGTCCACTTGTCCAATTTTGTTCGCTTCACCAATGTGAATTTATTTTCAGAATGTCTCCTTCCAATCCAATGTCAAGGCGTACCAAAAATGTAGACTTTTAATTTTTATTGTTGTTACAGTATGATGTATGATATATGCTGATGTGAGTGGGTATACACGTCATAAGACATACTTTGAGGGTATTCTTCTTTGTTGTGCAAAAAAAAAAAATTCAGGATCTGAATATTTTCAAACACAGGCATGCAGGGATGAGAGAGTGGTGTGTAAAATTTAATTTCGAATGAAAATTGGAAATCCTAAAAAATTCTGCTAATTATTTGTCTTGTATGCATTTGTTAATTTTTATTTTTCTCTTGTAAAAAATATATGTGTAAAAGAGAAATATATATATATATAAATATATATATATATATATATATATATTTATATTTTTTTTTTTTTTTTTTCTTTATTAACGTTTGCACTACTAAATGCATCGAAGGGTACTTTACTTTGAACTGACCAAATAGAAATGAACGGGTGTGTTTTCCTTGATTTGTGTTCAAGTTCATTTTTCCTCCACTTCGACATTCAGGAATAAATACATATAGGAAAACTTAACTATTTGTAAATTTGCGTGTGTAACAGAATTGTTCGTTTTATAGCATACATGTACATCATTGTTTTCAACATCGTTTGAAGTAGTAAGTGTGTATGTGTCTCTCCTTTGAATCGACGCTTGTATCTCCTCTTTCACTTTATATGCTTCTAAAATGTATATGAACTAAAAGTTGTTTGAAGTCATATCCAAGTAATTTTATTCAATTTGTTAAAAATTATTGTATTTCATTGATGGTGTACATATATGCAAGATAAGGAATTTTTTTTTTTTTTTTTTTTTTTTTTTTACACTGGTCTGAAATAATTTCCATTATGGCATATGCAAGTTGAGTTATCTTGGAATTTTTTTTTCCTTTTTGGTTATATACCAGGTGTTAATATAATGCCATTACTATTTTACTTCATCGGATTTCTTTTTTCAGCATGGTTATATGTGTTTTCAATTTGAGGAGTTGCAAGGGGGAAATTTTGTCGCGGGAAAGGAGATTAGGTAAAAAATAAAATTAAAAGGGTACAAATTGAGTGGATGTAAAATAAGTGGGTAAATAATGAGCATCTGACTATTTGCTTGTGCAAAATGCGTGGGGTATTTTTTTTTTTTTTTGGATAATTTTTCTCATCAATTGGGGTGTTGAAATAGTGGCTCATAGTGGACACATGCATATGCATACACATGCACATACGTGTGTATGGCCTTTGCGGATTCGCGTGGGTTACAGAAGTGTGCTCTCGGTATGTGTTTCAAATATTTCTCCAAATTAATGCAGCACACAAAAAAAAAAAAAAGAAAAACAAAACTAGCGAATCCTACCAAACGAACCAAACGAGGGACTTTTTTTACACATAAAGCAGATTGAACACTGAGGATTTTTCCTACCCTCCTCCTCCTCCCCCCTTTCCCCTTCCTTGAGGTGGCGTAAAAAGGTAAGTACTCCCTCTCCTTTGGTTTTTACTTATTCGTTTCGACTTGTTCTTGCGCATGCATTGTCGCTTCTTTTATATATATTTTTCACTACTACACTTTCAGTAAATGCGTTTCAGTGGATTGATTATTTTTTCTCCCTATTTCCTTTTTACTCACCCCTCTTACATTTTTTTTATTTTTGTATTTTTCAGCTTGTGCAAGGGAAAATTGGAAACAATTTTTTTTTTTTTTTGGTGGGCTCAAAAATTCGGCCAGGTTCAGTAGGACACGTTTCTTAAATTCCTACTGCAACCCCCCACGTGTATAAATGTGAATGTGTTGTGACAGTACTGTGAATGTTATTGTGAATGTATAGTCACCTTTCTTGCATTCGTTTCTCGTTATGTACTTACCAATCTTGTGCCACTTTAAAAGAAAATAAAAAAGAACAAATCAACTCTGCTAAAAATGAAAAGTGCCAGATGGAGAGCACGCAAAGCAGATAAAGCAAAGAAGTGTAAGAAAAAAAAAAAAAAAAAACCTTTGTACTGAATAACTATATCAGCTTGTTGTGAACATTGAAAAAGTCCGCATAAATCACACAAATGCATAAGTTCATTTGTATGAACGTGCAGGCGTTGTGTATATTTTTTGTGCATGTATAAAAACACATATATAGGTGTACTATTAAAACACCTGTTCAATTTCCACATTGCTGAAAAAAGTTACACTATTCTAATGGTGAACATGAAAAAGTATACTTAGGGAGTCAAAAAAAAAAAAAAAAAACACCTTTCTTCTCTTTTAAACCACGGCAGGTTTGCATTATATATGGCTTAGGTATCATTTATAATGTCTACTTTTGTATATTTACGACCGCGTTTTTGCTTTGCATGCACAAAAATAATAATATTCATATTTTGTTCTCCCCCTAATTTTTATGGGTGCCCAGTCAACACGCACACAATTGGCTAGCGGAAAAAAAAAAAAAAAATGCACGTATATATATGCACGTACATATGAACATGCATAAACATATGAACATACATTTACATATCCAAAATGTATAAAAAAAATACGTACACAAAGGCAGACATCACCTGAACATGAAATAATTTATTCCGTTCACTCTAACAAATATACCATTTTAGAATGAACAAAAACAGCTATTAAAACGCGTTGTATTCTTTAGGCATAAACATGGAATATAACATGTCCACAATATACACATACATGCATGTATATGTATATATGGGCAACTGTAGCACCCCATGTATAGAGCTTGCATGCGTATTAATATAAATTTATAACATTATGTTCGGTTTTTATGGCACGTGACAGGCAAGGCAAAAAAAAAGTTGCCACATATACACTCGCATAATCATATTCTCAAATGAACAACCTAAATTTACTGCATGATTTCTTTGCTCTTATGTGCCATTATGGGATCGGTTTCAGTTTCAGTTGTTGTAAAAAAGAAAAAAAAAAAAAAAAAGGCACGTTTCTTGCGTGCGTGCACGTGTTGTAACATATATGCATATACATACATGTATGTATATAAATATATAAGTATATAAAAAATATATATACATATATTATATGCATATGTATTTTGCACAAGGAGAAGAAAACATACTTAAGGATACCCTTTTCGTTCCTAATTGCGCCACGAGGTGTCAAACAAAGTTCAAAGGCGTGGGGTAGAATTTTCTGCATACATATTAACCGTGCATATATATTAACCGTGCATACATATTAACCGTGCATATATATTAACCGTGAACATATATTAACCGTGAACATATATTAACCGTGAACATGTATTAACCGTGCATATATATTAAGCACTGCTATGTTGCACTGGTGCCAGAGAGAAGGGGAACCGTTACTTCTCATCATCAAAAGAAGTGCCAACCCCTCCACTTCCACTATGGTTCAATTAACTTTTTTTTTTTTTTTTTTTTTTTCCTTTTTTAAGGAGAACGACCAGTTTAATCCCTTCTACGCGTAGGTTAAAATGTACTCTCTTCGTGTATATAGCGTAAAATAAAAAAAAAAAAAAAAAAACACATTTTTCTTTATTATTCCACAGGGAATATTCACATATGCTTACATATATATTATAATACATAATAAATACATCATAAGCGCAGGCACGATATACATATTATATATGTATATGTATATATATATATATGTAAAATACACGTTTAATCACGTTTCGAATAAGAGTGAAAATTCTTTGTGACGAGATTAAGAATAAAAAAAAAATATACACAGGCTTTTTTTTTTTTTTTAAAAAATATTGATCATATAGGTATATCATCTAAACGCGATAGATATATAACTGCATGTATACATATGCCTGCCTCCTCCCCGAACAGGAAAAATATTTTACTTTATTTATTTTTTTTGTTTTTGTTTACTTTTTTTCTTTTAAAAAAAAAATTTGTAACAGTTTTCAACCAAAATAGAGATTTTTTCACCTGAGTTAGAAAACAGTCAAGTAGATTTTTTTTTTTTTTTTTTTTTTTTATAATTTTACATATCATCGGAAAAATGGTAGAGGGAACTAAGGAAAAAAGTAAGAAGAAAATAAAATAGGCCTTGCAAAATGGGCTCAACAGAATAGTGGAATAAAATTAAAAATAACGAAAAAAATACGGCATACTTTATGCAAATGGGAAACATTTTTTTTTTTCTTCTCCATATCCTTTATGACTCATGAGCTTTTTTGCTACTTTACCCGATCGTGTGTATTATTTCATAAGCACGAACTTCGTTGAGCTGTATTTAAATCCACCCGTGTACTTTTCACTCGACATTTCCTCCTTTACATCCTACGTCACACTACCTAAATATTGATTCCCATCCTCATATTTACAGAAAATGTTGTAGATAAAAAAAAACAGGACAATAAAAACAAAAAAAATGTTAAAAATGGAAAAAGTAACCTGAAGGTAACCCCAAACAACAACGATAAGGTGTTAAAGAAGAATGAAAAAAAGAAAGGAAACGATAAGCAGAAAATAAGTGACAAGAGTAAGGTTAAGAAAACCATAACTAAGAATCTCAGTGGAAAGAATCAACAGGTTAAGAAACTTAGTAAAGACAATGCACTGAAAAAGAAGAAGAAAAAGATAACGACATCCATTCGTTTTAAGAGGTAATAACTGTTATGTCCTGTCAAATAAATTTGAAAAAATTTCTCCCCCAATTGCAGTTATGCGAAGTTACAATAGTGACCAGGGTGGAGGCATGTAATTCTGTATGTTCCAACAGCCAACTGTCGCTACTGCCAACTGTCGCTACTGCCACCCGTCGCTACTGCCAACCATGTTGCATTATTTTTTGAGGTGGGGATGGGAATGACGTATGCCCACTCACTGTGTTATATTTTTGCACACCTTGTTTGCCACGTGATTCATCTTATTTCTCCTGCGCCTTTACCCATTTTCTCAGACCTAAGACGTTGAAATTGCCGAAAAATCCAAAGTGTCCAAAAATTGTCAAATCATGTTATAAGAAAACACTTGATAAATATGGAATTATAAAATATCCTCTTACATCAGAAAAGGCAATGAAAAAAATCGAAGAAATAAACACACTAGTTTTCATTTGCGACAAAAGAGCAGACAAAAAAAAAATAATGAAATCTGTCAAGGGGCTCTTCGGAATTACGTGCGAAAAGGTTAATGTCCTTAATAGGTATGTAAAACGGGAAGAAGAAAAAAAAAAAAAAAAAAAACACCCACACGTGCATCCACATGTGAGTTTGTACATACATATATATATGTATATATATATATATGCACATGTATTTGCATTTTCATATGTTTGTGTGCATACCTCTTCAATGTAAAACGAGCTACTCTTGCTCCTTAATTTTTTTTTTTTTTTTTTTCCCCCACCTTTTCTAGACTCAACGGAGATAAAAAGGCCTATGTGCGATTGTCCAAGGATCACGATGCGTTGGAAGTAGCCAACAAAATTGGAATTTTGTAAAAAAAAAAAAAAAAATTACATTTTTAATTCGTTCATATCTTTTCCCCCATTACTTATTTTTGAAAAGAAAGCACACACACGGATGCATGCCTGCACGGGTATATATATATATATATATATACATGTACATATGTGTACATATATGTATAACTATGCATGATCTACCTTGGGGAATATGCATAGACCAAGTGAGGCGTACTTTTTCGTGCCTGCTTTTTTTTTTTTTTTTTCCCATATCGCTTTATTCATGTATACACCAAGTTCCACACGTGGAATAATTAAGCTTTTCGCACACATGTTGTGTTTAATAAAATTTATCAAATTTCTTTCAAATAAAACGGGAAGAAATGCAGGAGAGAAACATATTTCCAATTTAAAAAGTAAAAAGGAAACGAAACGAATAACGCAAATACAAACAACGCGAATGCAAACAACGCGAATGCAAATAGCGCGAATAATTTCTCACAATTTCAAATAGTCTTAAAAATGACAAAACCTTTCGTCTACTAAAACGTTGTGTACATATATTACACACGCTGCAAAGACGTCGCAGTGATGTGTCTTTTCATTTGTCCAACAGTTTTAATTTCCATCCTTCATTGGGTGCTTGTAAACATCAAGCTTCAATATTTCATATTCACATTCCTCTGAATCGTCTGAAGCAAAGTTATCTGGGGAACTTTGATCAATTTCGAAGGAACACTTATTTTTGTAAAACAAAACTGCATTAAAATTTTTCTTCAAAACAGTGCATAAAATTTTTGGAATGTTAATGCGTGTACATAAAGCTTTAAGCATGTCTATGAGATGTTTACCAATTCCACGTTTTGTGTATGCTGGTGCAATTTGAATTTCGTAGAGGTAACAAACGGTTGTGTTTTCATAAGGTGGATAATCAGCTGTTAATCTGTAGTGCACGAAGCATACTAGTTTATGTTTGGATAGGTATATTTCCAAATCATTTTTATTTTTATCATTTTGTTTTATTATTTGAAGGAATGATAAACGATCTTTCTTCTTTTCCCCATTGTTTGTTGGATCAGATGGATGATCTTTTTTTTCATCAAATGTATATTCATTTTCTTCATTTGTGTGTTGTAGAAAACCTAATATCAATTTGCATTTATCACTTTGTAATTCTTTCCATTTCTTATCATCAGACCAACCCTTATTTAAAAAATTACTATCATTGTATAGTCTTTCCATGTTTATTTTTGTCATTTCAAATAATAAGGTAAAAACTTTATCGGATCCACTAAATTTCTTCAATTCATATGCATTAACAGATTCGAAGTAGATAAATGGGGCTTCCACATGTTGACAAACTTTCTCTTTCTCTATACTTCCATTTTTAAGGTGATCATTTTTTTCCTTTTTTTTTGTAACGTCCTCATGTTGTATTCTCAGAATGTATTTTTTATAAGTACTGTCATCAATAAAATCGAAGATATTATCATCATCTTTGCAATTTTTAATTCTTTTAATTAGTTCCTTACCTTTATATATGTCATCTTTTCTCTTACTTCTCTCCCATTTCTCTTTCTTATTAATACTCTTCTTCTTCTCACTAATTTTGCAAGATTTTCCTATCTCCATTCTTCTCGTCTTACTCTCCTCAATTTTCTTCATTTTTGCATTTTCCGTTCACATTAAGAATGGAAAAAAGAAGGATCCGGTGTCCCTCACCTACCATTATATCTGCTTTGTACACTAACTCACTCAGTTCTCAGAAGCGATATTTTACTCTCGTTTTTTTGCTTTCCCTTACTCAATACCTTTGGGTAATACCAATTTATGATTACTTTAAGGCTAAGTCCGACCAGAGGAGGGAGGCGTGTCGATTTTAAAAGAAGGAAAAAAAAAAAAAAAACTCTTATAACACAACAAATGGATCAAATAAATTGTGCATCCCAAATGGATCAAATAAATTGTGCAGCCCAAATGTATCAAATAAATTGTGCATCCCAAATGGATCAAACAAATTGTGTAGACCAAATGTATCAAACAAATTGTGCATCCCAAATGGATCAAACAAATTGTGCACAACAACTCACATGTGCTGTCTATGATGTATAAATGTTGAAGTGTGATGTTATTTAATTGTAGCATAGTTTTTTACATTACCATGTGCAGGCAGAGTTGAAACGTTTTAGTGCTTCCAAGGTATGGGATATTCTTAGGCTTTACCCCATCCCCACACTCTCTAGTATTACTCTCTTTTCTATCCCTTAACACAACTTTGATGTACTTGAGGAATCACCACCCCTTATGCAAAAACGTGTATCGCATGTGTGTGTGTGTGTGTGCAATTCAGTTGGAGGTCATTTGACCAAGCAGCATTTCCAAAAAATACACATCTACCAGTTTCACTAACAAACCTTGATTAAGTTATACATCAAGTAGTATGCATGTTCATGCCATTTCAATGTACAATCTACCTGTTTCTAAAATGAAATAAAATTGGAGAAGAAAATTAGCATATGTCTCTACGCGTAATATGCAACTTTGCTAGTTTATGCGCTTTCCCTCACCCCCTTGTCGTCCTTAAGGGAGGTTTCATATTCTCTGAACACAAACTTACGTGCTATACGTACATACGTGTTATTTCTATTCTTTACATCTATTCGTTGCTTCTATTCGTTATTTCTATTCTTTACTTCTATTCGTTGCTTCTATTCGCTACTTCTATTCGCTACTTCTATTCGCTACTTCCATGCATGTGTGTGTGTTTACATGTTTCTCTTTCTTCTCTTTATGCAACGGAATAAGGGAGGCTTATTTACAGGCAAGTGCGGACGAACGGGACGAAGTAAAAAAAAAAATATATATATATATGTATATATATATATATATATATATATTCTATGCATACTTCTCCTCTTCGAAGTAAATAACATGAACTGCAAAAAAGAAAAAAAAAAAAAAAAAAATTATGCATGAATAATCATATGGAAAAAAGAGCACTAACTTGGGAGTTGGGGTGGGGGGAAGGAAAAAAAAAAGAATATTTTTTTTTTTCAAGAATTTTAAAATGTTACTACGATGTAATGGACGTGCCAGGATGCATTAAAATGCTTTTAAGTATTTAAAATATTTAACTTATTTAAAGTTTTTAAAATATTTAAACTATTTAACGCATTTATACCATTTAACGGATTTAAACTATTTACTTTTTTTTTTTTTTTTTTAAACCTTCTTAAAATTCTTTGAAACTTCTTCGAACTTCTTGAAACTTCTTGAAACTTCTTGGAACTTCTTGAAACTTCTTGAAACTTCTTCGAACTTCTTGAAACTTCTTCGAACTTCTTGAAAAATTTGAAGTATTTTTTTTCACCACATTCCGATCAAATTTTAGTTCAAGTTTTCTCCTCCTAAGGTCCAATACATTTAACACCCCTTCAATGAATATAAGAAAAATTGGAAAATGCAGCAACTAACAGGATTGAGCACCATTTTCCTGTTTTAAAGAAAGACGTCTATTCTCATACATACATCTGCACACATATACATAACACATGTATATATGTGTGAATATTTTTGTACATTTGTGCTTTGTAAGAACTGAAGCATACCACCACCACGAACAAGTGTAGCGTCCCCATTATATAGGAGCACACATTACCTTGACAATCTACCCCACCCCCACCTGTATTACATTTCCCATCTTTTGTGTATAATGACTCAAAGTAAAGGATCCAACCAGCTCATTCAACAGTTGCTGAAGGCAGAAGAGGAAGCAGATTTAGTGATTAAAAAGGCAAAAGACGGTAAGACGTGAAGAAGCGCGTGAACTTGTGCGTGAGTGAGTTGGACAGCCTGAGCAAGTTCTGGCAATTTTGGCAATTTTGGCAGTTTTGGCAATTTTCCCACCACCCAACACCACGTGCCGAACAAGAATGCTGTACCGACTCCTCATTAAGGCATTTTTGCAAATGCGGAAAAATGGAATTTTTTTTTTTTTTTTTTTTTTTTTTTTTTTTTTTTTTTTTTTTGCTATATCATAACCATTTATACAATTTTTCTCCATTTCGTACCGATTCACACCACTTTGCACAATTTCTTGCAACCCCTTTTGGACATTTATATTCCTCATTTTTCCCATTCCGTAGTGCGTGCAAAAATGCTTAAGGAAGCCGAGGCAACTGCTACTGAGGAGTTGAAAATTTTTCGGGCCAAGGAAAAGGAACGTCTAAATAAAGGACATAAGGAGGTAAAATTTGGAAAGTTCTTTCTTAAATGTGTAAATATATAAATGGGGAAGAACGATTATAATGTATGCACACATCATTTACATGTACATGTACATAGTGAACGTATGTGGATACATACACCTGTGTGAAGTTGTATATCGCACTAGTCTGTAGTTACCTAGCCGCACGTTTTACCATGTTATTACTTTACCATGTTATTACTTTATCACTTTATCACTTCATCACTTCATCACTTTATCACTTCATCACTTCATCACTTTATCACTTTATCACTTCATCACTTCATCACTTTATCACTTCATCACTTTATCACTTCATCACTTTATCACTTCATCACTTCATCACTTTTTTTTTTTTTTTTTTTTTTCTACCATTCCCGAACCAGAAAACAACCGCAGAAGACGAAGCCGTAACTCTAATTGAACAGAACACAAAAGAAGAAATTAAAAAATATAAAGAATTGTTTAAAAAAAATAAGGAACAAGTAGCTCAGTTTGTTTTTGATAAAGTATTTACAGTCGATCTCACAATTCCGGATTGTACACAAAAATCGATTTAAATGGGAATGTTAAAAAAGATATATCTTCAATTTGTCCTACAACCCACACCTATGTTTATTTGATTTTTGAAACGATTATATGAAAAGAGGATCTATTTTAAACGGATGGGTTAAGACACATAAACAAAATATCCATTCCTTTGGTATATGTACAGATGACATATACATATATATATATATATATATATATAATACAACATGCAGGAACAAGTGGGGAGGAATGTCATTCAAGGAGGATTTCATGTCTATTTTTTGACGATGCACAAATGCCACACACAATTATGTGTGTACATATATATATCATATCCCTTAGAAATTTCTCTACATTTATGTAACATTTTTTTTTCTTATTTTGGAAAAATTTCGACCGAATAGAATTAAAAACGAACACAAGCACACACATTCAGACACCTAATATGAATCGGAAAAAAAAGAAAGAAGCGAATGTGAATATGAATATGAAACGGTGAAGGACAATTGAGAATCCCCGCACCACCCTATTGTCATATATATATATATATATATATAATTATCATTTCTCACCTCTTACGTGAATTAGTAATAAAACTTTAATACGTCTAAAAATTTAACATGTAAACAAACAATTTGATGCATTGTGGAGAATGAAAAGTGATTATTATGAAACCCAATTGATTTCCATGCAAATAATACACATTGTGTTTACGTATGAATTAATCGTAAACTTTGATAACCTTTTTTTTTTTTTTTTTTTTTTGTTCTTCTTGTTGTTATCTATTTATGAATATGCCCAATTTTTCTCTTTTGCCATTTTATTTTTTACGTTTATTTTTTCATGCTATTCAATTGTTTTACTGGATCAATGGAACACACATAATCCAAATGAACAGGAAAAAAAAAAAAAAAAAAAAAAATTTTACTTACCATCACCATAGTGTAATTATAACGCTTGTGTATACAAAATCACTATTTCTTTTATATGAAAAATATTTTGTGAATTAAGGAAACGAATAGGTGTAGAAGACCTTGTAAGAATAATGCAGCGGTACACATACATAATATAAATGGGATGCCTACTCAGATATACATGTAAGTGTATGTATATATATATATATATATATCCCCATTTGCGGCCAAACGTGATGCTAGAAATGGAAATAAGTTGTCGCAAAAAATTAACCTGTGCTTATGCATGCTTCTCAAAGGTGAAATAAAAATATTTCTAAAAAAATGAATAAAATAGTAAATCAATTACCTTGTCATTGTTTTTGTTCCCATTCTTACATTTTTGCGAAATCAAAAAAGAAACGTAAAACATTAGTGTAGCTTTTTTTTTTATTTTTCTCAGAAAAATGGGTGAAGCATGCGAGGTGGAGAGAAAGCTTACATATATATGTACAATGCATACATACATATATACATACATACATATATACATACATATATATATACATACATATATATATACATATATACATAGTTACAACACGTTAAAAGGGCCTTGCAAAATGGAGGTATCCTTGGGCATGCTAATTTATGTATTGTTATGATGCACATTGAATGTTGAACAAAATGTAAACTTTTATTTATTCTTATCTGGCACCACATAATTTTTACTTATATGGGGGTTATTGGGTGGGTAGCATTTTCTCGTAAAAGAAAAAAAAAAATAAAATAAAAAATATGAACAAAGAATAGTGAACAGTGAACAATCAGTGACTCAGTTAAACGTTGTGTATATATACAATATTGTAAATGTACATATTTTCTAAACGTTCTTGTGACCACATGTTTATTTTATTGTTCACCCGACCCGGAAGTGCAAATATAATAATATTTATATGATGTAGGATCGAGGATCAGGGCAAAGAGAAAGAAGAAGGGGGAAAATAATTAAAATGCCTTTTTCTACTACTGAACCTTTGCCATTTTTTTACCTATCCTAGCTTTCTTTTTTTTTTTTTTTTTTTTTTTACCTGAACATCATAGGTAGCACATGGAGAAACAATTTGTTTCATAACCTGGGAGAAGGGTGAAGTGGTGATATGGTACTTTATTTAGGTATATATGTATATCACTTTCTCAGCATTTCTTTATGCATATGTAAAGGGATACACATATATATATATATATATATATATATATATATATACATATATACATATATAAATAGTGTATATTTTTTTTTTTTTTTACGTGTATTATTTACATTTTGGGCCCTTAGCTGAAATCCGCAAAAAAAAAAAAAAAAACTCTTTGATTTATTCACCAAACCCCAAGTGCAGCAACACGTAAAATTAATTCGTAAATAGAAAAAGTGGGAAGAAAGGATTTGTGAAAAATTGTATCAAAAAAAAAAAAAAAGGAAATGCATAAATTCCCAATTTGATAATCCCAAATCAGCAAAAAAAAAAATAAAATATAATCAAAATAAATAATGAATAAAAAAAAAAAAAAATAGGTAGAAAAATAAGAAACAGAAGAAAGGTTTGATTATCCAAAATTCTCATTTCCAGATTTTAAACGAAAAAGGAAATTGTAAAAGAAAATCTTGAAATTTTTCTACTAAAATTCTGTTTGATTTTTTATTTAACTTTTTTAAAAATGAAAACCATCGTATCATCACAGAAAGTCATCATTCCCGATGGAGGTAACGAACAAAACCCATAAAAAAAAAAAAGAAAGAAAAAAAAAAAAAAAATGAGAAATAGAGAGATTCATGAGGATAATACATTTGCATATAACATGCTCACATATGTAATGCAGATCCATTTTGTTGTGTACAATACATTATTGTGAAAAATCAGTGGTGTAGAGCTATTCATTGTAGGCTCCAATGGGAGGAAACATAATATCACTACCGAACCCTACATTAGAAGATGATGGGTGGTTGGGGAGATGGGGAAGGATGAAAATATGAACACATGCAGGTTGATGAATACTGTTCTTACCTTCCTCTTCCATTACACATCATTTGTACAGAAATTCCAATTCGATTATGTATAATTATGGCCAAACATATTTACAAAAAAATGTGGACCTGTAAAAATTTTTGTTTAGTTTTTACATTTTTCTTTTTTTTAATGCTATATATACGACCCCACCTCCCTCCGCATCCCCCAAAAAGAGAAAAAAAAAAAAAAAAAAAAAAAAAAAATGTCGAAAGGACAATCTAATGGGATTATAAATATATGCATTAATGTTCAGAAAATTGTGCAATGTATTTATTCCCATACGTATGACTGTTCAGAAATATATGCGCTGTATTTATTTCCATATGTATGACTGTTCATACATTAAAGGAGAAAAAAAAAAAAAAAAAAAAAAAAAAATAATAAAATAATACTGCACCGTTTTATCCATTCGTTATACATGCTTTTATTTTCACATCCCTTTATCCTCACCGAACCCAATCCCCAATTTGTAGTTCAAGTGGCGATAAATTCCAGGAAAGTAACGGTCACAGGAAAACATGGAACTTTGAAGAGATCATTTAGACATTTGCCAATTGACATTCGTCTGAACAAGTTGAAGAAATACATCAAAGTAGTAATGTGGTTTGGAGTACCAGACAGATTGGCATGTATCAGAACAGTGTGTACACATTTAAAAAATATGTTCACAGGTGTTACAAAGAAGTTTTTATACAAAATGAGACTAGTACATGCTCACTTTCCAATTAATTCAAATATAGTAGATAACAACAAATTAATCGAAATTAGAAATTATTTAGGAGAAAAAAGAGTAAGATTTGTCAAAGCTTTACCAGGTGTACTTATTGAAAAGTCACCTAATGTTAAGGATGAAATATATGTAAGTGGCGCTGACATTGAAAACGTTTCACTAACTGCTGCTTTAATTCATCAATCAGTTCTGTGTAGAAATAAGGATATAAGAAAGTTTCTTGATGGTATTTACGTTTCAGAGGTTACAACAGTTGAGAAGGATGAGTGATGTGCACAAAGGTCGCAGCACTTTGTACTACAACAGCCCCATGAGGACAGGCCAACAACAACCGGATTGAGTGCAACCGGATTTACTACATCCAGATTTACTACATCCAGATTTACTACATCCAGATTTACTACATCCAGATTTACTACATCCAGATTTACTACATCCAGATTTACTACATCCAGATTTACTACATCCAGATTTACTACATCCAGATTTACTACATCCAGATTTACTACATCCAGATTTACTACATCCAGATTTACTACATCCAAATTTACTACATCCAGATTTACTACATCCAAATTTACTACATCCAGATTTACTACATCCAGATTTACTCCTATCTCCATCGCGTACATGCATACTTGTATATATTCATACCGCCCCTTGTGTTTTTACCTTTTACTCTCATCCTTACCATGTACGTGTTTAATACATGTGATACTTTTAACCATGTCAAATAATTAAACTTTAAATAGAACTCCAATTTTTTATTTTTAAAAGCGTGCTGTTAAGTGGCACAACGGGGGAGGGGCGGTGTATGTGTGCATACCTAAATGCGAACAAAACGTGAGGCATACGTAAAATAAAGGCACTTTGCAAAATTAGGAAAAGTGAAAAAAAAAAAAAAAATGAATGATTGATTGGCTGACCGATTGGCTGACCGATTGGCTGACCGATTGGCTGACCGATTGGCTGACCGATTGGCTGACCGATTGGCTGACCTATTGGCTGACCTATTGGCTGACCTATTGGCTGACCTATTGGCTGACCTATTGGCTGACCTATTGGCTGACCTATTGGCTGACCGATTGGCTGACTGATTGAATGAAACAAGTTTCCCCTGTACATGTTTAGATCTGCGGGGGCCCGCTCACCGTTGCTGGTCATCATACGTCATGAGCATTCACAAAGTTGTGCAAGAAGAAAAAAGTAAAGTGCAGCGTCATTATTGCACAGGGTTGATCTTATTTTTGTTTTTTATTTTTACCTCCTATTCGGGGATAAATCAATTTTTAAACATAAAGTTACAGTTGCATAATTGTAATAAATGGAGAGTTAAAATTCATCTGATACGTGCAACCACATCGAAATGACATCGTGTTGCAGTGCTAATGTAGCTTCGTATATATTTTTACATAACGGTTTTGTACACCTCTCTTAATATATAACAACTTGCGTAATTTTCCAATTTTTTCCTCAAACGGAGCACACACAACTTTACGCATTTATGTGTGTAGTGTTTATCCCTCTTTGAAGAGAAAAAAACGAAGAAAAGGAGTTCCTAAATGTATCAAACCTTTATAACCCAATTTTTGTATTCAAAAAGAAAGTCTCAACAAAGTAGAGAAATGAACTACTTCATATAATTACAATAATAGAACACTTTTGCACAAAAAAAAAAGAAAAAAAAAAATTGCTTAACCATTATCCAAATGATACAACACATTTTTTTTTTTTTTACTCTTTTTTAAGCTTCTCTAACTTCACAACTTTGCGGTTGCGTGTATGATATATATTTCATGCAGTGGATAATTTTGAATATTTTTTTTTTTTTTTTTTTTTTTTTTCCTCGTCTTCAACCTAAGTATAGAGAAGAGGAGAAAATTCTGGTTGTTGGTGGAAAAATAGCACAATAAAGTACAACATATATGATGATTGAATAACAGAATAGTAACGATACGACAAGTCAAATCTACATATTCATAGTACTAACTAAAATACTTATTTCCCTTCATTCCTCTTTCAAGAAAAATTTTGAAACACAAAAAAAAGGAGTAAAAAAAGAAAGACCTTTACATCCATACCCTATCTCAGTCCTTTTTTTTTTTTTTTTTTAACAATTGTGTGTGCATCTACACCCCCATGTTACAAATACACCTTTCGACATAGAATCAAAGAATGAATTTCGTGTATCTTGTATCACTTTTTACAACAGTTTGGTTGTCAACATTTTGCATTCATATAAAAAAGAATATTGGTTATTATCACTTTTTAGTCCCATGTTACAACATTTTCAAAAAAAAAAAAACAAACATAAAAAAATATGACCAAGGAATAAATAAAAATTTAAATAATGTGATACACGCAGAACAAATTAATAATGAAGAAATCGATGGAAAAAGCATCTCGTCTATAATGTCCTACGATGGTAGTGATATTATAGATATCGAGAAAATAAAAAATATACTTCCACATAGATACCCATTTCTTCTTGTTGATAAAGTAATCCATAAGCAAAAAAATAAAAAAATAATAATAGGTATAAAACAAGTTTCAGTTAATGAAAATTTTTTCAATGGCCACTTTCCAGAAAAACCAATCATGCCAGGTGTCTTGCAAATAGAAGCCTTAGCTCAATTGGGAGGAATACTATGCCTCCTAAATGAAGAAAAACAAGGGGAAAATAATTTATTTTTATTCGCTGGAGTAGATGGCGTTCGATGGAAGAAACCAGTCCTTCCAGGTTAAGTCCATTTGTATACATGTGTATTAGCACGTGTGTGTTGGTTCTCTTTTACACGTCTGCGTCATTGCTTATATTTTCGAGAATGAGTAAACATAAAAAAAAAAAAAAAAAAAAAAAAAAAAAAAAAAGAGTTTTATGCCTATGAGAGGAAGCAACATGTACGAATAAATGAAAATATGAACACGTGAATGAATAAAGACAAAAATTAAGATAAAAAAAAAAAAAAAAATAATGGTAACAATGCACATCCGTTGGAGGAGGGAGCATATTTTAAGGATGTCTTTATGACAGATTTGTCACACACACCCCTATAAATGGTCCAGGCAAAAGAGCGTTTGGGGTTTTGACCTTCTCACGACAAGCCTGCAGCTGCTTTTTTTTTTTTTTTTTTTTTTTTTAAGTATTGCTTGTCATTTAACTCATGTCACTTTTTTCTCAACTGTTCAGGCGACACACTAGTAATGGAAGTGGAACAAATTTCATTCAAGGCTACCTTAGGGGTTGCTAAATTACGGGGATGTGCCTACGTGGGAGGCGATGTAGTTATAAAGATAGCCGAGATGACTTTTGCATTAGCAAAATGAAGGATATGCAAGAAAAACAATTATTTTAATTGCATTTGTTTAAGAATCTTAGCCAAGGGGGGAATACGTCACGACAACGCAAATATATGAGCTGACAAATTCATGCCATTTTGGACATTATTGATAAATCTGTGAAGGAAAATAAAAGCGGTAGTTGAGGAGGGGAGGGTGAGACGAATGAATGGTAGTATCGTTAATGCCTCACCCTTACATTCGCATAAAATTCCTTTCCCAGTGTCACACATTGCTACTTTGACTCGTTCATGTATATGTACATACATATATATATGTATATATGTATGTATATATATATATATATATATATATATTTTTTTACCTCCGTACACCCTGCACAATGCCGTGGCAGCTTTCACCTGAACAAGAAAAAAAAAAAAAAAAAAAAAATGTCTATTTTTCTGACCCATTTAGCTAGTGTTCATAATTTTATCACAGTTTTTCAGATTTTTTTACTCATTAGTAAAAGAAAGGGAATATATTTATCTTTTTATATTTATTTTATTTTTTTTTTTTTTTTGTTTATTTTTTCATTTATTTATTAATTCTTTGTAAGTACCACTTCCCAAACGGCTGATGTAGCCATAAACAAGGTCGAAAAGACAGGATATGGCAGTTTGCACGTGTACTAAAAATGTAAAATAGACATAAGGGGAGGGTGTGAGCGAATGGGTAATCGCGGGTGGAAGAAATAAAAAGGACCTATAACAACAGTTTTGCGCACGACGTAATTTTATGCAGTGGAACAGAGTGAAAACGTACATTACCAAAAAGTGACGACGCGAAATATGCAAGAGCATGTATATATGCATGTGATTGTAAGCCATGGTTATGAACACTTCAGGAAATAGTTTTGGAAATGGTATTCACACTATTTTGGCAGTTTGCACGATTCTTCCATTTTTCCATTTCATTTTTTCCTCAAAATTTCTCCCTTTTTTCTCGTCTTACCGGGAAATTCTTCAAAGCACAAACATGTACGGGGCCAATAAAAATACAAGCACATAGAACGGCCATCATACTAGTTACGACATGTGTTGTCACCAAAAAAATATCATATGCAAAATCGGCTCCACCACGAACGTAGGTGCATATGTTCATCATGTTCTGTGAAGCACCAAAGAAAAAATCCCATGAATTAAAATAACTCATTCGGCGAGAAACACTTAGGTAGTAGGCAGGTACCTTACCTTGGTCCCGTCCACTCTCACAACGAGAAATAAACACAAAAGCAAATAAGCAAATAAGCAAACAAACAAATAAGCAAACAAACAAATAAGCAAACAAACAAATAAGCAAACAAACAAATAAGCAAACAAACAACTGAGAAAATAAATAAAGCAACAAAGCAGAAAAGCAATTATCATCACCTCCAATTTTTTACACTCGGATTCGCTATTACACGGTGTATCTGTTTCGAAAAAGAAAAAAAAAATATATCATATATCTTGTATCATATATCTTGTATCATATATCTTGTATCATATATCTTGTATCATATATCTTGTATCATATATCTTGTATCATATATCTTGTATCATGTATCTTGTATCATGTATCTTGCATCATATATTATACTATGCTTCTCCACGAAATGCAACACTTTAATAACATGCGAGTCTTATGTGTCTTACCTGCGTTTAACGCCTTTGGAGTTTATATTTTAGAAAAGGGAAATGATCAAGGGAGAAATATACACATGTAAATGAAAGAAAAAAAAAAAAAAAAAAAAAAAAAAAAAAAAAAATTTAATTTCTTTTCCTTGTCTGTAAAAGAACTATGTGTCAATACGTTGTCAAGCAATGGAACGCATGTAAATAAAAACACACCAATCGATTAAGTGAAAAAATGAAACAGAATATAAATAAGTTTTAATTACCAATAGTTCAGATTTTAATTCTGTGACTTGCTTGTACTGATCAAAATTTGGAGTAATATACTCGGCTTCAATTTCTTTTAATTTAATAAATTGCTGCTTAATTAAATTAACCATAGACTTTGCTAAAATCTTTTTTGAGTCTTTCGAATTCTTTCCGTTTTTCATTATGGAAATAAAATAATTGGTAGTGCGCAATAGACGCGTAAAAGTGGCCAATAAAAAATGTGTATACAGAAATGAGAGTAATGGAGAAGTGAAGAAGTGTAGAAATGGAGAAATAGAAAAAAATAGAAAAAAATGGAAAAAAAAAAAAAAAGAACTCTCACTTCGTCCATTAAATTTTCATATTCTTGGATGAACCTACTTCCTGCATATTTCTTCATTGCGACCTAACGAAAAGTGAGGGAAAAACAAAAAAAAAAAAAAAAAATTCATATAGACTTTGAAGCAATTCAGAACATTTCTTGGGAAATGTAAACTGACCATAGCCCAATTTGTATACCTCAGTGTTTATGCAAATATGTTACACTTTTATGTTAAAATATATATGAGTTCTATATGCAAATTAAAATTTTAGACACCTTTAAATCTTCTTCCTCTGCGTGTGTCAAATGTGTATCCCTGAATATGTTGGGGGAAGAAATGTGCCATGATACTCTCGAACCAAATGGGGTTGAATTTTTTTACCTTACGCAGCGGTCTTCCACCTTTCACATTTTCTCCTTCTGATACATACCACTTTGCGTACACTCACCATTATGTTTTCTATTTTATTTATTTATTTATTTATTTTTTTTTTTTTTTTCTTTTTCCTCTTAAAACGTCAAAGTTTTTATTTTGTAGAATGCCACTAGGCAGACGTAAAATAGTTCACTCCAGCCTTACTCATTTTTGTAATTTCTTATTATTTCTCTGAAAAGTTAATCATCATTTTGTTTGATGAGTGAGTAAACAAATGGGAATATATGTACTTTCATGCAAATGTATGCGCTTTTTCACTTGTGTGTGTTCTTCCACATGTATGTATTTTTCCACACGTGCTTATGCTTCCACACATGTTTATGCACTCCATTTTGCCGCTCTCTATCATGAGCACCTAAAAACTGCCACATCTCTATCTAATTAAAAACATGAAAAAAGGTAAGTGCAGGAGTGTATATCTGCTTACGCACTTGTGAACGTGTGTGAAGAACACAAAATGGATATTTTTCAAAAGAAGAAAACATTTCTGTACCTCCATAATCCTCATACAGGTGTTTCTCCACAGCTTTAGTGACTAGTACGGAATTGAAAATGTGGCACAAAAAAAAAAAAAAAAAAAAAAATTGTTGTAATAATTGTTCTTTAAGTCGTGACAAAATTGGACATAATGTGATGAAAAGAAAATTTTTCTTTTCCATTTTTTACATTCTCGAGGAAAAACGCTTGAATTAAAGAAGGAAAGACAAAAGTATGTCTCTAAAAAAGTTAACAGATAAATTAAGAGTAATCCTTTAACACTTCTTTTCATTGTATTAGGGAAAAAAAAAAAAAAAAAAAAAAAAATAGTTCTCAGTTGTTTGGTTGTTCTGTCTCTTAATTTTTCTCTCTATTTTCGTCCTTACATATGTAACAAAAAAAAAAAATAAAATAATAAAATAAAACAAAACAAAACAATAAGCAGAGATAAACGGACGAAAAAAAAAAAAAAAAAAAAAAAAAATTTAATAACCAGTATTTAATAACCAAAATTAGGATACACTAATTGTGGTGTCAAACAAAAAACAAAGGACCTTTTCGCAAATACAGAATTAAATGGCATATAGTAAAATGAAGAAAAATTAAGAGGATCTTTGAAAATATAAACAGGTACATGAATGGACACACACACACACACACGAGTCTACCGTTTTTCTCAACCTATTTACCAATACATGTGCAGTTTTTCACCGTTCCTGTATGTACACATTTCGTTGTGTATTCCACCACACACACATATACGGACATTACAGGTGCAAATAAATATAATCTATTTTGTAATTGGTTTGGATTTTCAAAGTAAACCATTTGTAGAGTAAAATATGATAAAAAAAAAAAAAAAAAAAAAAAAAAAAGAAGAAATATCTGAAAATGTTTCAGTTTATTTTCCACAAATGAGTCACAATTGTTTCATATTGATCAGCGAGATTTTCAAAAAGACAAAACTTTGTAACCCCTTTGTTAATTAATTTTTTTCCAAAAAAAAAAAAAAAATATGAAAATAAGAATAATAAAATAGGAATAATAAAATAGGAATGATAAAATAAAAATAGTTAGGTAAACACATAACGGATGACGTAGTCAAAATAAACCTTTTCGTGTTTCCCACTGTAGCTCTAAGAACGTGATTTTCTTCAGAAATGAAAAAAAAAAAAAAAAAATGTCCCATCATCTCACCATATCTCACCACATCACCATATCTCACCACATCACCATATCACATCACATCACCATATCACACCACATCACCATATCACACCACATCACCATATCTCACCACATCACCATATCTCACCACATCACCATATCTCACCACATCACCATATCTCACCACATCACCATATCACACCACATCACCATATCTCACCACATCACCATATCACACCACCACCACCTTATCATGTGTTCATTTATTTTTGAGGTAATAATATTGGAGAGGGTAAGCAATGAAAAAGATATGCTACCATGAAACACATGCATGAACAACGTGTGCATAGTGAATGTGGATGAAAATGCTTCATATGGTGACTAGCATAAGTTTGCAGACTCTAGACAGATGAGTTCAGTAATTCTATTAAGTATCAAAAACACAAAATAAAAAATTGGTGTTATTCTAATTTACACATCCTTACAATTTCCTGCACAACTCGAACTGCATCGGAGGTAATTCAAAGCATGTTAAGGGGTGATAAAAGGGTGCAGTAAAATGGTGCAATAAAACGGTGTAGTAAAATGGTGCAATAAAACGGTGTAGTAAAATGGTGCAATAAAACGGTGTAGTAAAATGGTGTAGTAAAATGAAACAATAAAATGACATAACAAAATGACATAACAAAATGACATAACAAAATGACATAACAAAATGACATAACAAAACAAGTCTCCCTTGATCAAACATGTTCACGAATTAACCGCCTTATCTATAAGGTATAAGTCATACTGGATCTTCCAGTTTTTAGTTCCTTTACATTTCATTGAAGAGTCGTAAAAATTCTTCACGTTATCGCTCTTGGTGTATTCGTATAACAATTCCTCTGCGTACCTTTCTCTGTCAACCTGAAGGAGGAATAGTCATGTCCATAATGTGCGTGTGGTCTCTCTGCAATGTCTAGGAATAAGACACATTATAGTGAAACCCACAGAGAAGGGTTCTGCATAAGCATCCTTCCCGTGAGCGTATAAACAGACAGATGTGCTGATCCATATGAATCCAGATAGCCATTAGAAACACATTTCAAAAAAAAAAAAAAAAAAAAAAAAAAATGTAATCGGACTCTTTTCTCCTCACCTGTCTTATATATTGATATATACAAATGGGAATGAAGATAGGAAACATGGTCCTACAGAATGTTCCAGTCTTAATCACATATTCAATTATTTGTTTTGGCATTTTCTCATATCGAAAGTAATTGAAAAATATATTCAATGGTGCATAGTTTACCATTTTGCGAAATTAGTAAGTGGATGAATATTGGGTTTCTGCAAATGGAAAAAAAAAAAAAAAAAAAAAAAAGTTGCACAGTTGTGTAGTTGCACAGTTGCGTAGGTAAAATTTTGAAAAACTGCTTAATCGGTATTTCAAAAGAGCCTCTTAAAATGAACGTATTTTCATTTTCTTTATTTCATTGTTTTTCTGTATATTTACAGCAGCTGCACTTGGCTTCCTCTAAAATTTCTTCTGTCATGTCATGTACCATTTCATATGTGCTATGCATGCACTTGAGACCACACTGTGCGTGAGAGGCTTTGGGAAAAAAGGGAACTTTAATAAACTCTAACAGTAGTAAGAACTCTAGGATGTAAGGGTAATCCTTTACTGTTGCTATGAGGTGTAGGAGTTAAGGCGAATGTGCAACAAAATTGGTGATAAAATGTAAGTGGGAGACGAAAAAAAAAAAAAAAAAAGGGAAATGATTTGATATCATCATTGTAAGGAGTTTTTTTTTTTTTTTTTTTTTTTTTTTTTGTATCTTTTCCTTTTTTCATTAACACAGTAATGTAAAAAAAAAAAAAGGTCCATTAAATGCTTTTATTTAAAATATTGGAAAAAAACTTGGCATACGACACAAAAAAAGAAAAAAAAAAAATTGCACCTTGCTTAATCCACTACTAAGGGTCGAACAAGATTGGGAGAATTAATTTCCCATTGAAATATCATATTCTTATCACATTTTAATTGCTATGTTTTTTTAATTTGGAAAGTGTGTGCATAGGAAAATGCATAAAAAAGTGGAAAAATAAATAAGCAAAAAAGTTAAAAAAAATAAATGATTTTTTCTTTTACCTTGTCCATCTTTATATCGCCCCAAAATTTTGCAGAATGCAGGTACTACTCAATTTTAGTACATATGCACATGTATATACATGCGCACCTACACACGAACATATTATAAGTGCAAAACTAATAGCATATGACTAAGACAATTTTGTGCCGTATGCTTTCTCCAACAAGGTTTTATACATTTCCCCACTTTTGTTATAAATTGTTTAAGCACTCGAACAACATTGTGTATTTTTTTTTTTTTTTTTTTTCCTCCATCTGACATAGATAGAGAAGTGTGAGAGGGAGACGTAAAAAGATATTTTCACATGAAATTTTGTGAAGAGAGTACCCTTAAACATGTTTTTATGCTCCTGTGAGGATGGACGTTATAAGTTTATGCACCACCACATGCAAGTATGCACACGTAGCACATGTTAGGGGAGTGAGAACGTGAAATCAGATTCATTCATGAGATACATGTATAGGTGAAGAAAACATAGGAGATTTACTAAGATATGGACAGAAATAAGTTTGTCCTAGATGAATTTTATAAAAATAAACAATTAGATTCTATTGTCAACTTCTTTGTAGACCCCATATTTATTATTTCCACACTTGCTGATGTTGCAAAGTTAGGGGAAGATGTATAAGGGAGAGTAGTACAAATTTGAGGGAAAAAAAAAAAAAAATTCCTTTCTTTTATTTTTCTCAGTCAGCTTTTTTTTTTTTTTTTTTTTTTGGTGTCATGCACATATACCCAAGTAACACACAGTTACAAATGAAAGGATTCATTAACATGAACAAGTATTGACCACTCGGTTTTGTTTATTTCTTTATCCTTTTCATTCATCTTTTTTTTTTTTTTTTTTTCCCCCTTCCCACCACGCTTGTAACAACAAACCATTCAAATGTTATACTTTTTTTTTTTTTTTTTTTTTTTTTTTTTCCCCAAAGGATACAGAATTTTACATCTGTTGGAGAAATATATTTCTCACCCCTCCCCTCACTTACCCTTTTGTAATTTTTTTTTCTTTTTTTTTCTACATTTTACACAAGAGAAAGGAACATATCCCTATAAATTCTACCAATTATTTTTTTTTTCTTTTTTTTTCTACATTTTACACAAGAGAAAGGAACATATCCCTATAAATTCTACCAATCGTTTTTTTCCCCTCCTTCTTCCTCACATTTTCCATTTTTTACACCACCGTTGAAATGGACTATTTAAACAAAATTTACTCAAATTATGTAGATGAAGAAACCAAAGAGGGATATTATTATACAGAGGATATAGTTACAAAAGAAAAATTGAAAAATTGTTGTAAAAGATGGAGTAATAATATGAATAACACAGATTTATACCTAAGCTACAAAAACGAAATTGATGAAAATTCTTTTTTTAAACTTGTAAAGAAAACATGGAATATACTTTTTTTTAATGAAGAAAAAAAAAAAGGAAAATTCTTATACCATGAAGAAAACGAAAATATCTACAGCCTACCAAATTTCTTAATTATAGACACTCTTACTAGCAATGTGGTTACTTCATATGACACTGATCAAGTGGAAATGTCTTTAGATTTGGGGAATGCAACTATTAATCATAACGTGAAGGTTGATGAGGAAGAGGAGGAGGAGGAGGAAGGACTTGATTTGGATGATAATTTTTCTGGGCACAACTATTGTGACAGACAGTTGGACTGGGATAAGCAAAATGGGCCACTGGACAAAAGCACAGATGAAATTCCCGTGGAAAAAAAAAAGAATGATGGTCAAGTGGATAAAAGCACAGGTGAAATTCCAAGGGACAAAAAAAAGAATGATGGTCAAGTGGATAAAAGCACAGGTGAAATTCTAAGGGACGAGAACAGAGATGAAATTCCAAGGGACAAAAAAAAGAATGATGATCAAGTGGATAAAAGCACAGGTGAAATTCCAGCGGACGATAGCACAGATAAAATTCCAAGGGACGAAGGTAGTTCTGAAGGGAAAGAGTTGGATGAAAAATGGAAAATGGATCATTGTACAATGCTAAGGAAATATGATAACTCCATGCTCTTAGGAAATAATCGCTTCAGGAATAGTACAAAAGATATGGGAAATTGTAAAAGTAGCACTGTTAATAAAAAATATATTGATATCTATCATAGACACGACGATACTTACAGCTTTCAGGACAAAGAAATAGATGATTTTCTGATTCTACCGGATTCCTCCATGAACCATATTTCTAACGATTTGCTGCATCTCTGTGATGATGATTCGTTTCTTTTAAAAAATATTATTGTTATGAAACAAATAAATCTGGGCAATAATGAAGAACACATTAAACTAAACAAGGAAGAACAATTGAATGATATGAATCTATAGAAAGAACAAAACAAATGAAAAATAGTAGGTGTATATTCCAAGATTATTATACTTTCAATACAAACGGTAGATCATATTCATAGGAACATTACCAAAAAGAGGAAAAGATTCCTACAAAAAACATAGGTTAAGTAACGTGATACTCCATCAGAACTTGTGTTGTGATGACTGCAGAGAATGAGAGAGAGAGAGAGAGAGAGAGAGAGAGGGGAAGAAGTTATATTTTAGCAAGGATGGGGCAAAAAATGAAATCATCAAAATTGTAGTGCCAAGTTGAGTGTGAGATTATAAGTTGGTTCATACTGTCATGTGGAAATCCTTTCGCATGAGGTCACTCTTTTTATTTATTCTTTCTTACGCTTCTTACACGTCTTACTTTTTTTTTGCTTAATTTTTTAATTATTTCTATTATATACCTACTTATAAATGTATATCCCTTTTTTTTTTTTTTTTTTTTTTTTTTTTTTTTTCTTTTTTTTTTTAATTTTTTTTTTTTTTTTTTTTTTTTTTTTTTTTTTTTTTTTTTCTCCTGTATTGAGAATTTTTGGGGGTGGGAGATATATTTCCAATTCGGAAAAGGGAGCATGATTTGATATTCGTCTTATAGACACGTGTTACATGCTATACTTAGTGTAGACTACTCATTACATTTTTGTTTTAATTTTCCTATGCTTAAATTTGTGCTCCTTTACAGTTGTGATGGTTCTCATTTGTGCATGTATAGGAGAACGAGTCTTCCAAACCCTGTGCAACTATCAACTGCTATGCAAACACTTTTAAAAAATAAAATTTGCAAAAATGTTAAATGTCCAGCGAGGTGTAACCGAATGGGAGCAAAAAAAAGAGAAAAAAAAAAAAAAAAAAACACGCAAACACATCTCAATCAAAAAAAAACACGCAAACACATCTCAATCAAAAAAAACACGCAAACACATCTCAATCAAAAAAAACACGCAAACATATCTCAGCCAATAAAAACACGCAAACACATCTCAATCAAAAAAAACACGCAAACACATCTCAATCAAAAAAAACACGCAAACATATCTCAGCCAATAAAAACACGCAAACATATCTCAGCCAATAAAAACACGCAAACATATCTCAGCCAATAAAAACACGCAAACATATCTCAGCCAATAAAAACACGCAAACATATCTCAGCCAATAAAAACATGCAAACATATCTCAGCCAATAAAAACATGCAAACATATCTCAGCCAATAAAAACATGCAAACACAGCGAAATCAAAATTTAGCTACTCGTACAAACGAGCTCCTAAGGACGACTTGCGAACCAAGAGGAAAGAACATTACTGACACATTCTCTGATTGGACACACACACACATCGCACGTCGTAGGAATTTTATGAAAACGATTTTCACCCATTAAAAATCTCTAATTACGTTCATTCACACAACTGAGGAATAATGAAACTTGAAGAAGATGAAAGGAAGAAACAAATAATCATCCATCTCAATGAGTGGATGTCTACTTTGTTTAGGAGAAGAAAAGAGAATGAATCGATCTTGTTCATTCATGGGATATACAACAGAGAAGATGAAGAAAAATTCAATAAAAAGGACAAACCAGGACATGCAGAAGCATCTGAAAAAGAATCCGGACAAGCACGCGCAGAAGCACCCGAACAGAACTGCATCACTTCATGTGAAAATAATGGAACAATTTATGAAAGACTGTGTTTAGGAATTCGCTACTTCGAAATGATTATTCTCCAAAAAGACGAAGCGAGGAAAGAGAAGAAACAAGAGTTACTCTGCTTATGTGGAGATAATTGCTTGTATAAAATTACCGACATATTGGAAGAAATAAGTGTTTTTTTTTTGAAGAATAAAAAGGAAAAGGTATTCCTCTCATTCATGCAATACGAGACAAATGCTGAAAATGGATATGGCAACACAGACCAACACAGAGTTGAAGAACTCATAGATGTGTATATGTACCTATACCTACGAAAGAAGTTGAAACAGCATAGAGGAGACTCCAATTATCAAATTCTCTATTTTTATAATGAACGAGAGAGAATTATTAATTTGGAACAGTACAACTTTGATATTGATCATTTTGAAATTAGAAATTGGATTTTTAACAATATGGCTTTCATGTTTCCATCTAAGAAGGTACACATGGGAGAAGAGAATCCAGACATATGTAATAGTAACTTGCACTATTTGAAGAAACATTGGAACGTTACCTCAGAAGAAGAGAAGGAAAATATTCATATCCCATGTGATAATGAAACCATAAAAAAAAAAAAAAAAAAAAGGGATGAAAACTTATTACACCTTTCTCAACAACACAACATATCTCTATTTCGATTAAATTCAATGAGAGATAACGAAAATTTGAATTTATCTTCAAAAATTACTATAATTAGAAGACTCCCAAATATTCTACTAGACAAGAACCACAGTGGTGAAATCCCCCTTTGCAAAGCAGGAAATTCAAAATCGATCCCTGTTAACACAATTGCACATATTAGTGAAGATGGGTATAGCAGAAATAACACTGTAAGACATTACATGAAGTGCAAAAATGATAATTGCAAGAATGTCACAGTTCATTGGATGGATGCCTATGATGTTAATTTAAATTCGAGAAAAAAATTTATAGGTTCAAATAATTTGTCCCTAACCGAATATGTAATAGATGTACCAAAACAAGGCAAAATTCAGAACTCTCCATTTGTGTTCTCCAAAAATAAGTTGGTGTATTTACACGATTGGAAAAAGTTATATAAAAACGAATATAAAAAGAAATATTATAAGTACGCGAAGGATTCTAAGTATTATGTCGTAAAAGTACAAAACGGAGAAGAAACGGAAGAATTAAACAAACAATCGATGCACACTTTCCTGATGCACTTTTTAGCTAGCGAAGATGTAAAAATGGGTTCTACGTGGATATGTATCCTCACGCCAAATTGTACCATTCGGGATGTTTTCAACACTGTGAAATTTAATTTTCATCCCCCAGGGGTGCAGTGAGAAAATGGGTCGGTGAGGACATTGGGGTAGGTGAACAGATGAAGCGAATAAAATCGAGATAAATACGCCTTCAATAAACCTCGTTACAAGTGTCTCCTTTGTGCAGCATGGCCTGATATATAGGGAAAATTTCCAAACCTTTTAGCGAGATGCGTAAAATCGAGACAATTCATCATTCAATTTTTCCACAAAATTGCGTACAGGAGCACTGTCAATAGATTGATCCATGTGAATAAACTGTGGTTTCATTTTAATTAAATTTTTCTTAGATTTTGTAAAAAAATGGATTAAATTGATGAAGGCACCTTGATCAAATGGATTTTTGAACTTACGAATCACAATTGGTTCATTATTTTTGTCTATCTTTAACTCGTAGGAAATAAAAATGTTTGCAGAGTACATTTTAAACTTTTCATTGGATGTTATATTTTCAATTATATTGAGGACTGATCTGAGGAAGATGGATCCCATAAACCATATATGCAATATGCTTATGACAATTATCGAGAGAGAAAATAAGCGAAACAAATTGGTAGTATAAAAGAAACCAAAACTTCTTATTATCTTAGAAATGTGAATATATATCTCCGTAGAGTGAAATAAAAGATTTGTTAGTATCCATAGTAGAAATATTTTTGCATTGTCCACACTCATGCAGTTTAATGTAAATACACAGTGGTGATCATACAGATCAATACACTTGTCACAGAAACGACAGTGTTTACTTCTTAAATTCTTCAGAAGAAAACAGCTTGGGCATAACTTTTTTATATCAAATGAGCTAATTTCAAATCCACATGCATCATCTAACCTTATGTTCAAGCTCTTTTTTAATTCCATAATGTTTTTACATTTTATATTTTCACAAAATGGACGAACCTTGTTCTTTTCTTCATATCTTGTTATCTCCTCCTCTATGTTTTGGATCACTTTTAAGAAAGTGGCATTTGGCCATTCGCTCTCCATTGTGTTTCCAATTTCGTGAGAAGGTGCCTTCTGCTTGTTCACCAATTGGTGTGTCATGTCAGCATCTCCCACTTTGCCAATTTGGTTGTCCCCTCCCACCTGACTGTTCAGGCAATTTTTTGAATCTTCCAAGTAACCAGGATCACTCGAAATGACCATGTAGTAAAGAATAAATATTAGTGGGTAAACCATGTCCAATATGAGACTCTCCTTTTGGAATGTTCCTCTGGTCTGTAAAGTAGGTTTGCAAAAAAAAAAAAAAAAATAAAAAATAAAATAATAACAACAGTCATAACACAAATGGTAACGATGATAGCAATAGTAAAAGCAATCAGAACAATAAATTATGAACGAGGGTCTCTATGTAGTAGTAATATGTACATACACATATACACTCCTCCAAATATGGTTACCCTTGTAAATCTTACACAATTTTTTTTTTTTTTTTTATTTCCTCCTTTTTAATCGTCCTTCTTGTGTAAAAAACTCGATTTGTCATGCAAAATAAATTAATATATTTTTCATCTACTTTGCTTTTCTCCCATCCTTACATAAAAGAAGTATACACATGTTAAATAAAGATGTGAAAGAATAATCATTCCAGGGTATAATAGAAGAGCTCTATTGTTGGAGTACGTGTAGTGAATCTTACGCATCGTGTGCAGCTGCAAAGAAAAGGCAATCGTATGTATGATCTCGTTTGACTTTGTTCATGCTTGCATAATGGATCAGTTGTTGAGGCAGCCCAATTGACATGGCAGAGGAATCAGCCCAATCGACGTGGCAGAGGAATGGATGCGAGGAACGAAATTGTGTGTATGTGCAGTACCTTTTTCCTTCTTTCAATCGGATATGCACCGATCATCCCATTGGGCTCATACAAGTCTTGATTTCTTTTTTTACTCCTACTTTTGCACAAATCTTGTGTCTTCTTAGATGTAATAAAGTGGTATATTCTGGCATCCACCTTGTCCTTGTTTTCTTCAACAAACTGAAGTACGCTTTTCTTAAAGAGGCACATAGGAAAATAAGAAAGTGATGACATGGAAAATAAGAAAGTGATGACATGGAAAATAAGAAAGTGATGACATGGAAAATAAGAAAGTGATGACATGGAAAATAAGAAAGTTATGACATGGTAAATACATGTTCGTCCGCTGGCTCCTCTCCGTTTTGTGCTATGTCTTTTTTTTTTTTTTTTTTTTTGTGTGTGTGTGTATGTGTGGTATGTACATCCGTTTGTGTCAGTATGTGTGTTTGTAGGAGGGGAAGTACATTGGTATTACTTTACATTAGTGCTGTAAAAATATACACAGATATGGATACAAACTCATTAGGCACGAGTATAAGCATATGCATCCCAAGGTGTCTTACCTTCTCATCCGTTGAGATGTCATACACATTCTGATGTCCATGTAGAACTAAGAAGACAACCGCATCGTAAGCATTTCCAATAATAGCCTTGTGCAAAATGGAGGCAGGTTTTTTCAAATGCATTGTATATAATTTTTGTGAAAATTTCGAGAAAAGACGAAGGAAAAATATGTTATTATTGTATGCTGCCCAATCCAGAACAGTACAATCGTTAAAATCTCTATGCATTAGTGGTAACTTCAGATGAATTAAATATAGGAAAGATAAAGTATAATTGTACTGTATGCTTATCGTTAAGCAGTTATATCCTTTATCATCCACTTGGAATATGTTACATCCATATCTTCTTAACACGTGAATCATAAATATGTTATTTCCTGACACTGCCCAAAATAGGGGCGTCTGTTTATTTCCCGATTCTGCATTCACGTCAGCGCCTGCCAAGAGGGTGATTGGGCATGACAAAAATGGGAATGTCCAAAATGGGAATGTCCAAAATGGGAATGTTCAAAATGGGAATGTCCAAAATGGGACTGTCCAAAATGGGAATGTCCAAAATGGGACTGTCCAAAATGGGAATGTCCAAAATGGGAATGTCCAAAATGGACATGACAGAACAGATGATTTCCCTCTCCCTGTACCCACTTTGTCGCTTTTTTTTCTTCCTTACCATTCTCTAGTAAGTAACACGTTAAGTATGAATCATTTAAAAAGACAGCCCAGTGAAGCAAGGTATTTCCTACAAATTTTGTAAAATGGACGTGAAAAAGTATTCACTTTAAGTGTGATCAACCATACATCGAAAAAGTTCTAAGTATACATTTTTCAAAAGAACACCAAAATTATTACTTGCATGTGCAGGTGCATACATACATACATTTATATGTAGGTATGTATATCCTTGTCTAACCATTCTTATCCCTACAATTTATTAGATTTTTCTCCCTTTCCAAAAATTCGTAAATTCTCTCATCCCGTCTTCTTACTAAATGGAATAAGAGTTCATCCATGTTTTTTGTGACTCATTTTTGCGTGTACAATCAAATGTATTTCATCACAAGACAAAACATGGCATATTGTTTGTAAATGAGAGGTGGGGTGGGGTGGGACTATGAAGTTGTTTTGTAAGGCCTAGCTGATGTGACACGAATAGCATGTAAAACATGTACAGTGGAGATGCTAATAATATAGGAATGTTTATTCTCAAACATGGGGATTTCTTGTAGGAGAAATAAAAAAATAAAAATATAAAAAAAAAGAATTACTGCTTGGTATGCGCCATTTACAATTACATTTACATTACATTATATTATATTTTATTTTTTATTTTTTTTTTTTGCAAAGAAATGCTTTTAAAAGACTTGCTCAAACGCAATTGAGTATGGACAAAGTTGCATGCAATCATGCACTGGGTAAAAAAAAAAAAAAAAAAAAAAAGGGGTGGAAGTTGAAATTAAAAAGGTGGAAATAAAAGAGCATCGAAATTGAAAAGGGTGTAAAATTTAAAAACGTCCAAATTGAAAAGGGTGTAAAATTTAAAAACGTCCAAATTGAAAAGGGTGTAAAATTTAAAAACGTCCAAATTGAAAAGGGTGTAAAATTTAAAAACGTCCAAATTGAAAAGGGTGTAAAATTTAAAAACGTCCAAATTGAAAAGGGTGTAAAATTTAAAAACGTCCAAATTGAAAAGGGTGTAAAATTTAAAAACGTCCAAATTAAAAAGCCTCGGAATTAATAAGAGACTGAAAAATGCTGCACAAATATTTGGAACAATTCGGGAGAAAGCCCAAGTGCTTCTTTTTTATATTTCCCTCTTTCTTGTCGTGGTTATAAATGTTTGCACTTTTTTCCAAAAAAAAATGTACAGATTTTATGTACAACATTTGGCCTTATATGCGTAGCTCTAATTGCGCATTTTCTGAAAAAACTTATTAAAAAAAAAAAAATATCCCTGTTATTATCATATTACATTTATTTTGGAATTATTTTCCACACAAAAAATGTTCCTTAATTTTCTTGACATTATCAACCTGTATGCAAGTTCGTTTTTGTATAGTTTTATAAAAATACGATTGCGTACATCCCCCCCTCCGAGACAAGTTTATGTTATGTTCATGTTTCGTGCTGATGTTGGTGCAGACATGCCAAAGTGGACATGCCAAAGTGGACATGCCAAAGCGGACATGCCAAAGCGGACATGCCAAAGTGGACATGCCAAAGCGGACATGCCAAAGCGGACATGCCAAAGCGGACATGCCAAAGCGGACACGCCAAAGCGGACACGCCAAAGCGGACATGCCAAAGCGGACATGCCAAAGCGGACATGCCAAAGCGGACACGCCAAAGCGGACATGCCAGTGTACACGCTCATGCACATAGGATATACGCGCGCATGTATGGGGCTCCATGTCTACCTTTCTGCAGACGCAAACAAAGAGTAACAATTCATCAGCCCCTCCACAATCCCACCAAATGCTGAGCTGAAAATTTTCACCAACCTATGGAAGGATTCCCATAAGAAGAAGATTATTCATCCCTTACACTTTTCTAAGCGTCATAAAAAAAGTTAAAATGTTTTTCTGAGAATATCTAGTATGCATTTTAATCAATCCATGTTATAACCAATTGAATGCTCATTTGTTGTTTCATTTTTTTTTTTTTTTTTTTTTTTTTTTTTTTTTTTTTCATATGATCAATATTCACTCCTTCTGAGGTAGTAAATTCAGTTTAGGCAATTTTATCACATGGCCCTTTTTCTTATTACTACTTCGGATGCTTATATAACTTTTCTTACTATCAGATATGTAATTTACAACTATCTGTTCCTCCTGTGTTTTTATAAAATCTTTACTTTCCAAGTCATCTTCCATATTGTTTAAATGGTTTTCTACAGCAGAGTTATTACTGCATGATGGTTCTACGAAGCTACTACTTAAAGCTCCATCATTTTTTTTTTGATAATCCCCATGTCCTCTTTTTCTTGCATTCACTATATTGCTTGATTCGTATGTGCATTCCGAATTATTCGTTTCCATCTTACTCAATTTTGTCCTTTCTTTTTTCTCCTTCTCGTCATCGTCAGCGTTCGCGTTCTCCTTCTCCTCTTCCTTCCGCTCCTTTTTCTTCTGCTTCTTCTTCTTTTTCTTCCTCTCTTTCTCATCCTCTTTCCAGCTTATCACGTCACCCTGGAATTCTTTGCTCCTATCTGTCTGTATTTCCTCGAGGTGCTCATCTTCTTCGTTCTGTTTATCGTTTGCCTCTTTTTTTTTTTTTTTTTTTTTATCACGTTTCTCCTTTTCCTTCACTTCCTCATCTCTCTCCTGTGCTGCGTCATTAGGGTCACTAATCCTCTCCTGCATCTTATTCTTTTCCTTTTCTTTTTCTCTCCATTTCTCCATCTTCTCCGTCTTCTTCTTTTTCTCCGTTTCACTTTCGATCTGCTCCTTCAACTGAAAAAATTCCCCCTCAGAAAAGTCAAAGCTTGATGATGCATTATCACCAACCCTTTCTTTTGGAATTTCCTTTTTTTTTTTTTTTTTTTTTTTTCTTCCAGCCATGTTCAGACAATTTTCCATTGAATTATTCCTTGATTTGTTTTTTCCCTCGCATTCACATGTCTCATGGTTCACATAAGGAGATGTCTTTTCATGTACCTGCTGTTCACTCCTTGGTACTGCTTTTAAAATAGCAGATGCATTTAAAAAAGTAAGAATGTGTTTTGGTTATATAATATTCACAGGAAGGGGGAAGGCAAAAATGAATGCAATATATACGTGTATTTATATATGAACATGTGCATGTGCCTTTTATGTATGTACATATATATTCGTAAATATTTTTTTACCGGACGCCACAGGTCGATCCAAACTAAATCGAGTAGGTGTCTTCAAATCGGATGCTCTTTTTAACTTCAAATTGTAAACCACTTGCTGTATGCTGTTTCGTTGATGAGGGAGTGATCCTTTGACATTTCTTTCTGCATCAGGGGAATGTGATTTTGGCAGTGTCTGAGAATTTACAACATTATCACTACCTTTTCTCTCGCGGGGGGGAAAAAAAAAAAAAAAAAAAAAAAATGAAATTAGATAAGGTGGAATGAGATGAGGTGGAATGAGATGAGGTGAAATGAACTGAGGTGAAATGAACTGAGGTGAAATGAGCTCAGGTAAAATGAACTCTGTAACGAGGGAGAGGAATTACTAGATAAATCGACGTGGTGAAAAAATTAATGAGTAATAAAAGTTGGAATATGGACATGAATCGCACGAATATAGATGATGTAAAAATACCCAGTGAAAAATAGCTAAAAAATTTTGTTATGATATCCAAGTAGTCTTCTTTCTTCTCTTCGTCTGGTTTCTGTTCCATTTGTAGCAACGAAAAGAGAAGGGAAACAGACAAAAAGGCATGCAAAATAGGTACTCATGAAAAATACATTTGTGCTCTTGTTGTATAGCTGCCGTTGATATTGATGAAGATGGGAAAAAATAAAAACTCGTCCTTTTGTCTGCTCCTCTCTATGTCATATATTAAATTTATGTAATAACACACATATGTAACACATGGGAAAAGAAGAAGGGGAAGGGAAATGCCCTTTTTGATATAGCAAAATTTAATGAATTCTTATTCCGTAGCATTTCCGTTCATGTAAAACGCACATAACTGGTTTATATATATATATATATAAAGGACATTACACGCATCCTGATATTCTTCTGTTTATGAACCTTACACTAACATACACATATAACTAAGCATGTCTCGGCTTGTGGGAAGGAAGGGTTTTTTTCTTCTTATACTTACACATACGAAGAAAAAAAAATAAATAAAATAAAAGTAAAAATAAAAGTAAAAATAAAAGTTAACGTAAAAGAGAAAAAGGTACTTTCCCCTTCAGATAAATATAAATTTGATGTGTCTTATGATCAACGGATGCACATCCCTATGAAGGTTAACCTGCACCTGCAATGTTTTTTTTTTTTTTTTTTTTTTTTATTCTGTTCTGTTCCCCCAAATGAGAACACTGAAAGTTTATTATGTTGTCTACAGCTTCCTTACAACACAATGTGAATATTCACTAAAAATTTTGAGAATTTTCAAAGAAAAAGAAAAAAAGAAAATGTTTCAGGTTTGTAAAGTACAGAAAAAAATTTACTTCGTTTTTAATTTTTTAAATCCTCTTAAAATGTAAACATTTTTGTTTTTGCATCTTTTTTAAACGAATAAATATGTTTTGCACTTTTTCAGCTTTGTGTCTTTTTTAAAAAAAAAAATATAAAAACAAAGATTTAAAGAAATAGAGCAGAAAAGAAACAAAAGAAGAAGTGTAGGGGAACAATTTAAAAATAAGTTTGTCTTGAATATTTAAAAATGGAACTCAAAACGAAGTGTACAAGTGGAGGAACAAGGAAAAAAAAAAAAAAAAAAAAAAAAAAAAAACTTTCAAAGTGACAGAGTAATTAGGTAGGAAAGGCAAAAAAAGAAAAAAAAATAGGTGTTGCAAGAGGGGTTTAAATTAAAGTTAGTATATTATATTTGAAAAAAGGAATTTCTCCTTTTCTTATTTGTCCATTCTTTTCCAGTTTGTATTTTTTTTTTTTTTTTTTTTTTTTTTCAAGTAAGATATTACATCCCGTAATGCTTTTGTCCACATATGTGTAACATTGTGTGATGTTTCTGAGAAAATGAGAATTGTCATGATGAATGTAGAAAATATGATGAACCTTTTTTGTAGCCCTCTTTTTTATGAAGGTACTGAGGATATTCAATTGTAAGGAATGGATCTCTAGGAATTTTCTATATCTCTTTCCTTCAACAAAAATCCTTTTATATATATAAAAATAGGTAATGCGAAGCTGGGAATTCCCTTTAATTTTGCCAAATTTTTTAACTCCCCACCACCACCTATCCAAACATAGACATTCCTTACCTTTCCCTATAAGCAATGCTTATTATGTCAAATTGGTAATCTACTGAACTCTTCATAAATGCTGCTGTTTTTTTTTTTTTTTTTTTTTTTTTTTCTTAGCATTTCTTTTTTTATCGAAAAAGTGAATTTTATATGTCTCCCACCTTCTTGAGGTATATGAATGGAAATGTAACAGAGGAGAACCATGGGGGATCACTTTTTCCTTCTTATTTTATTTCTCCTTCCTCTTTTTATAAACTTATTTCCCTATGTGATGATCATTAAACACATTGAACAATGTTCATATCATGTATCTTTGTTACTAAATTTATGTGGGTATTTTTCTCATATGCCATTTTTTTTTTTTTTTTTTTTTTTTTTTCATGTTACTCCTTCGCACCCTATAAATGTATGGTACAGACTATCTGATGCGTTTGTAAATTAAAATTTGGGAATTCTTATTTTATTTTATTTTTTTTAAAATAAAATGTGTTCATAAGCGAACTGTTAAGGTGATATATGCAGAGGGTTTGGGAAAAAAAAAATTAACACTTGAAGAAATATATTCGTGAATGTTTAACATGTGAATCTTTGTGGTAATAAGACGAAGGGGAGGTAAGGGAAAAAAAAAAAAAGTTCAAACGAAGTGAAATGAAATAAAATATCGTGTAGTAAAATATGGTAAAATAAAATAATATAAAAAGTAATGAATTGGAAAAAAAAAAAAATCTCTATGGAAACGTAGGATCGAGTAAACTGGGAAAATAAAGAAAGCAAGTACAGGAAAAAAGCCTAAAATTAAAATAAAATACATGTGTTTATGTATCAATGAGTAACTTATTTCTTAATGTGTATAATAATAAACATATCTCTTTTTTTCTTTTTTTTTTTTTTTTTTTATTTTTACCTAGCTTGTGAAACGATATAAAAGAGTAATTGCATATATTACTGAGGTGAAAATTGGCGAGAGATAAGGGCCTATTTTTTTTTTTTTTTTTTTTTTTTTTTCTTCTCTCTCCTGATAACATTTTTGAGCACTCTTTATTAGCTTATCAATTTATGGCTGTATCAATTGATCACATAATTAGTTTGTTTTCCCCATTTGCTAATATATATATATATATATATATAAATATGCATATATGCATATCGAATATGATACATATACATGTACCAGATATCCGATCAAATGGGTCCTGCTTAGTGAAAATTTGTGTTATTCGTACGTTTTCATATACACACAATTGCCTATTTACTACTTACACATTAATTAGAGAACTTCTACCTACCTACCTACACACACACACACACACATAGGGCTAACAGTATTCTCCGAAATATAGAAAAAAAAATAAAAAATCCACCATTTGCTGTAGATTTAGTATACCTTACCGCTTCTTCTTCATTTTTAATTTATTATTATTTTAATATTATTTGTTTCTTTTTTTTTGGTTTTTTTCTCCTACCTCTTCGATCCTTCTTATTTTACTATTTTTTTTAACGCTTCATTAATTTGTGTACAACGTTAAGATTGTGACAATGTTCGATTTGTATACTATCTGAAAAAAAAAAAAAAAAAAAAAAAAATACATAATAATTTATCCCCATTTTTTCATTCTTTTTACGTTTTTTTATTTTTTTTTTTTTTTTTCTGTCCACTTTTTTTTTGAATTTTTACACACATGACGACTGAACTATGGTGAAATATGACGATATTACACACACTCTTCTTATAGATAAAATAAAAATACAGTATGACTCTAACAGTCAATGGAACAAGTTTTTTAAATATAGTTTGAGAAACCCGCACTCGTTTATCTACCCTGACAGAACTCATTTTGGTAGTTGTAATGCAATGAACATTACATGTATATATATATATATATATATATATATATATATATATATATATATATATATATATATATATATATTTTTCCAATTCTCTTCCCCTTTTTCCACGCGTTACATCCTATTTATTTGTCTATCGCCATGTATTTCTCCATATTTTTTTGTTCTTAAGTCAATGTTTGAGAAGTGTTATCACCACAGATGTGCATGCCTTATGACCATGGCAGTAGAGATCCTCACACATACAAACACGTTCTACCTTCACACACATGCTACCTTTTCACACCCATGAACATCCTAAACATTGAAATTTGATCAAATCATATCACATCCCGTCCTGCCCCATCTCGTCCTATCACATCCCTTTTTTTTTTTTTTTCCTTATTTCTTAGTTCAAAATGCGGATTTCGACTATTTTAATAGTACCTTCCAGTCAAAGGGATATAAACTTAAAAATGTGGACACGGTGAATGAAGATTACAAAGAGGTGATATATAACCCTAAGTCTCTCTTTTACCATTTTTGTCATTTTTTTTTTTTTTTTTTTTTTTTTATATCATGCCCTACTTTGTCTGTCGTCTGTTTTACACGTGATATGTTTTTGTTTAAGTAGAGAGTTGCACCAATATGGGGAAAAATAAAACTTAGGAAAAAAAAAATTACGACACTTCTTTTATTTCTACGAGATTTGCATTTTCTGCAAGTGTTCATTCAAACTAGATATATTATATGAACGAATGGAGATGCCATCCTTCACATTATCATGAAGGTCTTTCAAATGCAGCAAATGTTGTAAATGCCGGAGGAGAAAAACTGAAAATGTAGAAAATTCTCATCCGTCCATCATATATCCCACAAAAATCAGCTTAAAGTAACGCACACAATATATGAGTCGAATCGTGTATCCACCTCTTCTTCTTTTTGTTGTTGCAGGAAAATGGAAAAGAAAGATATCTGCTTGAGGTGGAAAAGTATGATGAGAAAAACTTGAACCAAGATGAAGAGACAGTAAACAGAAAAATCGTATATTTGTTAAAAGAATGCATGTACTACTTTATGAGCTTTAATGAAAAAGATGGACAAATACTAGATGATAAATCATCAAAACATAGAAATAAAAAAGATATTAAAGAGAGCAGTGAATATGAACTTTTCAAAAGCTTAAATGATTGCATTGTGCAACTGCACGATTCCAAAATTAAAAAACATCAAGCACTTATTATGACAAATGAATTTTGTGGTCTTTTTACCCCTACCCATGTCAAATTAACGAAATATTCAGATGGATTTTTAAGTTTTTTAAAAGAAAATAACATTAAATATTTAGACTTATTTTATGAAGAAATCAAAAATAATGAAATTTACAAAAAGAAAAAAGAGCATTATGATTTCTTGAAAAATTCTTCCTTCGTCCCATTAACAAAAGGAGAAATCTCTTTAGCGAATAAAAACAAAAAATCTCTAAAAACTGTCTCCACTGCTGCAACTGCCCCGATGAATTCCCATAGGATTACCACGACACTTACTATGAAGGGAACCAACACTAAGCAGAAGAATGTCAAAGAGAGTTGTTCGCAAGAGGAAAAGTCGACACGCACAAATGATGTTGACAATATTCCATCAGGTGCAATACTAGTAAAAAAGGATTCACCATGTACAAAAAGGGGCCACAATAATTATGAAAATGTTGATAATTGTACTAATGAAAATGATGATAATAGTAATAATAAAAATGGTAATATTAGTAATAATAAAAATGATGATAATAGTAATAATAAAAATGGTAATATTAGTAATAATGATAATGCCTCTAACGAGGATGCTTCTACTAATGGTGGCAATGATCATCTAAAGGAGGATGGGGGGAAAAGGGTAAAGAAAAGAAAAATAGATGAGTGTTCAGAAAATGAAGGACATAGTACGAGTCTTAAAATGGACTCACTGATGAAGGTTGGCAGTGACGGGACAGGTAATAATACCTGCACAGAGTATGGGGAGGGAAAGAAAAACAGCAATAGGATGAAGAACGGTGAAGTGGAAAAGTGGACTGTGAAGAAACGTCGAAGCAGCAATGAGTCTAATCAAAAGAGGAAGAAAAAAAAAAAAAAGAGGAATGAAGGAGAAGAAGATGAAAAAGAAAGAGATGGGAAGAAGATAAAAATGAAAAAGAAAAAGAAAAAAGTGAACGATAATAAGAGTGCAAAAGAAAAGTACGTAGAAGTGGACAAGGAAGAAGAGCAACTACAATTGATCCTTTATGAAAATGAAGATATTTGCAATTATTTGAACATAAAAAGTGAAGAGAGAGAATTGAAGAAAACAGATTATTATACTAACAATTATGTAGGAAATAAAAAAGAAAATATGATTACAAAAAATGCCAAAATTTTCCACATGTTGAATAAAAGGGTTGCCTCGGAAGAATATATATACAACGAAATAAAAGGAGATTTTATGAAAGAAATAAATTTGCCAAATAATTATAACTATGATGTAAATGCAATAGAAATATGTAAAATGGATGTTAAGAATTTTTATCGATGTGTAATAAAACATATAAACAAAAAAAAAGAAAAAATGAAAATTTACTACATAATTAGTAACTTTTTATTTTTTTTTTCAAAAATGTATAAAAATATGATAAATTTTGATGACAATGTACATAAAGATATAAATCGAAATTTTGATTACAAAAGTTTAATTATACAAGGAAATATGTTACCTCACAATTTTTTTCTACTATTGAAAGCATTACATTTAATGAGTGTATATGATATTATTAAAAATTTTTACGTCTCTGTTGAATATGATGAAAGAAAAAATAAATGTTTGCATTTTTTAAACATAACAGAGAATAAATTTTATGAAAATTTTAAAAAATTCGAAAAAAACATAAAGTCTAATTTTTCATATGTTCATAAGTTCTTACACAATATGATTCCAATACATAAATTCTTAATAGCAAAGGGAAAATTATATAAAAATTCAGAAAATACCACTTTTTCCTTTAAGAACGAAGATCTTTTGCAGTTAACTTATAACAATTCAATGTATGATAATAGAGGTGGTTACGCAGGCGGAGCTTTGGTACTTTATGAAGAGAAGAATGATAATGAGACTAATACAACTAATGTGGGAAATCATTTCGATCAGAAAAATTTCAATAGAGATGATAATTATAACAATATTGGCAACAGCAGTTTGAATAATCCATACACATCATCTTTTCTCTATTTCATATACGACTCAAGGAGTATGCATAATAAAGCACTGGATTCTAATTTGAAGAAAGTGTATAAAATAATTGAAGAAAAAGAAATGCACAAAATTCTAAACGAATTGGCAGACCTGAATGATAACTTTACGAAAAATTTACTGAAAGAGTATAGACTTCTATTCCTTGTAGAATCCTATGAAAAAAATAACCTCTTCCAAAATGTTCTATTTAATTCGCTCTTGTATGACACCTATATTTCTCTAATTTTTATTTATTATGTAAATAATTACGTGCACAAATATGAACCCTTCACGCACAACCCGCTTTTCAAACCATCCTATTTCTACATGCTCGTGAACCAAATCAAGAAAAAAAAAAGGGACGCAGAAATGAAAACCCAAAAATGTAAAGACCACCAGCATACTGTGGATAAAATGTGCAACAATTTTTTTAAAAGTTCCCTGAACAGTATTCTCAATTCGACGCTCACCAAAGGGGAGGAACTAGCAGAAGCGGAAGAAGCGGTAGAAGTGGTAAAAGCGGTAGAAGTGGAAGAAGCGGTAGAAGTGGAAGAAGTGGAAGAAGTGGAAGAAGCGGTAGAAGCGGTAGAAGCGGTAGAAGCGGTAGAAGCGGTAGAAGCGGTAGAAGCGGTAGAAGCGGTAGAAGTGACAGTGGTAAGCACTACGAAAGGAAAGAAATGGCAAGGGAGAAAGGAACCAGATGAGCACAGGGAGGAAGAAAATTCCCCCCACAGTGATTATCCGGAACAAAATAACATAATTATAAACGAAAAAGTGATAAGGAAAAGGGAACCGAATGACGTAATCACTTGTATATTTGTTTTTATCAACTTTAATCATAACAACCCTAGTGAAGAAGAAAAAAAAGTGCGCGAATTAATTCTACACGTTTTGAAAAATAAAGAAGTAGAAAATTCAAACGAACAAATCAAGTATGTATTCAAATATAGAAATAATATCAATGATGCAACAACATTAAGCGAAATACAAGTGCGAAAGTTTGATTTTTCCAAAATATTTATATTCGGAATTGTATTAAATAATGATATATCCAACACGAACTTGCAAGAGGAGATACATCACCTGTACAATTTGAACACTACCCTACACAACAAATACCATTTACGTAACTTTCAAATCGAGACCAGAATTTTTACATTTTATTGGATATATGAAGTTCATGTGTACGGATCCATATTCCTCAAGAGTAAAGAATCCATTCACATGATCACGCAGGTTGAAGGGTGCTATCGATTACCTTACTCTGTTGAGGTTCGTACAGGATGAATCCTGTCTAATGATGAGGCAGTGGTACATGTCTTGTTCTTCCATTTGTGTAGCGGATGCACATGCCCGGAGCATAACCCGCTTTATATCCCGATTCATACGTCGCTACATTTGTCCATTTTTTTTTTTTTTTTTTTTTTTTTTTTTCCTTTCTTGTAGTGGAAAAGCCACTACCTATGGGGATATTATTTATACATAATTCAAGACAACATTGATAGTAAATATTCAGAAGAAAAAATTTGGAAATTACGACAAGAGGAGGGAGTGAATGTACGTCTATGCAGTGAAGAGTTTGACGTTAAAATTGTCGAAGAGGATATAAAGGAAGTTCTTAGTATTCACAACTTAGAATTAAATGATTTAAAATACATGAACAAAACCATATTTATGAACATAATTTTTTTAATTGAAAATGGACATTTAACATACTTTAATTTTCTGAATACCGACAATATTCAGATAAATCAAAGAAACAATTATATATTTATAAAAATTTTTAAATCCAAAGTGACATTCCCTTCCTTTAGTTTTATCACTCCTCTATTGAATGACTCTTGGCTTACTGACGTTCTCCACAAGCAAAGGCTCCTTCCATTTGCAGATTACTTTTACAAGTTCTGAAGGGACATTCTGATATGCTGGAGAAACAGGGAGGGGAGTTGATATATATATATATATATATATATATATATATATATATATATCCTCATCACAACATACGTCTCTGTGTAGACGTATACTTGGAGGCATATACCTCCCAAACTGTATGTCAAATGGCGAAATTTTCTGACACCACCACCCTCTTTTTCTCAAAGCAGACGCAATGCGTATTCGTCTTTTCCGCTGAGACATTTCTCTATTTATTTCTATTTTATCTCACAATAAACCCTGTCAATTTTACGTATTTTTAAAAATTCAAAAACGGTGTTTGATCTACATGCGTCTTTTACATTCCTAATTTTTTTTTTTTTTTTTTTTTTCTGTCTCCTTACATTTCCCATATGCGTTCCTCATACAAACCTTTAAAGTCCACACGTTCGCATAGCTACATATATGAAAATAGCTACATGTGTATACATAGCTACATATATGCACGTACGCGATTTCCATCTATGCAAAGGTTTTATCTCTTATTCTATTTCACTTTTTTTATTTTTTTACGTGAACACATAAAAAAAAAAAAAAAAAGCAAGAAATTTAAAAGTTATTTTAAGTTTTTTTTTAAAAAGACACATTTATGAGGCAAAAATATTCAGTCTTACTTCTCTTCGGTGTGATATGCACGAAGGAAAAGAAAGCAACAAAAAAAAAAAAAAAAAAAAAAAGCACACGAACATGCACACAAAAACATGCATACACACACGAACATTCCCACACGCATGTGTATCATAGGTTGGCTTTTTCCAGTTTCCTCGCATAAGAAACAAGTACGACGCTTTTTCCACGTTTGTGATTTTTAAAAACCGGTAGTCCTTTTGTTACGGCCGTGATGTGGGGGTTTACTTATTTAGATTCTCTGTAGGAAGACGGGGTGGTGATGATGGTTGAATATATAAAAAATGTATTAATATGGGCACTTGTTCATATAAAAAATGGATAAACATATAGATGAGTACATCTAAGAAACTCGATCATGCAGACAAGCGTGCACACATGACGGACAGGTGTGAGAAAAGTTCCCCATATGATGTAGAAACTAACAGAAAAATGCATTCGTAATATACTTTTTTTTAATGGAATTGAAATACCAATGCTATTTTTTCGTTTTACGGAATAATTGGAAGGTATCACATGACTCTTTGAATCACTTTTACTCTTGAAAGATATAGAACTTGAGCCCTTGCTGTTGCTTTTATGCATAAAATTTGTTTTTTCATTTTTATTGGCAAAAGATGTATTTGAGTAGTTTCTACAAATCTGAGGATTTTTTAAAATTGTATTTGGAGACAAATTCATCAGAACATCATTCTGTTTATCCTTTTTTGAAGCAACCTCAAAAGATGAACTCATACTCCTTTCATAAAGATAACTTTTTTTTTTATCAAAATCAGGTCGTGTCTTGTCATTATTAACAAATTTCCCACTCCTATTCACCTTGTTCAGTTCTTTATTTACAGCACTGCTAAACACATTACTCCCATTCCTACCAGTGCCCAAGTTGTCTATATTTTTCTTTTGAGAAAATACAGATGCACTCTTAACACTATGGGACTCACTCACGTCTCTCTGATTCTCGTACTTATTTATCAAATATTTTACGTTTGTTTTGCTTCTCGAAAAAGTTCTCATACCATCACCACTCTGTGATACTACAGAAGCTTTGGAATAATTTGGTTTTCCACCTCTTGTCATATTTGAACCCATGTAGTCTGACACCTTATATTTCTCATCATTTGATTGCCCTCTTTTAAGAACACAGTGGGGTTTGTCTTCTCTAATACTTTTATATTCTTCTCCATGTGATATATATGTTTTATGAGTTGTGTGTGAAGGAATGTTGCTTCGCAAGATGCTTCCTCCTCTTCCCCCTCCTCCCATCAGCGGAAGTTCTGAATTTACCTTTTGCTTGTTTTCTTCATTAGCTAAGAGATTGCTGTGTTTCCTCACATTTGCACTGTTCCCAATTTTGTAATCATTTTGAGTTTTACAAATTCGATTCGGTTCTGTTATCTCACTCGTTCGTCCATATGGAATGTCTATCATTCCTAGGGCCTCGACATTACCATGTCTCGTCTGTGTGTTCCAATCCTTGAGGTATCTAGTTCCCTCCCTCCCTTTACCATCTAAGAGATTTCTTTTGTTTTTATCATCCTTTTGATATGTGCTAATTCGATATTGGCATGTCTTCCCCTGTGTGTTGTCTTCCTCTTCCTGCTCATGAATTTTCTTATCTTTAATGATGCTGTTATTGGGTTCCTCAATGTTAGCATTATTTATGTCTTTCTCTGATCTGTACTTACTCGGATCCGAATAAAAGTGGTTATACTTATTTCGGTTTTTCTCTTCTTTCTCTTCTATATCTGTGCTTAGTTGTGCCTGATTTTCCTTTGGATCCTTTTTTTCTAATGTATCAGAAGAAAATGTCATACATTTGGATGTGTTTAATGGGTTCTGTCTCTCCCTATACCTAGCACTACTCTCTTCGTGCTTCCGTTGTTCAGTTTGATATGCCATCATAGAATCCTTAATTAATCTGTCAGATTTATCATACTGACTATTACATATGCCATTTTTAATGTCATTTCCATAAAATCCGTATTCTCCTCTCTCAGGCATACCTTCATATGAATCTTTTTGAACCGAACCATATTTGAATCTCATTTCATTCATGTCGATATTTTCGACAGTTTCATTTCGTAGATATATACTACGACTGATGAATGTTACATCTGAGCTATCTTTTTCTTTTCCTTTTTCTTGCATTTCCATTTTAATACTCTTCCTATCTGAATCGAAATGATTGTAACAGTTTCTTTTGTTTTCACTTTCCTCGCATTTCTCTAGATTCCATTCGTCCTTCCTTTCTTCTTTCTTGCATTTTTCATTCTCTATCTTTTTTGAATCCTCCTTTTGATCGTTAAAATTTCTCGAATTATTCATCAAATTAGATGCTCTTTTATCAATCCCCTGAATCCCTAGATCTCCCCCACCCTCGATTGCATTCGCTTCACTTTGCCTAACCAAGTCATTGTTCATTGGTGCATTGTCCAAATCTGCATTGGAGATGTGATTACTTCCATCTTGTGTAGAATCCTGCACCCCTCTTCTCGTGATGCATGTCGAAGCATCCATCTCGGCCATTGCATATGAACTAATTGGGAATTTGCTCGAATCGGAATTTTGGTTATTCGGTTCCATTTTGTGCTCCTTGTCATTGTGCTTGTCATTGTGCTTGTCATTGTGCTTGTCATTGTGCTTGTCACTGTATTTGTCCTTGTGATTGTCCTTGTGATTGTCACTGTGCTTGTCATTGTGATTGCCACTGTGATTGCCATTCTGCTTGTCACTGTGATTGCCATTCCCATTCTCCTTAACAGCACGCGCTTGCACCTCTCCTCCTTTCACTGAATCGTTCGGTATTCTGTACATCATGCAGAGGAAATCATAATCTGATACGCTGTCTATATTCTGCAGATCATCTAGAGCCTGTGTGTTCTCTAACTGGTTGATATACTTTAAAATTGCAGCTTTCAGGTGTTCATATTTGCTCGTGCTAAAAGGTACTTCGTTAATATTCATCATTTTTAAGGATTCCAGAAAGTCACTCTTCTTTTGTATTACGTCAAGGATTGATAAATCAAAATTGTTGTAGATAATTTCTGAATCGAAATTAGCATATTGACTAAATACATTTTTGTAAGAATGAAAAATGGATTCTTCTGATTTTTTTAAATGTTCATATTCATTTTGAAAATTTTCAAATGAAAAGTTTATTTTGTAAAAATCTTCAGGTGTGTTTACATTAATAGTATGGACACAATCTCGTAAATCTTTGTTTAATAACATTTCTATTTTTTTAAAATAAAAATGTAAGTTCTCATTGTAACTTTTTTTAATTTCATGATTTATATACGCAAGTAAAATTAATGGATTATTTTTCTTAATTCCATAAAATATCAATTGAATAAAAAATAAATACTTATTCATGAAATCTAATCTGTTTGCATGTATCCTTTTTCTTTCTTCTATTATGTATGTATCCTCCGTAAGTGTATTATTCCTCGACCCATCGAAAGCTGTTTCGAGTTCTTTACCACATTTTTGCACATTCTCTGGTTTCTCATTATTACTTTCTGTTCTCACATTATTACTTTCTGTTCTTGCATTATTACTTTCTGTTCTTGCATTATTAATTTCTGTTCTCACATTATTACTTTCTGTTTTCGTATTATTACTTTCTGCTCTCAGATTAATACTTTCTGCTCTCAGATTAATACTTTCTGCTCTCAGATTAATACTTTCTGTTCTCACATTATTACTTTCTGCTCTCATATTATTACTTTCTGCTCTCATATTATTACTTTCTGCTCTCATATTATTACTTTCTGCTCTCAGATTATTACTTTCCGTTCTCATATTATTACTTTCCGTTCTCGTTGTATTGCTTAATCTGAAATTGTTGCTTCCCCGGAGTAATGTTTTGCTGGATCGAATAACATTGCTATGTCTGACCGAATTGTTCATTCTAACAGACTTATTCATCTGGATGGGCATACTAGTCCTACTCGGATTGTTCATCTTTGATATGTTATTTTTTTTAATATGCATTGTTTCACCAATTTCCACATCATTATGTTTACTTATGATTCCACTCGTTAACATTTCATTATTCCCTATTACACTATTACTTGCTATGGAATCGTTATTTCCAATAATGTGGTTATTACCACTTGGGTTTAATGCTCTCAGATTTTCATAATAGATAGAACGACAATCGAAAACAGAATGATCTGAGGTTTCATCATCAGCAGGAATTCCTCCCACATCGTCCCTTCCATAAATCATTTCTTCATTGATTCTTTCATTATTGCACAACTTCTTGGTGTAAAAAGAGCATGTGCTGAAAGTTGTCTGTTCTGGAACTAACACTCCAGTGTTATTATTCTGATGAATGTGTATCTTTCTTTTCCTATTTCGATTACTCTGTATTTTATGTAAATAAATATCATATCTATTCAAATTCAAAAATAGAATGTGAAGTATTTTATACACAAAGTGGTTTTCCTTTCGATCTTCTTCCAATATTTTATTCATAATTTTTTTATAAATTTTATTCAAAATTTTGACGTACGTGTTTATGTAAATATAAAATTCGTTCGTATCTTTTAAATCATCTAATAATATATTTTTATTTTTCATTATATCGAATCCTAAATTTAGAGACACATTACATACATATTCCAGAAGTTTCGAATGGCTAGTCAGAAATTCTCGTCCAAGTAAATTATTTAATATACTTGTTACAAGGCTTCTAGCAATGGGTCCATTTTTAAAAAGATAAATATACTTATTCGTGTGTATAACTTTGGTATATATACTTAAACATACAATTGTATTTATGAAAAAGAAAGAAAAATGATTAAAGGATAATCTAGCAATACAACTTTTTTTCTTCATCAAAATGTCTACTAATAGAACTGTACTCAGGATGGCATTAAAATGAATATACGATGCATTTAAATCCTTGTCAAATGTTTTCTGAAATAAGAATCTTAATGCATAGTTGGCTCCTTTAATCAGGGTAATAAATAAATTAAAATTCTTAAAAATATAATTTCCACTTTCTCTTAATATGAAATTTCCGTTTTTGCTTTTCTTCCCCACTTGTACAATATTGTCCACGATTACTTTGCATACCTGTTGACGACACGAAGGGGATGAACAAATGAAGCCACAAAAAAAGGAGAAAAAAAAGGGAGGGAAAAATAAGAGAAAAAAAAAAAAAAAAGACGCATAAAACTGTAAAGACCTCAACGGAGTTGACATATAAAAAAATGAATAAAGAATCACTATCACACCCAAGAGTGGTTATATATATAATAACACTCTCATTTCTTAACCCACCTTTGAAATTATCTCTACATCATTGGAATAGAGGAACGATGCCAAATAAACAAATCGAAAATACACCAGTGAATTTTCATAACTATTTGATCCTTCTACCTTTTCATTATTCTTCGATTCCAAAATGTGAAAAATTTCTTTATTCCTTGAATAGTTATTCCCTTCAATTGCAAAATTTAAATTATTCGAGATACTCATATATGATATTTGATCATTTATATATCCTTCATCTGCCTTATCCATTTCTATTTCTTCAATTTTTTTTTTTATTTCCGTTGCTTCTTCAACACTTTTCCTAAATTCGTTCACGTGTCCTGGGGATGGAGAGAAAAAAGAGCAATGTACACAAAATGGAAAAAAAAAAAAAAAAAAAAAAAAAAAAAGGATTCATACAAGGCAAGTTCATTGAAAGAAAATTCCATAACAGGACATATTCTACGAACTTCCATATTCTCATTCGAAAAATCTAGTGATAAAATATGCATAAAGTCCACAATTCTAACTTACCTTCTACTTCTTTCCTTATGGAGTTTCTTTGATTTGCATTATGTTTCAAGTAGTTCATCAATTCATGATTTTCGTCATCTTTTGGATTCCCTAAAAAATATACGTGCAGTGTATTGATAGGACATGGTGGACAACAGTACAAGCAGATGGCACCAAATGGAGAAAAAAAAAAAAAAAAAAAAAAAAAAAAATAATCAACGAAGAATATAAATCGGGTAAACGCACAATATCAGCAGCGTAAAAATACATTAAGTGTGCACAAGGAAAACGGTAAATTTGTATAAAATCATGAGACCAAGATAGATGCACATTCAAAATGGAAAAGCTTAAAAATAGTTGGACAATTTAAACTCAGAAAAAAAAAAAAAGAAAAAAAAAAAAAAAAAAAAAGAGAAGCTCTTGATAGATGTAATAAGCGAGATGTTTAAAATTCATGCAGACATGAAGTTAATGTACAAGTAGAAGATTGATGCATATAAATATGAAAAAAAGTTCAAAATGAGAGAAGAAAAATCAAGTTAAGATTCTTCATCATGAAAAAAGGAAAAAAAAAGAGAAGAAATTAGTGTATATACATACATATATATATATATATATATATATATATATATATATATACATGCATGTATGCATAAAGTTTTGGATAAATAAGTGCATAACGTGCTGTTAAGACACGTGTAGGGGCGTAGGAGGTACTAAGCTATGAAAACTCTTTTTCTGGCCGTTGATTTGCCAGGCTGCATATGGGTATGATGTGGGAATCTATTCAAGGTCTATGTACTCTCCTTTTTTTTTTTTTTTTTTTTTTTTTTTCTTATTTTGTATCCACTGCTGTACTGCATTATTCTTTTTATTATCATGTTTATGCAATGCATAGTAAAGGTAATCACTATTATGTATGAACATATTCATATGTGTGTCTCTCCATATGTATATTTTACATATACATTTTTTTAATTTTATTTTTATACCTTCAGAATTATCGCTTTGATAGGAGCTGTTATTTTCGTCGTCTAAAAAATGTTTCAAAAAAAAAAAAAAAAAAAAAAAAATGGGTGGGAAACTTCGAAACAAATAATATGAAATAAGCATGTCGTATACAAATTAGGTGACCCAATGGATACACTTTCCATAGAGAAATAACAACTTCTGTGAGGATTCTGTAAAATTACTATGCGGATAATTGTTTCGTCACGAGTCGCTGAATTGTCACTCTATAGCAACCTCCACCCAAGGATGAATTGACACCATTTTATGAGTTCTCTTTTTTGTTCAATTTACCTTCCATGTCCTTAAAGGAAAAATTATAATCCTTACAATTATCAATAAATTCATCAACTTTTCTTTTTAAGTATCCAGAAATGTCGTCATTGTCTATGCACCTGAAAAATGTGGAAGAAATTCCAAATGGAACAATTCGGTATTGTTAGAAGTGGAAAGATAGGGAAAAGCAAAAACAGGAAAACACATTAACGAATGTTCAGGAGAAATAGGAAAAAAAAAAAAAAAAAGAAAAAAAAAAAAGAACGTTAGAAATTGTCTACTTCCAAATATATATACATGTGAATGAAAAAATGTGTGAACGTATTTGTACTTATAGAAGTTTGGGGAGAAGGACTGAATATTTGCAAATATCTTCAAACAGTACATTGTCACGTTTTTATTTTTGCTGTGAATTGTAAAAACTTGCAAAATTTTCAACACGTCCTTTTCAATGTTCAGACATTTCTCCTTGTACAAAATGATTAGCTTCAAAATTATGTCCAGGGAGTCGCATATTCGTCTAATAGGGATAAAAAAAAAAAAAAAAAAAAAAAAGTAAAAGTAAAAAATGAATATGTACAGTACTTACCATGTGCAAATTTTATTACATAATAGGAAATTGACAAATGTAAAGGCCAATTTTATATGCATTACAAACTGTGCATACGGTTAAATTACTCTTTTAGTTTGACTTACTTCTGATTACACGATGAAAGATTTTTTATGAGTAGAGAAAAATATAACTTGTGATCCGAAATGTAGCATAGGCAGAGAAGTATTTCCTTCAATTTTTCTAAGATATATATATATATGGTAATGGTGCATGTGGTGGATACATTTCAATACACATGTGATCGCGGGGATATAATGTTGACAAAAAAAAAAAGAAGCACACCTTTTGTCAGAGTTTTACATAGATAAACCATAGTGCATACAAAGACGTGTACATATGTAACACATGTGAGAGGAGGAGGAGGAGGAGGAGAAGGAGAAAAAAAAAAAAAAAAAAAAAAAAAAAAAAAAAACTCACTTCTTATCTCCGAGGATGTTGTCCCACCGTTCATTCTATCCCAAATGAAATTGACTAAAATGAGCAACTCCTGTTCATTCAGATAAACATAATTATCTTCAATTGTTTTCAAAATGATTCTCAATAAATTTATGCATGCACATAAAAGTTCATTATTGTTTTGATGTCCATTCAGGGTGAAGAAGATCCATTTCAGTAACAAGTCCAGGAAGCCCGATTTGGAGAAAAACGTCGACTGGTTTAGACTGTTACTTAGGTAGTCCTTAAAAAAGAGAATACTCCTGCGGTAGGCAAGGTAGGGAAAGGGGGGAAGGGGAAAACCAAGAATTGATGAAATCGCAAAACGGTGCACTTTCACAATGGTGCACTTCCAAACAGATTTGCAAAACACGCATTCCACTTAGCATAACTGACCAGCACTTTCACCTTACCTATTAACCATATTCACATTTTCGCTAAACATGTGCTGCACGAGCTCCTGACTGCTAAAAGCTTTGAATTCCTTCATGAGATAGTTCAAGTGAAGCTGGTCAAAATGTTTCTCCCATTTGAAATTATCAACCTTTATTTTATGGTTCGGAGGAAAATCAATCTTGAGAACCTTGTTCTTACTAATGAAAGTGAGTTTCTTAATGCTTCTTGATTTGGACATGGCTGGTGTAGTGGCACTGAGGTTACACTCGTTGTTTGAAATTCTCTTAAGTTGTGAATTATGTGACATAAAAATTTTATAGAAAGAAAATTCCTCTTTAGCTACTTTCATCTGATTTAATATATCTTGGAGACACTCTTTTTTATGAAGAGATAATTTTTCAAAAATTTCAAAAAATATGTTTCCTTTATATTTTGCATAGATATGATCTAATACTATACTAGCTTTTTCTCTAACTTGTTCATTATCATCAAAAAAGAAATCCAGATAAAACTTTAGAACTTTCTTTTTTATTACATTTTCGTTTAGTAGAAGTATATGATTCGTATTGATGTTGTTGATAAGCATTTGAATTTTGTTTCTCTTGGATGTTCCTTTCCCATGCCCTATTGAATGATTACCAATGTGCCCATGGATATTCCCTTCATCTCTCATATTACTTAGCTTCTCATTCAATATGAACCCGTTTATATGTCCAATGTATTTAGAAATACCCATATTCTTACACATGCAAGTGAGAAGTTTATCGATTTGTTCACCTGTAATGTCCACATCTCCAATCATCCTAAGAATACAATCTAGTATCGTATCAGCATATATATGAGTATTGTCTCTTAGGGAAAACATAAGGACGTATAATAATTCTACACATTTGTTCTTATTCAAACTATAAATCTTATGTAACGTATTTTTATTAATCAAAACTTCTAATTTATCTGGGTTTATGTAATATTTTCCTACCTTTTCAATCACACTAATAATTTTTGTAATATTTGTTGCTGAATGATTATTTTCATTCATAATTTGATTTACGTATTGTTTAATTATGTTACTTATGTTGACCATTTTCTCCTCTTCTTCTTCTTCTTCTTCTCCGTAGTCATCTTCATGTTTGTCTTTTTCTTCTCCTTCTACTTCTTCCTCTTCTTCAACATGGTCTCCTTGCCGTTTACTATACATTATCATGGATTTCTTTTCCTCTGTTTCTCCTCCTCTTCCATGTGTCAAAAAATTATCTCTATTCTCATAATTCTTACTTTCAACTATTTTTGTACTCTTATAATTCAGATACGTGTTCGTATAATCAATTTCAACTGTATTCTTATATCCCACTGATGAAGACTCCACTGAAATTCCATATTCCTGATTGTTATCACCACATCTAAGGTGCTCCAGCTTGGTTCCATCTGCACCATCTGGATTGTAACTTCGAAACGGTCTTCCATCTCTCCCCCTATTAGCCTGGTCAGGTAGAGACTCACTGTGTTGGCCACTCATTTGGCCACCCATTTGGCCACCCATCTGACCACTCATTTGGCCACTCATTTGGCCACCCATCTGGCCACTCATTTGGCCACCCATCTGGCCACTCATTTGGCCACCCATCTGACCACTCATTTGGCCACCCACCTGACTGTTGCTTCTGCCATTGCTGCTGCTGCCCCGTGGGTCCTCGTCGCATCTTTGTGCCGATGGAATTGGGGGACCCCCGGCTTTCTTTTCCCGTTCATTTGCACCGATACTGCCAGACATGGACTTGATATTGTCTGCTGCACGGATGAAAGTGTTGGAGCATTGAAATCCTTGCCTATGCACAAATCGTTCGACATCATCCTTAGATTTAACTGATTGACGAATGTTTTCAGATATCCCTTCCAAATGGGATAAGACATACTTATCTCCAAAATTCTTGCTTAGTAATTGCAGCAAAAGAATAGAAGAATTTTTCAAATTCGTATTTTTCGAATCGACAAATTTTTTTAGAAAATAAATGAGATTTTTTATATTAACACTAGGATTTCCACCGGTAGCAAAACCAGAAGAACGGGTATTTCCTCCATTTGGTATCTTAGATAAAAATAATTTCTGCAGAATTTTTATACATTCTTCACATTTCTTTGCATTCTTGGCATCATTATTTTTGATTACAATATCAATGATTATATTGTTATCAAAATAATGAAAACATTTTTGAAGGAAATTATTGCAAACAATGGTATCCTTTTTATCTTTCGTCTTCTCAATATAGAGAGGGATCAGTATGTTCATAATTTTAACAAAGTGTGGATTATTTCCTCGATGAATATTGAAATGATACATATGGTCTACAAATTGGTTGAAGAAATCAAAAATGGCATTATTCAATTGGTTATATTTCCCCTTAAAATCATAGCAGTTTTTTTTTATTAAATTTATAAAATGTTCTAGGTTAATTTTCGTCAAATTAATTTCTGAGCTTATCCATTTTGTTAATTCTTGTATTCCTTCGATTTTTGTGCTATGGCTATTCGATTTCAAATTAGATAAGATGTTTCTTGGCAGCACGGATTCTATATTATCAGGACATGCAATCAGATTTCTCCCCATTTTGCTACTTCCACCCCCATTGTTGTTCACGTCATTTGAATTACTCATCTCATCACAAGGTGCATCATCATCATCATCCTGGTTATTACTCCTACTTTTGTTGTTCATATTACCGCTTACATTTGCATTCTCAGTGGAAGTATTTCCAAGGGATTTCCCTTTTGATCCAACAACCCCAGAACAGTGGGCCATTATAGACCTCTTCTTATTAGAAGGTAGAGAGTTGAAAAATGCTGTATGTACACTTTCTCCATAATTAGTCACTATTAAGGAGTAAATTTTACAGGCCATATTCTTAATGTTTGCGACAGTGTCGTTTAACAAATGTTTCGTAATGTCAATAATAGATACGATATTCTTCCGATCAATGTAATCAAAAATTTTTAATAAAAAATCCAGAGTTACCATTCTGGTGTTATTATTTTTGTCTTTCAAATTTTTAGACAAATCGTCAATGAAGATGTCAATATTGTACACACTAATTGCTTTTGTTAAACATTCTATGCATGCGTTCGATACCTGCTTATTTGAATCCTTTAATTTTGCACATAAAATAAATGTAAACGTTTTTACAGTTGTATAAATATCCTTTTCAAATTTTTCTATTAATATGTGTAATAATTTTAGAGTGGACACAACCACAGGTAGTGCTGATTCGTTTTTAAACAATTTGTTAATTATGTTCAAAATGGTACTAATATAAGGAGTCTTTTTAATTACATGTTTGGATTTTATTCTATCATATAGAAGATTTATAGCTTCTACTTTGATTTTCCATGGCAGTAAATTTTCATTACTTAACGAATTGTTACTATTATTATTATTATTGTTACTTTTAGCACTGTTATTGTCAATACAACCTTCCAATACTCTTATTTCCCATTGTTTTGTACATATTTCTTTAAAAACATCCGTTTCTTCAATCAAGTTAGTTGCATCTTCGAGGAAAGAGTTATTATTTAAGTAATCGTTGTCTCCTCCATTGATTCCATTTCCCTGGTTTGTATTTCTGTATCGATTCAGAAGATAATTTCTAACAGGTACATTTTCTCCATTTATTCCTTTTTGAGTTTCCTCCTTTTGTAATTCCTTAGTTATGTAATTTTTCTGTTGATTATTTAATTCGTTCAAAATACTATTTTGGAAATCTACATTTTTCACTTGACTAAGCATTTCAATGTATAGAAGATAAAAATTCGTCTTCACACTTTTGTCTATCATGTCTTTAAATTTGAAACAAAACTTATTTAATGTTTTCACACATATGATACTAGCACGAAAGGTACTCAACAATTTATAAAGTAACAATAATATGGATGAAATAACTTTTATCTTTATACCTTTAATATTTGATACAGATTTATTTGCCTTCAAATATATTCCATTCATGTGTTCACACAAAGCTGTTAATATATTTATAGTGATTTTATCATTAGAACAGTATTCAATTAACTTTCTTACTATGTTGAAACCATTATCAAACGATTTTGTATTGGTTAATATTTTTTCGATTAATACCTTTTCTATTTTTGTAAAAATAGAAAATAATTTATTTTTATTTTCATTAACAAAGGAATTAATTAATTCTTCTTCACTTTCATATTCATCTTTAAAATTGTGAAAATAAATTTCTTTCAACACACTAATATATTCATCAGTCATTTCTGCTGCTTTTATTTGACATATTAAATTATTATCTCCTAAATATTTTAATACATTTTCTTCCTCCTTAAAAATAGTATTAACTATTTCCATTTTCTCATTTATATTCTCTTCGCCTGTGAAGCATTTTATAACTTCGCTATAACCATGCATTCTATATTTTACTATGTTGCTGTTTACTCTTACTATTAAATCTATCTTTGATAAATCTCCTGTGTCTTCTTCTCCATCAACAGTTCTTTTGCTAATCTGATCGTTAGTACTAGTATTAGTAGTAGTAATAGTAGTATTATTATTAGTTCTTGTAGAAGTGGTAGCACTACTACTACTACCGTTGTTGTGGTTCTTATTTTCTCGCTTATCATATATCTGATCTGTGTTATTTCTTTCTTCAGACACATTTGCTTTTAACTTATTATTCCCCTTTTTTTCCACCACACCTCCTCCTAATGCACCTTTTGCCAATTCTCTTTGAAGTAATTGTTCAAAAATGTCCCCACTATTATGTTCACTCTCTTCTGCATTAAAGTGTCTATTTAGTGCATCCTCATCAGTACCCTTTTCTTCTCTGCCTGAGAAGCGATTCGTACTTCCTTGGCCATTGTTACTAATCTCATCATCACCAGCATTCCTATTTTTTATTGTATTCTTTCCTTTCTCCTCATCCGCTACATTCCCTATATCTCCTCTCAACGGACCCGTGCGTCCATGCACGACACTCTTACCTATTCGTAGGAGTTTTCTGTTTTCCATCAGATGTTCATGGTACCTCTTTTCCAGTTTTTCCTTTGAGAGAATGGATTGTCGTGCGTGCGTGTGTGTGATTCTTCCGATTGGGAAAATTATGTAAAGTCCAGAGGAGAAATTAGCATCAAAGCTTGCGTGTCAAATAACCAATGCACGTGTGGCACGGTTGGAAGAACGAGAAGGGTATGAAAAATAATAAGAAAATTATGTCCTTTGGCAGAACTGAATTGAAATCCACACAAGAACACGAAGGATAGTGTTTTATTCTTTGGGAAAGTGTACTTATTCAAAACGTGTGGAAGATAGAAAAATATGTATATGCGAATATAGACACACACACAGCCACTCACTTCTTCGTAAAAGTGGACAAAGAAAAAAAAAAAAAAAAAAAAAAAAAAAAAGGTTAAAACGAATGTGTTATACAAAAAAAACGGCAAAAAAAACTTAGAAAGGGTAAAAAAATGGTTTAAAAAAAAAAAAAAAAAAAAAAAAAAAATACGAAAAAATGGAGAAAAATTGTCAGAAGATGATAAAAAGAAGGACATGCTTTCTTTCATACCCAGTGTGCATGCTTTAATTCATGCCAAATGATTAATTTTTAAGCACACTAATCGTGATGCAGAAAGACAGTAATGAAAAAAAAAAAAAAAATAAATACACAAATAAATACACGGATAAATAAATTTGTTCACCCTTGTATAAGTGCATGCGTGCACGCATCTATTCAATAAAATAAATAAAGGTTGCTTTAACATAAAAAAAAAAAAAAAAAAAAAGAGGAAAAATGGGGAAAAAGCGTGGGAAGAAAAATAGGGGAAAAAACATGGGAAGAAAAATAGGGGAAAAAACATGGGAAGAAAAATAGGGGAAAAAACATGGGAAGAAAAATAGGGGAAAAAACATGGGAAGAAAAATAGGGGAAAAAACATAAGAGAAAATTAGAGGAAAATAACATTTTCCATAAATTTAAAAAAACCTACTTTATTGTGGAACGGCTGTCAATTCCCTGTTTTGAATATTTTGCCTCATTTGCACTCGAGCATCCTTTTTTACTTGCGTGATTTTGTGCGAGAAGGGGATCTCGCGGAAAACAATACTCACGAACATTAAACTTTTCATAGGAAAATGGGCGAATAAGATGCATACATACACGAATGAAGCGAATAAGGTATCTCATAAATTAATGAAAAGGACAGAGTTACCTTATAAATAAATGAAGGGAATTAATTTTCATTTAAAACATTAATGGTATGTACGGAACAAACATTGCATATACACTAAGTGTGGGGGAAATTATATGAAAAAGCATACGCTACAGAAACAAGTAAATATATATCCATATTGGTATATATACGTGGCATGTTCATACAAATTTCCGATACTTTTGCATATTTCATAAACGACACAAATGATAAAAATACGTTTAAAATGAAAAAAACGAAATATATAATATGTGTTTATAATGGGAAAACACACATAAATATATTTATATTTTTTCATACGCAAATGAAAAAAAAGTGTATCTCAGTGTTCACTCGCAAAAAAAAAAAAAAAAAAAAAAAAAAAAATTCAAAATATTTTCTAAAAACACATTCTTTTTTATGAACATAAAAAAGAAAAAGTAGACTTCTGAATTTGTAAACTCTTCTTTATAGCGACTTTACCACTCTATCGCCCTTTTTTTTTTTTTTTTTTTTTTTCTTTTTTCCCCTCTTTTGTTATAACACTAATTAATGCTATAATTTACCAATTTGTTGACTTTTCTTTTCCATTTGGATACGATGTCACATTTCACAACGCACACATTTTTGAGGTACCCCCGAGTGAAAAAGAGATTTTTTTTTTTTTTTTTTCTTTGTACTATTTCCATATTTATGTTTGATTATGCATTCAAAAAGTGTAGGATATGAAATATATATATTTTTTCCTTTATGGTGTAAGCTTTAACAAAACTGTTCCTTTTTTTTTTTTTTTTTTTTTTTTTTATACCCTTAAAGTTATTTTATTATTCGTATACCACATTACACCTTTTATGCTATTTCATTTTTCTCTTGACAAAAAAAAATTTCCCCTCTAATTCGTGCCTTCACAAGAGAGAGAAAAATATTTTTATACAGGAATAAAAATGAGACACGGACGAAAAAGGTAGAAATGAAAGTTGATATAAAAAAGAAAAAATAAATTTACAAATCACAAATCGTTTCAAGAAAGACTGTTGTAGCAGAACAAACAGCACCCATATATTTAGACACTTTGTTTTAAAATATATAAGTAGAAGATATATAATAACTCCCGAAAAATCTTTTCATAAATGATATTTAAAAAAATATATATTTGCTAAAAAAAGAAAAAACAAATCGGATATTTTATTAGCAAGTGTTCATTATCTAAAAAAATATACATTTGCTTATGCATCCACTTATAGTTTCGATTGAAAACGATAAATGAGAGGTATGGTAGTGTGGAGGGATCAGTGGGGCTCCCTTTTTGTTGGGGCTGCAAAACTGTTGAATAAACAAATGGTGTGGCGCTGGTATAATCAAGTTGATCAAATAACCAAATGATCAGTTTATAAAATGATGAATTATCAAATCTGCGCACGTGCATGTGGCACAAAATAATCGAGGTGCACATGTGTTAATGTAAATCTTAATACAAAAAAAAAAAAAAAAAAAAAAAAAAAAAAAGGCGTAAACAACTGGAGGCGAAAAAATGCTCAAAATTTTATAAGGAAAAAAAACGAAAAGAAATAATAATAAAAAATAAAATAAATACATAGGTAGATAGATGGATGGATATAACTATAGATTGAATGTGAGAAAAGAAATCAAATGAATAAGTATTGCAACGTAACTCACAAAAGGGTATGTAGGTATATACCCGTGCGCATAAACACCATGTGGGTTATCTACTAGCACTAACACCTCACAAAAGTATCATCAAATATGAAACGTGATAATTCTTGAAATGATTTGCATGTGCCACAATAGTTTGCATGTGTTTGTCTGAGGGTGATAGGAAAAATTTTTTTTTCAAATATTCCCTTGAAACGTTTTGCACACATTTAAAAACGGTAACTTATGCAAATTTTTTTTTTAAGAAATATATTGGGATGTGTCTGTTGTGTAATTGTATCTTATTTTATGTCGGTATTGAAACTGTGAACTTGTACGGATGGAGTGGATGGGATAATGTATACATGTGTAAACGTGTAAGAAATAAGTTAGACGGGGTAATGAATTTTGTAGGGTCATTTTTCTGTTTCGAGTCCTGTTTTGAGTCCTACTTAAATTAGCCATGTCGGTTCCAATTGTTCCTTTCTCACCTTCATGCCTTGACGTATTTGTACTGAAACTTTTTCAACCTGAGCTTTTTATTGTTGCATTCCTTTGAGTTGTGTTCTAGAATTGCCGATAGGGACATATTTTTCGTGTATTTTACTGATTGCTCAAGTAGGGTGATAATATCACGATTTAATTTGTAAAAGGCATTACTTCTAATTTCAATGGAACACTTCATTTGGTCTCTATAACTCTGCTTAATCCATTTTATTTTGTAATCATATTTTTGACAAAATTTGCATAAAACTAATTCATTATTTTTGTGCACTTTCGAATGCATGTTTCCACAAATGAGATGGTAACTATTGAAGCACTTATCGCACATTGTGAGATTCCCACAACTTCTGCATTTTCTGCATACCTGTCACAGGTTAGACAAGTTTGAGTGATGAATCAATTATGGAAGTATGACAAGTGTGGGAAATAAATCATGTAAAAAAAAAAAAAAAAAAAAAAAAAAAACAATGCAATAATGCTTTATTTTTCTTTTTTTCCATATGCATCATCGTGCAAAAATGCATGTACTTTTTTTTTTTTTTTTTTTTTTTTTTTGCTTACTTCATCATCGGCAAACCCTTTGTCAATCAAATTCCACATTTCATGTTCTGCTCCCACGACGTTGTGCAGGATGTAGCTATACTACTCATTTTAACGGAACAGGATAAGAAAGGTACATGCGAAAAAAAAAAAAAATAAAATAAAATAAATCAATAGTTTATCAAATAAACACGGAAAAGGGCTTCATATAATCAGTTATCGCGGGATGGAGCATAAACGAGAAATATTTTTTATTTATTTTCCTTTCTCTGCTTTAACTGCTCTGTTCTTTCTCCCTCACTGTAACAATTTCACATGTGGTAAAAACACATACCTGCTGTATCCTTCTCAATTGGCCAATTTTTATAAGAGACGGTAAAAACAAGTTGAACGCGTTTATAATATTTTTTTCCCCATCAGAAAAGGATGAAACTAATATTTTCCAAAATTCGCTCATAGCATTAAAAGGCTTAGATTTAAGAGACAGAAACTGATTTTTATGAAAATTCAAATCATAAAAAATCCACGTTGAGAAACATTCCATTAGTCTTAAATTAATGGCATTCGTTTTATTATACTGATATAACGATTTCGTTTCTGTATTTTCTAGGTTCACCATCCAGTCTTGCATCTTTCTATGTAGCTTATTAAAGTTTTCAATCGGGTTAAATATGTCATTGTCTCTTATTTCAATGTCGCTTAAGTCGTTGTCTGTTTCTTCTTTTTTCTTCAAATTATAATTCATGCATTTCGCTGAATTGCATAGGCACTCGAAATTGTTGAACACGAAGTTGTAGCTGTGACGGTCAAGGGAAAGCCGAGTAAGGACATGCAAGTACATGTATATGTGTATGCAAATGTGAATGTGCACATATATATATATATATATATATATATGTATTTTGCATAGAGGCCTATGCCCTACTGCTATCTCCTCACGTGCATGAAAGAAGCATGAGCTCGTCTAGACTCATTCGTATAGCACAGTTATGAGGACTCTACGTCCTACTTTACAAATATGCAATCACACAAACGGTTTTACATATATGTGCACACGTGTGAGTGTATGTGGAGTAATAAGGATAGCCCAAATATTCTCGTCAGCTGATTAAGCGACATACCTGTAGTTGTATGTTATTTCCTCACCAGCAGGAATATCCTGTTGAGCAAAAATTCCTATGCGGTAAAACCCACGAACAATCCATTTCTGAGAAACACTGTTAGGAGAACAAGAGTGATTGACAAATCTTGAAATACTTCCCTTTCTTCTGCTATCAATATGAACATCCCGATTTATCTGAATAGAATACCAATTATACATGTCCGTTTTCTTACTTTCCTCTTGATATGCTTCCATTCTTTCTTCAAATTCTTTTTTTCCAAGTACCTCTCCAACATATTCGCATATGAGTTCTCCGTTCTTTATATCTCGTTTACAAAATACTCCATATCCTGTTCTTTCCGTTTTTCTTATCTGGGAGAAGAAGCAAGCCGGGGAGAGGTAGTGAGCAAGATATGTATATTGTGTAGAGGAAAAAATGAAAAAAAGGATAGGAACACAAACGAATGAGTTAAAAATGGTGAGCAGATGCACAAATGCATAAAGACAGACGTAATAATAATGCAGTGGAGTTCAGACCACATAGAATTCTACAGAGCTCTTGTCCCCGGATAAACAATTATGTGAACAGTTACCTCCAAATCTTTTATAGCGGAATGCTTAAAGGGGCGATTAAAACATTTTTTGTCTTGAATTTGTATTGGCAAATTACACCTATTTCTAGAACATTGTATTTTGCTTAAAGAATTATAACACATAAAGGGATCGCACTCTGTTTGACATAAACATCTATAATCATCTGATTTGCAGGATAACAAATTTTTATTTTGATCACTCAGATAAACGTTCTTTGAAATATATTCAAAATTTAAGTAGGGGCTACATTTTTTCAAAATACTTACATCTATTTTGTATCCATTTTTTGTTATATGTGAAAAATCAGCAAAATCAACTTTACCATTTTTAAACAGTTTTCTCTTTCCCTTTGCAAGATCTTCTTCTACATCTCCATTATTTTCATTCATCTGATTTTTTTTATTTTCTGTATTTAAAAGTAATTTTTCTAATTTCAAATCATTCATACAGTCATCACCTGTATCTATATTAACAACTTCATCTTTACATTTTATGGTATCTCCATTTTTTTTACATATGCATGAACTTGCACTGTTTGCATCTCCGGATTGATTGATTCCATTAAATTGGCACTTCATACATCTGTTTGGGTTGGTGCTAATACAAGGGTTATCTTCCATCCTAAAAGACATTATTTTAATCACATCTGTGTCTTGGTATGCATTATATTCGACACCTTGGGAATTATTAATCACTCTTATACTCTTATTCATTTTATCCTTTTCAACATTTCTAATTCCAGATGCATTTTTTAATTCTTTATACAAAATATTTAATAAATCATTGGATCCCCATTTGATCTTTTCTTCCTCATCTGGGTCTTCTTCTACAGCTTCTTCTTCTTGTGTAAATATTTTTTCCGCATTTTCACATTTCCCCCCACCTTTTCTATTCACAAATTTGTAACGGTCATTCCATGGTGCATTATTTTTTGTCTCTTCATCTGAGATGAGTTCTTCCACTCTTTTGTGTGTTTCATTCAGGATAGTATTATCTATGTTGCTCCTTTTAATCGTATTTTTTTTATTGTTTATTGTTTGCACTAGACTTTTGTTTTCAAATTTGTTTTCTTGAAATTTGGAGATTTGTTTTTCCTTTCCTGTACTAAGCTCATTTTTATTCCCACTCTGGTGCTCACATTTGTCTCTCTTCTTAAACAAAAAGATGACAAAATTAATAAAATCCTCTCTAAAGGTACACAATAGGTTTATGTATTCTTCACACTCTTCACTTATCTGATTTGATTGTATTTCACCTTGTGATAATAACGATTTCTCCATATGCAAAATTCGCTTTACTTTTATGTGTACATAATAATTATATTCTGCAGCACTTTGGAAGTTGTCCTTCGTATATATATGGCAAATTTTGTTTGCAGATAAAAGATCTTTACATATCATTTCCATTTTACAACTGTCTATTTTATTCCATGGGGGTCCAGCTAGGGTTTCTAACTCTGTTTCTTCTTTCTCCTTGAAATTTACATTTCGACATTTGCTGAAAGTACGGGTTATACCATAATTATTTGTAGGATCATTCGCTGCCGTTCCATTCGCTGCCGTTCCATTTGCTGCCACTTCATTTTCTGCCGCTTCATTTGCAGCCCTATCGATTTGATTCTCCTCATTCCTGTTCAATATAAACGAATGGTCTTCCTCATCTATGCCACCTCTGCTGGAGCTGCTCTTAATCAAAGAATTAACATTCTGTGAAATAGTGAAATCTGCGTTGCTTCTGGTGAAATCACTTAAAATATTTATGTCTAAATTGTAATTTTTCAAAATATCAATATCATTAACATTTGATATTTTTCTTTTTTTTGATTTTGTAGATATATCATCATTTCTCCTACATTCATATTCTTTTACCTCTTCACTGATTCTTACATTTTTATTTTCTTCACCACCTTTCATGTCTTTTTGGATCAAAGAAACACGTCCATTTTCATTCGACAAGCATGGGCTCTCTTTATAATTATGGTGGTGTTGTTGCTGCATCAAATTATTTGTGGTACTTTTTTTCACATTCATTTTTGTCACATCTGCTTCTTTATTAATACTTTCATTTTTATCAGCTTCCAAAAGTGTGCTAACCGTATTTTTGTATTCCACAATGGAAAATGTCAAATTGCAAGAAACTACATCATTACAATTGTTCAGTTCTTCTGTTACACAACAATCCTTCCTTTCAGTATCTTTTCTTAAGTAGGAATTGTTGTCTTGTTTTCTCTCTTCTTCTGTTAAATCAAACATTACTTGTTCTTTGTTCCTTTTCTCATGAATAGTAAGTGCATCATCGTTACATGCAGAAACACATTCAGCACCGTTTCTCATTGTCTCATTTTTCTCCACCTGTTTGGATTCATTATGAAAAATAATTCCATTTTTTAAATTGGAATTTATCAATTTTTCCTGTTGTTCCAAATTTTTAACATCTTCGTCTTTACATGGTGACAACATGTTGGAACATTTTCTTTTTTCAGAATTGCTTGTCACAGACTTTTTCAGCTCTTCTCCCAACGGTTTTTTCCTCATTGTATCTGAGACATGTGCAAAATTATCATTTTCATGCATGCGTGGTTCTGCAGATAGTTGGGAATCATTACGGTTGCTATTATTATTACTTCTTTTATTTTTATGATTCACATTGGTTATGTCAGTAGCGTGATCGTTAGAAATTCTGTTAATGCATGACATCTCATTTATTACTCCTTTCTTACTTTCACTTGCTCTTAGTGGAGGGCTTGGTAATTTTTTAAAAGTCTTAAGAAACATTTCCATATGCTTAGTCTTGTAATAATCAATATGGTTGGCGCAGAACATAATTTTCTGTGTATACGATATAATGTAACTATTATTCATACAATGAAGATGAACTGACTTAAAGCATTTTATGCATCTGAAGAGACAATTTCTTCCCTTATTTTTCACTTTTTCCAAATTAATGATATAAAATTCTTTACAAACATAGCATACATGTAAGGGGCAGATGTATTTACTGAGTCTTATATTTTTTGTTCCATTTTTGGACGATTCGTCCATTTTGGCTAGTTCGTTACTATCTAATGAGGTGTTTAAAATGGTAGATTTTCTATCTAAATTTTTCATTTTATCACTATTATCCGTTGTATTTTTTATTATATTTATCCCCTCTTCCTGACTCTTATTTGTATTTACATTAATTAATAAAGTGGAACCATTTTTTTTATTTATTTTTTTATTTAAAGTAGTACATTTCTTTTTTCCCCCACATCTTTTTCTTTTTCTGCAATAGATTCGTTTCTTTTTCCATATTTTCCTATTTGGTGATAATTCCTTATTTACATCATTTGGAGCATCTAACCCTTTGTTTTCATTGCACAATGTGTTAGAAGTTGTCAGATGTGAACAATATTGATATTGTTTCAAACAATCGATGTTTAATAATTGCAAATTTTCAACACATTCAGCATGTAAAAATAAGTTACACAGCGGATAATAACAAGGTATCAACTTGTCATTTGTTGTTATTTCCTTACATAAGGTACAGAAGTTTATGTCATATAAACAGAAAACACAAATGAAATTATTACCTTTTCGTTTAATATGACTTACACATTTTATATGGAAACTTCTACCACATGAAATGTTGCATTTGTACATGTATTCCTTTGCTTCATTATTACTTAAAATATTACTTAAATTAAAAATATTCTGTTCACAATATTCACAAAAATGAAACGTTTTATTATCATCAATTCCTTTTAGGGTGTATTTTCTATAGCATTTTATTACATCTTCATAATAATCTTGTAATAATTTTACTTGTTCCTCTTCGTTTATCGATTCAATTGGGGTCTCATTATTATTCTTCTTCATTTTTACTTTGTTCTTATCACTGTTATGATTATTTTTCAATTTTACTTTCGTTTTATTCCTTCCATTGTGTTTTTCTTCATCTGTTGGTTTCTTTAAATTATTCGATGCTTCTCCCTCCCCATCTTCTTTAATTCCAGATGTTCCCGTGGTTAAGTCACCACTTTGCATGCCTGCATTCAGTATATTGGTACTCAACGTGCACACATTCCTGTTGTAGTTTTTACTAAGCTTGATGTTGTCAATATTGGCATATTTTTTTCCCACGTGTCGCATACTACCTTTTCTACTCACAAGAGAGTTAGCATGATTTATTCGTATACTGTTATTACCATCTTTGGAATCTATTTCTTTCTCTTGATTTGTTATGGAAATGGTATTTTTGTTCGTTAATTTTTTTCTTTCTGTTGAACCATCCATATTATTCCTTTTGACATTATTACTACCGAATTGGTATGATACATTTTCATATTTAGGGTCTTTGCTTATTTGCAACCTCGAACTTTTCTGTGGTACTTTTGTATTCAAGTTCATATGTTTATTATTTTTATTCCAAGAAATTGTTTTGTTTTCATGAATCATGGAATTATTATTCTCATTATTTGTTGAGGGGTTATCATTTTTACTTCTTCTTTCAACATGTGTTTTATTCGAATTCTGGGAAATATTCACATGCTCCAGTAGCATCTTTGAATTATTCATGCACTTTTTAATACTGCTATTGGATGCATTTGTTGTGGTTGATATTTCACTATAATATTTTAAGAGATCCTTTATATCTTCACTCAGAACCAGATTATTTTCCTTGCAGTAGTTTATAATTTCCATGGGAATTTCCTTCTCCTTTTCCATTTGAATAGTTGGCCCCGCTTGACCCCCTCTCTCGACGCACACCTTATTTCCATTGCTATTGCTACTGTCGTTGATACTGCCACTGATGCTGTCATTCATACTGCCACTGATACTTCCACTGATACTTCCACTGATACTGCCAACGATGGTGCCATTCCTGTTACCACTATTGCTTGTGGAACCAGCGTCACTCGGTGAGATCTCCTTCTCATGCGAATGGTTTCTCATGCCGGGAGAAGAATCCACCTTTGAATAATCTAATTTTTTTAAATCATTATGTTTGCTTTTTTTCTTCCTTCTTTTCTGCTGCTCCACACCACTTTTCCTTTCATCTATATTAGATAAGGCCACTGAATGGACGCTATTTTTATCGATATTATTTAAGGAAGATGTGTCTTTTTTTTTTTCGTTTGTCAAATAATATTTTTTATTGCACTTTTGGTTATCTCCTTTCAGATCACTTTCAATAAAATGTACATTTCGTACAGTTTTCTGTGGAACATTACCTTCTTGGTAAGTTTCTTCTGTACCCACATTCGGTGATTTTTCTCTCAATAATTTCTTTTTCGATTGCTTTTCGATAAGACCCTGGTGGTTCATCAATTGCTTTCGATGCATCTTATTGTTAACTACTACCTGATTGTCGCTTCGTTCCTTTAAGCATCTCTCCGGATTGTTCACCTCAGTGTTACTCTTCTCCTTGCTGTTCATCCTTCGGTTGCTAGACGTGTGAATACTTGATTCCTTGCTGTTTCCAACCTTACCATTTATAACTTTATAACTTTTGGGATTCATGTCTTGGGCTTTATTACTAGCCATTTTATTCATCGAAAATTTGTAACTATCATTACTGTTATAATGATCTCCATTATTGTACACATCTTCATATGGATTTGCCATACAACTAGGATGTTTTAAAATGGATGATTTGTTTTCATTTTTAAATGCATTTTTGTTAATATTATTAATATTTTTAATGTAACTTTTGCATATATCAGCTATGTTGGAATAAACATGCTGTTGTTTTTCCCTTAACTTTTCGTTCCCATTTTTGGAGTTATTTTTGTATATAAACATGTCTCCTCCTCCTCCTCTCTTGCTGTTATCATGAAGCATCATATATGCATGCTTATCATCTAATGTCACTGCAGCTTCTTTTTTCCTTTCTCTATACTCACATATTTCATGAATTCCTGTTCTCATACTATGCCTCTCTTCTCTACCCTCTACCACACCACCCACTTCATACTCTTCATCATACCGTTGGGGAAAACGATTGTCATAATGACCATCGTAACCTTCCCCGTAAGTCCTCAGACGTTGCATTCCATAGTGTATATCACAGGGTCTATCATACGATCTTTCATGCGATCTTTCATGCGATCTTTCATGCGATCTTTCATGCGATCTTTCATGCAATCTATCATGCGATCTATCATACGATCTAATGCATGGTCTGTCGTAATTCCTATCATAATTCCTATCGTACGATCTGTCATACGATCTAAGGCAGGGCCTATCACAGGGTCTGTCGTAAGTCCTATCATAATTCCTATCGTACGATCTAATGCAGGGCCTATCACAGGATCTATCGTATGCCCTATTATAAGGAATATCATATGGCCTATCATATGTCCTATCATATAATCTATCATATGATCTATCATAAAGCCTATTATAAGGCCTATTATAAGGCCTATCATACGGCCTATCATACGGCCCAACGTAAGGGCCATCGTAGGCCTTGTAATACTTTCTCTCATACTGCACATCACAAGGTGTCCCATCATCATCTGGCTCAACCATGTACTCTTCCTTCTTAATTTTATACAACAAATCTGCTAAGTTCATTATCTCCATTTCATCAGATGTGGTGTTATTCCTTCTGGTATTGTCGTGCTTTCCATCTCTTTTACTCATTCCAATTTTATTTCCTATTTTAAGGTCACTCACATCGGTCCTATTACTGTAACTATTGTGGAAAAAACTAAAAAGGTTATTTTTCATTAGATCATCAAAATTAATAGATTCCATTTGTTCTATATTTTTCTCTCTAGTGAGTAGCCATTCAATGTTTTTTTGTTCTTCATTTAGTACATTATGTCTGTACAACGTTTTTCTATTGTTATTTTCGAAGTAAGCCATCGATCTAGTGCTTTGCTTGTACGCCCCTCCTTCACCAACAATTAGGTCATTGCCATTTTCCACTCCATCATCAGCAGCTTCCACATCTTCCTCCATACCTTCCACCCCGTCTTCACCACCTTCCACATCTTCCACTACATCTTCAGCATCTTCAGCATCTTCCGCATCTTCAGCATCTTCCGCATCTTCCGCATCTTCCGCATCTTCCGCATCTTCCGCTTCTTCCGCTTCTTCCGCTTCTTCTTCTTCTTCTTCCAGTTTTCCTTTCTTCCCCTTATGATTAACTCCATCTTCTCGAGCAAAACTATTATTATTCACTTGTTCATGGTTTTTTGCAAAACTGTAATTACTGCTGATGCCAATATTTCTCACATTACTACTACCACTGCATCTTTCAGAATATATATTAGCTCCCTGAAATTCCTTATCATGGGGTGCATTTCTCTTATCAAACAACTTGCCTATCGAATTGATAGAATTATTTCTTTCATTTACATCATTCTCTTCGTTATAATTTACAAATGTGTTAACTTGTCTACTTTTTGTTTTATTTTTATATAAATTAGAATTTTCTTTATTGCATATATTGATATTCTTTTGGGAATTTTTGCGTTCCATATTTTTCTCTTCCTTCGTTTCGATACCCAATATGTTTCACAAAAAAAAAAAAAAAAAAAAAAAAAAGAACATTTACTCTTTCTGTCCATAAATTGGAAAGGGCAACAAAAGATAAGAAGCAACCCGAGGGAAGGCTGAGATAGCCGATGAGTATCAAATAAGAAATATTAAAAGACAAATTGGATAGATAAAATCAGGGATTAAATATATAGGTTTAATCAAATTAAAAAAAAAAAAAAAAAAATTAAAATAAATTAATAATTGCGATGTTCCAAATATGGAATAAATCACATTCTTCTTTATTGTCTACCGGGACGTGCAAATGTACCACCCCCATTTATCCCCTTTCATTGGCATGTTGCTTATATGTGCTTATAATTAAACATGAACAAACGCATACATATAAAAGTGTTGAGTCGCATAAAAGACGTGTACAGTTGAATTGGATGATCTTCACGTATATGCAACGATAAGCTTACCAACTTGGTTTGAAAAATTTGCGTTTGCACATGCATTACTTACATTTTAATTTTTCTCAATTTATTCTCAAACTTTTCTCAATTTTTTCTCAAAAAATTTCTACTAATTGTTTATATTTTTCTTCCCTTTAAATGTACATTTTAAAACAAGCCCCCCTTTTTTTTTTTTTTTTGTGGTTCCTATTTTTCCGAAACCACATAAGAAAAAAAAAAAAAAAAGTGCTTATTTTGAATAATTATTTTTATTATATTATTTCCTTCTCTATTTCTTTATTTTTTTTCACTTTTTTATTTCTTTACTTTTTTGTTTTTCCCTCGCTCTTGTACAGAAAAACTGCTTCAAAATAAGCAACGAGAATTGATCAGTAAAAATCAGTAGAGATGGAAGCAATCATACATATTATTTCGAGAATATATACATATATTCTTCGTGCCTAACTGAAAACAATCTCCTTTTCAAAGCGCGTTCCAACTATGTATTACATAGATATATATATATATATATACATATACATGTAATACAAAATATATCAATGTTACAAATACTTAATATATGGGGGAGGGATCTGAACCATAATTGCAAAAACGGATAAGATCCTTCATAGTGATTATAGGTATGCCCATATAAAAAAAAAAAAAAAAAAAAAAAAAAAAAAAAAAAAAAAAAAAAAAAAAAAAAAAAAAATAAGAGAAAACAAAACGAACCTCAGTTAGCATGAGGCTGCAAAATACTGAAACAGGTGTTCGTAACAATTTCGAAAAAAAAAAAAAGGGAATTACTCTTATTTTTTATTTTTTTTTTTTAAAGTAGCTTAATTCAACTTGTTTTGTATTCGTATTTACCTTCGCTTTCCTTTATTTTATTTATTTTTATTTTTTTTTTTCTAACCACTTAAAACAACCCATTCCTATTATGACCTTTTTATAGGAATGCTTTAAGTTGAAAAAAAGGAAAAAAAAAAAATAAAAAAAATGCGTTGGGGAGGAGAAAAGAAAGTGTTTTTCTTATCATTTATTGTCCCATACATGTAATGCTAAAATTTTATATTTTTTATTTTTCCTACCATATTTAAAATTGCTTTAGCAGTATATTATAATATATATAGTATATACCATAAATGGGCTTGAATTTAAGTTATAAACGAAATGTGGAATAATGAGAGGGAAAAAAAAAAAAAAAAAAATGCCTTCCTTGTTTAATTTTACCATACATGGATAGAGCCAATTCAATGATAGTCTTTGTAAAAAACAAACTCGTTAAGAAGAATGTTCTAGCCAAAGAGGAAACATGTATATATGTTGAACCACGTAAAAAATTCCGTGGCAAAGACTTTTGGATTTTGCTTAAGGAAAAACAGTGTCCTGACCCTACCCCCCTTTTGCACTGTTATTATGTCTTCACAAGGAATCATGGCATACTTGTGTTTAAAGTAAAAAAAAAAAAAAAAAAATAATAATAATAATAATAATAATAATAATAATAATAATAAAAACAAAACAAAGTAATATAAAACCAAACGAACACCACCTTCCTCCCCCCCCCCCCCCCAAAACCACTTATTTGTTCTGTTTCTTCTTTCGATACATTTTTGCAACTCGGCACTGCAATGAATATTTTTTACATTTCTGCGAATAAGGAATTTGTTCCCTTATCCAAATGGACCAAAATGCTGAATACAAATTATTTTTAAGGAACATACTGAAAGATCTTCATTGATATAAGCACGTTCATCGTTGAATATTCTCATTTAAAAGTATTTTTTTTTTTTTTTTTTTTTTTTTTTTTTTTTTTGGGCCCCACGTTTTCTAGAACGAATTTGTATATCTATTTTCCACTAGTTCAAGGAAGGCACCCGTTTGCTTTGCTCGTGGTTCTACACACAACTTGTTAATTGATATATACATGCAAAGGTTTTCATATTTAAAAAACAAGGAAAAAGAACAGTATTATTTATAAAAAGAGAAAATGGGGGGGAGGGGGGATGATAGGAAGAACATGCATCAATCGTCCATATTGTACATAAGATCATTACAAGAGAAACATGTTTCCTTTTTTGTTTGCTAATATAGTAGACATATTTTTTGTTTGAACAATTTTGTGCCATTGTTGTCTTGTTCTGTTTATTCTAGCTCACCAAGCACAACTAATAATAGAAAAAAAAAAAAAAAAAAAAAAAGAAGGAAAAGCAGCTATTATAGGTAATAAATAATGGAAGTTATGTCTATAAGTCCGCTTAATATTTTCGACATTTTAGACACCTTCATATAACATTTGATAAGGTTAAATATGTTTTGTCAATGTTGAAAAATTTATAAATAAAATTGAATTAAAGAAAGAAAAAAAAAAAAAAAAAAAAAAAAAGGAAGAAGCCTTTTATTTCATATTAAAAATCTAGTATGTGTACTAGGCCCCGAAATATATATTTAGAGCTCGTGTGTGAAAAAAAAAAAAAAAAAAAAAAAAAAAAATGCATCCTCTTCGTTTTGAGTTCAGGGGAGTATTTCGTGTTAACTATGGTAAAACATGAAATTTAAAAACAAAACAAAACAAAGAAAAGCAAAGGAAAAGAATTATATATCTTAAACTTAAAAAAAAGAAAAAGAAAAAGAGGTACACAGTGCCATTCACTTAATCTATTATGCTCTTTTGCACTTGTTCTATTTTTTTTTGTTTTTTTTTTCACACTATAAAAACTTTCTTTCCAAGCTAATAGAAAAAAAATTAATCACAGTTCATGTTGCTCAATTTATTCCTCAATCTATGAAAAAATATAAATAATAAACTTTAAAATTTAAAGTTCGTCGTTCTGATATGGTTCTTTTTCCTGTTTTTTAATTAAATGCAAATGGCGTGGTAGTTCCATTAAAAGAACAGCGATTGTCCAAGTGATGCTGATTTTGTTTATCTGAGGAGTAAAACAAAAATAACGATCATAGAGAGGGTATTATGTGCACGTCACAACGTATGCACATATATGTACGTGTGTATGCGTGTGTTCGTGTATATATGTATGTGTTCCCCGTAGTGTTCCAGTATTTGGATTCAAAGACGTGTGTCCCCCTTTGAATTCACGTCCAATTACATACAATGGGTACTAATGGTTCAAATCTTTTCACTTACGTAATTAGTAGAATGAAACATTATGGGAGTGTCAATTTTGAGGATGTGCCTCATGAACTCGTATATAAATATTAGCCTGTTGGAGCGAAGGTGGAAAAAAAAAAATAAAAAAAATATAATGTAATATAATATAATGTAATATAATATAATGTAATATAATATAATGTAATATAATATAATGTAATATAATAGTAATCGTAATAGTAATAGTAATCGTAATCGTAATTGTAATAATAATAAAGAAAAAAAAGCGCAACATAACGGAGGGGCACGACGAAGTATGAAGAGATGCACAAATGAGTACGTAAAGACATTCGTGTCTCTGAAAAGGGTGGTGGTTGGGGAAAAAAAAAAAAACAATGGTATATTCTGAGCTTACCCGAAACAAGATGTTTGTGCCTTTTCTATATTCGAACCTGGACGCACCATTTTTACTATTTCGTCTATGGTCAGGGGGCAGATTTGTTTTGCCTTCTCCAAATATACGTTTGAGTTAAGAGATATGGGGTTAAAGCTTTCCGGTATGTTCAGTATATCCTGTGGGAAACAATGAAACCGAAAAATGAAACCGAAAAATGAAACAGAAAAATGAAACAGAAAAATGAAACAGAAAAATGAAACAGAAAAATGAAACAGAAAAATGAAACAACAAAAAATAATAATATAACCACGTGGCAAAATGAAAAAGTGACAAAGTCTACATGATCTCAGGAGAGGCACGCATTTTCTCTCATTTTCAAAAATAAAACACTACAATAGAAGCGAAATAGGGAAGAGACAACTTTTTTTGGCCCCGAATTTTTCATGCTCTTGTTCCCATTTTCGCCCCTCCATTTGGGGCCCCACTTACAATGGCAAAATGATGAAAATTCTCGATAGCATACAATTTTATAAATTTCTTCAACTTGAATGGCAAATTGTCAATTAATGCATATTTCAGTATGGTCTGTACTTGGGTTCTACATAAATCTATGTTCCCTGTCCCAACAGCAATGTAGTCTTTTTCACTAACTTGAGATTTTCCATCATACTCATGCAACTCTTCTTCAATAGACGTTTCATACAGATTATTAACATAAAATTTGAAATTTTTTGGAAAACATGCAACGGGAATGAACTTAGGAAGATCCATTTGATTTTTCTTTTCATGTTTTTGATTCTCCCCTCGACCATATGCTTTCTTGTCAGTCTCATGCGCTTCTCTCACTTGGTCTTCCTCGTTATGCTTATGAATAATGTAATGTAAATAAGTCTTCATAGCATTCTGTCTTCCAAGTACTAAATAACTCTTACAATATAGATAAAGATCATTACCTAATAAATGAATTTTTACAATATTTTTATTTTTGTAATTTTCTTCTATCACACTTTTGTTAATGTTTTCCTTATGTTTGTAATTAAATAAATTTTTAACATCATCATTCATTTTGGATAAAGGGATTTTTATAACAATCTGTGCTGTTGCACCACCTAATTCGAGAACACCTATACTGTCATGGTTTCCCTTAGATGAGATTATCCCATTTGTTAATTTGACTGTTTTTTCTGAATCATTATTCATTTGTGCATGCTCAGAATTAGTACCGTTGCTCATTTCATTGTATTCCTCTTGTTCATTTGCAAATATCAAGGGATTTGGCTTGAAAATTTCCAAAAGTGCATAAATAGAAACAAAAGACAAAATGGCTTCTTCTTTTCCACTTAACACTTTAATTAATAATTCATCAATTAATAAAAACTCTTTAAAATTTGTTAACAAATATTTTTTAATAAAATTAATATAATTTTCAGACTCAGTAATACTCAATAATCTGAATCCTCCCGATGCTCGAACCAGAATAGGAGTATTTGATCTTTCCCTTTCCGTAATATGTTCATGTAAAAATTCCTTTATATTTTTAAAATACTCATAAAAGGGTTCTTTTTCATCATTTGTAAAATAGTTATTTAACAGGTATACTAACCCAGGGGTTGTTCTATAGCTTGTCGAAGGAATGTATATGCTTATGTCCTTTTCGTGGTTTACTATTTTATAGTTGTATATGTGAACTCTTGTCCCTGTTGATCCTGCGTCAATAACGACAGACTTGTATATGTCATTCTGAATGTTGTTGTCATTACCATTGTCAATCTTATTGGTATTGCTCGTCTTCCCCACATTCACTCTTATGCATAGGTATGTGATTATTGCACACAACAACATTATACGTCGAAACGGCTTCTTTCGGGGGCCTTTCCCATTTTTCATTTTTCATGAATACTATTTTTTCTTCTGATCTTTTTTTTTTTTTTTTTTTTTTTTTGCCTAGATTGGTGATGTGTGCAAGTGCTTATCCACAGTTATGTCGATATGCTCCTTCCCCAAGAAATCCTTTTTAATATTACACGTTGAACACCTGGAAAAAATCTTTTGACAAAATCTCCAGTTATGCTTACTGTTCAGATCAGCTGACGTCTATGTTGATATGTGCAGAGTTCAGTTCAATGAATACGTTGTCTAAATAGAGTTTGAGTTAGTGTTGTTCTCCTTCTAATTATTCTTTCCCTTCCATGGGACTGATTTAAGAATCAAAATAATCAGGCAAATCAGTTTCACTTTTACACGCCCAAATGAGCATATTATTCATGTTTCGCCATTTGACTTTCTTCTCCTTCTCCTTCTTCTTCTTCTTCTTTTTTTTTTTTTTTTTTTTTTTTTTCCGAGTAATAAGACGCTTGTTGGAGGGATTGTTAAATAGCTGTATTTTACTAATCTAAACTTAATCAAAATGAGATGTTTCTTTTTCTTTTTTTTTTGTTCACTCTTGGAGGAAAAATAGGTTGACAAAAGTATAAAACTAAAAACATCAGCTAATGTATCTGTTGTCGTTGGGCGTACCCCAAAACGGTTCCTTATATAGCATATAACTATCTTCTTCTTATGTTTTATTTTATTTATTTTTTTTTTTTTGTTAATCCTTTGCTGTGTATAATGATATATTGATGCTGATTAATTTATGAATAAAAAAAAGGAAAAGAAAAAAAAAAAAGAAAAAATTATTCAGTGTGTGAAGCAAAGAATGATACGATTTTACAAACATTACTACTTTCTCAATGCTACATTATTTTTTAATCTTTTTTAAAGCGAAAAAAGATAAATATGAAGAAAAAAAAAAAAAAAAAAAAAGAAGGAAAGTTAGCTTACGGCATAAAACAAAGAAGGTAGGAGAAAGTTGTTAAACTTTGAGTGTGCCTAAAAATAAAATAATAAAATTGTCATGTGCACATGATGAAGAAAATAAATAGAGATGCTCTTAAAAAAAAATAAAAAAAATTCAAAGATCCTCTCTTACGTTCTTTATACATATGTATGTGCACATTTAATAGTGGAGAAAAAAAAAAAAAAAAAAAAAAAAAAAAAATGTGCAAAAGAAAAGCAAACAGGAAGGAGGTTACTTATATCTACTCTTAATAAAAGAATATTCTGGTCTAAAAACAAAAAAACCTAAAAGGAAAAAAGTAAAATGAACCTACCTACGTGTAAACATAACCATGTGTCGCCTACGTTAAGAGCAAATAAATTGTGGTTTTTTTTTTTTTTTTTATTTTTTTTTTTTGTTTTCCTTGAGGAGAAAGCTCCATGAGGAGCAGAGGCGTCATTCTTTTTTATTGCCCACGTGTTATACATAGCGAAATAGGTATTTTAAAAAACGTAGAGAGGGAGAAAAAAAAAATAAAATAAAATAAAATAACCAATTAGGGATTAGAAGCGAGATCTGCAATTGGACAATAGGCGAATAATGCCACTTTGAAGAGAAACAATAAAAAAGTAATAAAAAAATGAAACAATAAAATAGTAAAATAATAAAAAAAAATAAGATCATAAAATAGCCAAATAGCAGAATAACGAAATAGCAAAGTTGTAAAACAAGTTGCCGAATTAGGTTCAACCCTTCTTTTCATTAATGATGCATCATATGATGAGCAAGACAAAAGAATGTTGTACAAATCAACATATAGAGAGTTATTCTTAGATACTACAATACACACTTGAGTACATATAAACATCAGGGATTTCGTCTCATGGGGGAGAGATATACCAGTGGGGAGAAGATAAAAAAAAAGAAAGCATTTTTTTTCATAGTCATCCATCTTCACAATACATTGCTCCGTTACAGAAAATGTTGTGCCTTTTTATTTTTGAGATCATGAATTTCCTCAACTTGCCCATATGAGAAAAGTTTATGTGCTTCGGGAAGGTTATCCTGTATAGCACAAATGTGTACATGTGTAAAAAAAAAAATATATCTATATATATACATGAACATAAATATGCGATGGTCTTATTTATATTCTTGGAAAGAGGGGTATTTGCAAAGAGAACCAATATAGGAGACATGTATTTTGTCCCAATATAAACAAAAGTTTAGGTCATTTCATTTTATTTCATTTTTTATAAAAAATAAAATAACGAATTGCCATTTTTTCCTTGTGCATACAGGTCACATATACATAAGCAGTAAGCTCTTCAAAAGAGAATGGAAAAAAAAAAAAAATTAAAAGGATATAATTAAAAGGATATAATTAAAAGGATATAATTAAAAGGATATAATTAAAAGGATATAATTAAAAGGATATAATTAAAAGGATATAGTTAAAAGGATATAGTTAAAAGGATATAATTAAAAGGATATAATTAAAAGATTATAATTAAAAGGATATAATTAAAAGGATATAATTAAAAGGATATAATTAAAAGGATATAATTAAAAGGATATAGTTAAAAGAATATAATTAAAATGATATAATTAAAAGAATATAATTAAGTGAATATAATTAAATGGATATAAATAAAAGGATATAAATAAAAGGACATAATTACACCTAGTAGGGGTAAAATTTTACTATCATTTACTACACTTCCAGAACAATATAATTACTCATGATATAAAACTGAAATACTAACAACTGAGATATCAATATGTAATATTTTTAAAATTTAAATGTGTAGGGAGTATCATATAACATTCTCTTCCTTTTTAATTTTAAGCATTAATTCTGAGAATATCTCAACCAACAATATTCTTTGAGAGAAAAGTTTTATCTCTAAATTGGAAATTTTTTTATTTTACTTTATTTTATGATTTTATTTATTTTTTTTTTTTTTTCCCCCACCTGGCGTCATTTAACTTTTATTCATAACAAATTCATATTGAACATGAGAGTTTTCAAAATTATGTAAAAATCAGAAGACACAAAATAATTTTAAAACCATTTTAGTATACCCATGTGCATATTAATTTTTCCTCGTCCCCTATCTATTTCTAGACAAAGAAAAAAACTAACACATATATATGCATATGTACACATATATGTCGTATATATAATATATTTCACTAAAAAATTCATGTAAAAAAAAAAAAAGAAAAAGGAGAAATTATTATATTTTTGGAAAAATAAAACAAAAGAGATATGTTGTCCCTCCCCAAATGTACCTACAAGCTTTTTGTTTGCAATGGGAAAAAAAAAAAAAAAAAATTTCCAAAAAAAAAGGTTTATCTAATCTCAGTGCCATTGATAAAAGACTCACAAATACGAATAAAAATTGCCTCCTTTATTTTATTTTATTTTTGTGTTAATATATTTTTTCCTTCTTTTCAGGTAGTACTGTGAATACGAAAAATGTGCAATTTTCTTAATAAGAATTTTTTTTTTTTTCTTAAATTTGAATAGCAATATTTGTTTGTAATGCTTAAAGTAGCATGAAATGTTTTTTTTATATATTTATTATTTCTTTTGATCTCTAATGAAATTAAGCCGTTTCCCCTAAAACGAAACTTCCTCCCCCATTTATTTTATTTTTATTTATTTTTTTTAATATACCATTTTAGCATAGTCCTTAATTAACAAAATATAAATTTACAGGGATTCTTTACATTTTTGCATAATGAATGGATGAATTAAAAATGGTTAAGCAAAAATTCACTTTGCCAGCGGGTGGAAGGAGCAAACTATTTTAAGTTTACGTTTAGTTTTATTTTCATGTCAATTTAAGTCACTTCCATTTTGCATCAATTTAAGTCACTTCAATTTTGCGTCAATTTTATTTCACTTCAATTTTGCGTCAATTTTATTTCACTTCAATTTTGCATCAATTTTATTTCACTTCAGTTTTGCGTCAATTTTATTTCACTTCAGTTTTGCATCAATTTTATTTCATTTCAGCTTTACTTAGTACAGTTCCCTTAAGGTTTTTTTTTTCTTTTTTTTTTTTTTTTCCCTAATGAAGAATCAACAAAGGGGATAGAGAAATTTGCTGAATTCAGTATTTTTTTAGATTAGATAATACGTACAAAAATATTTTTAGAGAACATTCTTTTCATAATAAGTTTTTCTACCCGTTCCATAATTGATTACCACATGCATATATAAATATATGTCCGTATATATAAATGTATATGTATGTATACATAGCTACCTGCTTTTTTTCATTTTACAATTACAATGACGAATTCGAACAGAATGCGTGAATATATTAACAACACATATTTGAATATATTTCCACTACCAAGCCAAACGCGCCCTTCATTAGGAACTTTCCTTTTTTTTTTTTTTTAATACATACCTTCCCACCTACTCATTTGCAAAATTTTCTTTTACTATTTTTTCGATTTAATGTTTTCGAACACAGTAATTTTGGAACCTTGCTAATTGACAAATTAACCAGTTAGTTATTTGATGATTTGAAGATTTGGTAATTTTGAAATCCGCACAGAGCAAGAAAAAATTCCAAATCGTTACTATTTCGAAACTGTTTAAATTTGGAACTTAAAAATACGGAGATTTCTCAATTCGATTTGTACGCTGAAGTTTACCATTTGCTTAATTTCGCAAATTTTACGCATCCCTGAAGTACCCGCAGAATAAATGCCACGTTTTCGAATTCGAGAAAAGATCTTCATCCGCTATAAACAAATAAATATATATACGTAATTACATGCAGAGGAATGCATACAAGAAACAATTTTTACATTAAGTCTACGTGTGCATGTTTATATTTGCATATGTATATGTACATGTGACATATGTAAAAATATCCAACCAAGCCCCACATTGTGCAGGTATGTGTTAAGTTAAATTATCATACACTCACACTTGAACTGAAATGGTATACATATTAAGAGAGAAGAAGATATGCACATATATTGAAGCATATGTATCCATAGATTACCTACACAGATACATATACAGACACATACGTACACAGACCACAGACATATACACAGAAACATACAAACAGATACATGCATGAATATGTACATGCATTTGCACATCCAATGAACATAGTTACAAAGATTGCATTAATAAAGAATGGTAAAAATAAAAAGTTTCTTTACACGCCACCTCATCATAGCTGTGGCTTTACTAGAGAATGAAATAAAAAATAAACTGGGATATTCAGTTTTGTTATATTCGAATGCACAAGGAATAAGAAATAATCAAATTAGTGAATGGAAAAATGATTTGTTCAATGGATTCGAAGAGTGGTCAGACCGTTGGAAAAAGGATTTGTTTTACGAATTTGAAAACACTTGGTTTGATGGATGGAAAAAGGATTTGCCTAGTAAATGGAAAAATGACAGTATGATACAAGACTCTGTAAATATTATTTTAAGGCATGCACCAAAAAGAAATCGACATGTAATAAACAAATATATTAAGGAATTGTTAAGTGGAAGATATAATGAAGTGAATCCGAAATTATTATTATATAGAATATCGAACTTAATAAAAAGTGGAAAAGCCCAAAGTTTATGTGATGATAATAAATCGTTTATAATAATAGGTGTGCCACACTTAATATTCAATTCAAATATATTCAATGATTTAAAATTAGAAACTATAAATTTTTTAGTTCGAAATATAGCAAAGCATATGAATGGTTGTCTATTAAAAGTTCGTCGATCTCATATTTCTGATATTACTAATGGATGCCAATCAGATATGGATAAACAAATTATTTTTGATGATAAAAAAACAGATGAGCCCACCAATGGATTAAAATTATCCCCAAGCAATAAATTCTTTAGTACTCTTTTACAGTGTTCCGTTGATAATTTAGGGTCAGGTGAAAAAACATTGATCTGTGTTCAAGAACAGCTAGCCAAAGATAATTTAAAATTGTCCGATACATGTTCCATTTGCTTTCAAGAATCAGTTGATTGTGGAAAATCAAATTGCTGGTTACCCTGTTTCTTTGGCAATCCATGTGGGGACCGATGTTACAAGTGCGCTACCACCAGTTGCAATAAGGAGTTGATACAATGTAGTGGCTTGGAGGACCTCCCAGGTGCCTGTTCGTAAAGCTCTTCAAGGATAATTTTTAACCCCTCCTCCCCGTGCATTTTCGGGGAACGCCCAAACGGTCACATATTTATATATATATATATATATACATATATATGTGCGTGCCATAAACATGAGCTAGAAGTGTTTGTACATTCTTATCAATGAAAAGCTGATCATGTGCAGAAGCAAAAAAAAAAGAATTTTTTTTTAAAGACAAATTTTTGTTAAAACAAGCATATATTATTTTGATATTTTCCATCTCGTTTGGCAGAAATTCCGTTATATTCTTTTTTTTTCTGGTTTTACCAACATACAAAAGGTATGATCCGTATATTTTTTAATTTTATTTTTTTTATGTAACACAATTATTAATTTTTATAAGGGTTTTCTTTTAATACTTGTTACATAAATAATTAAGTGATTTTGAATTTTTTTCCCAATGCTTTAAAAAAATGTGTACTTACAAAGAAGAAAACAAAAAAAAAAAAAAAAAAAAAATTGGCAATCTTCAAAAATGAACCATGGTTAAAATAGCAGAAATGGTTTATTTTTCCTTTCTAACGCTTGTAGTAAATTTTTTAATGAAATTATATGTGTGTTATAAGAAAGTTTATCTCTATTTTTTCAAAGTTTAAATTGAGTTTTTTTTTTTTTTTTTTTAAAAATTCAAATTATAAATAAATATATCACAAAAAAAGGGTATTGTAAGAGGGGGTTGGTGGGGATGAAAAAGCATGTACATAAAAATGTGATGGAGCATGGAAGAATATGTAAATAAGGCGGAACATGGATAGCATATATTTCATAATTGTATTATCCGCACACACATACGGACGTGGACTTTTAATTTTTGTGCAACATGCTGTGTGAACTTGTTCGTACTTGAGCAAATAAACACAACATCCAACTTTTGGTAAATTAATTAAACTTAAAAAAATGTGATATAAAATAGTAATTTTTTATGCATTAATATATATTAATAGACTGTCAAAGTGTTATCTTTCCTTAAAAAAAAATATAATAATATACGTTTTACACGTCTGAATATCAAACATGTTGTCATTATATATATTGTACGGACCATTTTGCTGATATACATTTTTTTCTTTTTTTCTTTTCTGTTTTGTTCTTGTTTTGTGTGTTCCCTGTGCCTCTTTGCGTTTTGTAAAACTGTAAAAAAATTATAACATCTCATAGGTCTGCGGCCATTTGCATATACATGCATATTATATACATACATGTGCATGCTTTTTCGTGATACTGCACCTGATCATAAATTCACGTACGCTTCTGTGCCAATTGTCACATGCGAATGTACCTATCGAGGGCTAATTTTAAAGCTTGCTGACTTAAAATGGTACCTTTTTTTTGAATATTAAAAAAAATAAATAAGTAAAAATTACTTAACAAGGCAGTTTCGAAAGGTGGAAAATAAAAAAAAAAAAGAAAAAAAAAGCGAAATTAAAATGGCAAGTCTGATGAATTATTTCTTCTAAATAAGTTTTTGATATACGTGAACATAGCACTTAGCAACATTCTAATTGCGCCAGACCCCCCTGAATTGGTGAGAAAAAAAAAGGTTGTAATGTGAAAAGTGGTGCTTTAAAGGGTAGAAAAAATGGAAAATTAAAAAAAATAAAATAAAAAAAATAAAATAAAAAAAATAAAATAAAAAAAATAAAATAAAAAAAATAAAATAAATAAAATAAAATAAATAAAATAAAAAAAATAAAAAAATTAAAAAAAATAAAATAAAAAAAATAAAATTAAATAAAATTATGTAAAATAAAATGCTCTTTTCCTTAAAAGAAATAAAAGACACGTTTTCCTACGTGTGTCCCAAAAATAAATTCGTTCCCTTTTCCATACCTGGTATGTAAGACACTATGAAGGATATAAGTGCGAGTACTTGAACAACGGACGTAATCAATGCCTGTGAAAAAAAAAAAAAAAAAAAGAAAAAAAAAAACAATAATTGGGATAAAGATAGGGACGTGGATAAGGATAACGATACATATACAGATGCGTAAGGTAACAAGAAAAGAAATTGTTCATATAAATTGCGTATAATTTTAAACGTCTACATGATTCCACAATTCATACTATGCCACAGTTCTAATCAATTGCCGTTTCGCTTACTAGTAAATACAATGGCTTAATGATGGTAAAGTATAGAGTCGAGAGTAGGGATAAAATATAGGCAGACGTAAATGGAAGGCTGTAAAATAGGAAAAGGGGGATGTGGGAGGAATGAAGAATATCTCAAAAAGGTCACATAAATTGTCTTAGAATGGAATGTAATAACACAAATGGATCTCCCCAAATGTTCTGTTACCGATTTTTCTCCATCAGATGATAGTACAAACTCGAGAAACCTTTCAAAAAGGCCAATGACGAGACAAAACATATGGAGGATAAAGTAAAGAAAAAACCAAATTGTCTTGGTGTGATTACAATCATGGGTAAGGTAAAAAATGATAATATAAGAAAAATAATACTAATTCCAAATAATAAACAGAAAAGGGGAAAGTTTTTATATGATAAGACAGTAGTAAAAGCAAAGAATGAATTCGATTCATTTTCTCTATTTTGATTATTAAACAATGGAAAATTTGAAAACATAGATCCTGTTTCTGCTGTCGTTGAATTGGATACTATTGAGGGGGCATTATTTAAATTCGTCTTTTCTAACGTTTTTTTTATACCCTTTTGTATATTTTCTGCGCCCTTTTTTGATAAACTAATTGCTTTTTGTATTAGTCCTTTTTCCTCTTCATTTGCACTTCCATCCATTGTGCTCCTTAAAAATTCTCGATTCATATTATCGAATTCATTTTTATCAAAAAAGGATAACCCATCATAGTTGTTTTCACCCTCCATCATGGCATTCAAATTGGGAATGATTCGTACGGTTTCGAATATGTGTATGTGGTTATACTGTTTCTCTGCTGATTCTGATTCCTAGGAATGGACAGATGGGGTAAGAAAAGACAATCATTCAATTGTCCTTCCCCCCACACACACAAAAGAAAAGCAACCAATCAAGCGTATGTGTTTTTCACATATACACACTTTAATACAATTGACAAGTGTTGAATACGCCTTTGGAACGTGGAATTTTCTAATTGTAATTCAAAAACAAATGGATACACGTTCGGTACGTGTATATATCTGTAAAAGTGCGCCTTAAATGTTGGCGCAAATTTTGCACAAGTGAGATCTGCTCTTTATGTTTACTATAAAGAACTATGCAAATGAACGTTGTGAATACTTTTATTTTGTGATATGAAAAAAAAAAAAAAAAAAAAAAAAAATTATGCACACATTCATATGTATGAAATGATATAGAAATATGTAAGATTTAGATTAAAAAAAAAAAAAAATAATACAGGTTATGTATTATCCTTAAGTACAATTTTTGTACACGTGATATGTACATATATATATATATATATATATATATATATATATATATATATATATATACATAACAGTGTTGCATGTTAATGCTGAAGACGACAAGCATTTTATTTTCGCACCCTTAACACGATTAATGGAGAAAGGCGCAGAAATGCACAAGTGAGAGTCGTACTTGTGTTAACTTAATTTTAACAGGTATGCAAAACTGATGTAATATTGAAGAAAGGAGATACAAACTTCTGTTGGACCCTTTTCTTTCTTTCTTTCTTTTTTTTTTTTTTTACTTATCCATTTTTTTCTTTTTCTATGACCAGAAATTCGGAGGCAAAAATGAAACATAAAATGCTAATTAAAAAACAGGCTGCTAAAAAAAAAAAAACAATAATAAATTAAAAATAGACCTAAAAATGCGGAAGGTCCAAATAAATCAAGTAAAAAATAAAAATGATATATTTATGTACAGAATGAATACTCAAGGAATGAATATGTACAATTCTCGTATTATATATAATATACATATTTATATACATCCTTATCGCATGAATGTATAAATATTCCCTTAAGAGAGAAAAGTATCATAAAAAAGAAATCTTAAGCAAACGTAAAAAAAAAAAAAAAAAAAAAAAAATATATGTGAAACTGTTATGTGCTGCAAATATGTACATTTTTTTGCGCAAAAAAAAAAATAAAATAAAATAAACTAAATAAATAAATCAACAAGAATTGGGGGAAAGCTAACAGATGCCCTAGATTTAAATTACTACTCGCGCAATTTATATAAATTCAGTAAACTCTCTCCGTCCATGCCACATTTTGTATATATATATATATATATTTATATTTGCAATTTCCTTGTTGCTATATATATTATATGATAGGTGCGCCATTCATATATTACATATATAATACAAAGCATATAATATTAAAAAATGAGTGTTGTATCTACTTATACATGATTTGGAGGGGAAGAAACAGTTATTAAAAAAAATATTATATATAAAAATAGAATAATCCCACAGATAATCCTAGAAAAAAATATGCATAAATAACGCCGACCCAAATTTATGATATACCGTATTAAATATATGCATATCATATATATTTAAATATACGCCATTTAACATATATGCGCGGCATTACAAAAAATTTATCAAAAAAAATTAGAAAGGAAAAAAAAATGTATTTAAAAAAAAAAAAAAACATCATAGACATATTACCTATTTTTGTAAAGGAATAAAAGTTAAAAAAAAAAAAAAATGATGTATTATATATATATATATATATATATATATTTTTCTCTTTTTTTTTTCGAATTAAATATTTCTTTTCTATAATGTTTTTTTTTTTTTTTTTTCATTTTTCAAACATTTTTAAGAGAAGAAAAAAATACTACCCTCCCTCCGCAAGGGCCTAGAGGTTGCTTTAAAACACAAAAGGGAATAATATCATAACAATTTGTTAAAACCGGGTTGCACCTTGCAGGAAGTTTATATGCACTAGTGGTGTTATAATTATACATATAAGTGTATATACATGTACCCATAGCATTAGAAAAAATGTTTATTATCAAATATAATAATATTTTGTGTGGTATTATTTTGTTTTCTTTATAACGAGAAAAATAGATATGTTTAAACGTTCCCCAAGTACCTTTGAACATTAGGTACAATTCACCATATCTATACGTATTTTTACATGTACATACATTGTATTCGTTGTTTTGAAACAAAGTGTTAAAGGGAGAATTCCTTCTTTCTGTCATTGTTCCAAATTCTCCCAAAAAATAAAATAAAAAAAAAAAAAAAAAATTATCCCAAGGTATGGAAAGTTTATTAAAAAGATGAGGGGAAAAAGAATAAAAAGAAAATATTTTCTGAGTGTATGCAAAAATGGGGCACATATTAGAACCTATGACAACGAATTTCCATTTTTCAGCACTATAAAGAAAAAAAAACAAATTCCTATGGCATACCATGCAAAATAGTATATACCAAAAGTGCACGACGCATACTTAAAGCCTACATAATAATATGCTTGATAACGTAACACAACCCACTTGGGTCAGGCCTGACAATATACTCCTGATTTAATATGTGAACTCCTGTCAACCCAACTTTCTGATTCATTTTGTCATGTAGAAAGAAAAACTTGGATTAAGGCTGGAATTGGATGTATGTGTATGTGTGTGTTTGTGTGTGTGCCAATTCTACCTATTTCCTTTCGCAAAAGAGACTTTCTTAAAAACGCATAAAATGTGTGCACATATATATATATATATATATATATATATATATATATGTCCAAATCGATAGGTAAAAAAACAAGGTGTAACAGTCCACATTTGCAGCGCTTGCATATACCTCAAATATATGTATAGCACAAGTGCCACTTTGCACTTTACACAATGTTAAGTAAATTAATCAGAATTCAAAAGACAGCATGGTGTTGCTATATCTATAAAAGGGAGAAGTGGATGGATGTAAACGAATGTGTGTTCAGTAGACATGTTTCAATATACAACGAACAAAATAATATCACCTCTACATTAACCAATGCACTCAAGAAACTCATCGTTTGGTAAAAAAAAATAAATAAATCCAGGTATGAAAGAAAAATGTGTTAGCTTAAATAAAATGAATTTCTTCTTCTCCTTCTTCTTCTTCTTCTTCTTATTATTTTATTTATTTATTTTTTTTTTCAATTCAAATTTTCATGCATGTGTCAGATAGGGGGTATACAAATTTTCGTAAAAAACAGGACACGAATAAAACTGATATTCAAATGATGGGACAAAATTGAAATAATTGAATGGGAAATGGGTCAAAAAAAAAGAAAAAAAAAAAAAAAAAAGGAAAAAAAAAAAAAAAAAGGAAAAAAAAAAAAACCAAACTGTCTCTCAAATAACATCGGATTTATACATTAAAAATGGGGGAAGAAAAGATTACCCTGTTTTTACGTGGCATAAGAATATATACATTAAGCATTTTTTTTTTTTTTTTTTTTTTTACTTCCAAAAAATGAATAATTATTCTTACATGCGTATCCATATTTTTGAATACGTAATGACATAAACAAGAAAAACACATGCATAAGAGGTGTGTGATTCACTTTTTTAGTGACATGTAGAGTCCCACATTTCTTCCGTGATAAAATATGCACTTATAAGAGAACCCCCAAAATATCTCCCATTCAAAAATTGAAAAGCTTTCAAAGATTCATCATGATTTGTATACTTAATATATATCTTTCCATCAATATTTTTTGTATCTAACCATATCTTAACAACGCTACCGTACTTATTGCATTCCTCTTTAACATCTTCAATTATGTCATTGAAAAAGTCTGGGTCAGAACCAATGTTCTCATCATTTGGGGAAAACATATTACACAGAACCAAGTTGGGCGTGATATTGTTTAGGCCATTTTGTGCAGATATCGCTAGGGGAGGTTGGGGGATGATAGGATTGGTACCAGCAGTGTATGTGCTCGATATCTGTGATTCAAAGTGGTGGTGGTGGTGGGGGGGGGAAATGAAAATGAAACAAACATGGGAGAAAAAAAATGGCAAAACAAAAAAAAAAAAAAAAAAATGGGTCACGCCTAAGAGTACTTAAGTGCAAATTTTCAAAAAAATGTGAAGCGAAAAGGGATTTTTTTTTTTTTTATTTCTTCATTTTATTTCTTTATTTTTTTGCACTTACTACTCCCGTGTCTATTACAGTATCGCGCTGCAACTTCTGCATGAGGGCTATTTTACTGCCTGCACCGGCTATTAGTCCACCTCCGTCATCATCATCATTGTCTATTTTTTCATTATCCGGTTCTTCAATCTTTTCTTCAGTTTTAACACTCTTTACAGCTGCTTGCTGTTTTTGTAAATTATCTTTTGCGTTTTTTTCAGATGATATGAGATATTTTGAATCTTGGGCATAGCTAACTTTCAGTTCTCGGCCTGCTATTTCCATTCCGTTTAAAACACCCATAGCTTCAATGGCCTCTGAGGTTTTATGAAATTGAATGAATCCAAATCCTTTGGACTTACCTGTGTATGGGTCTCTATGTATTTCCACTTCTAGTATTTCCCCAAATGGATTAAATAGCTGTTTTAATTCTTGTTCTGTTATATTTCCAAGCGGTCCTAATAAACCACCAATATATAATTTTAAAGGAGTATCATTGGGATCAATTGGTTGATGTTTTGCAGCTTTTGCCGCTCTATTTTTTTCTGCTTGTGATGATTGAATTTTAACAGGTCTATTTTTTAGCATATACCCATTTGCTGCTAATGCTTTTACAACTGATTCTTGTGTATAAAATTCTACATATGCTACTCCTTTGGATTTTCCTGATCTCTGATCTTTTATACATTGTATGTCTCTTACTTTTCCAGCTACTTCTGAAAAGAATTCATATATATCTCTTTCATCTGCTTTTAGATCTAAATTTAATACTAGTACAGTTAAATCATCTCTCTTTGCTTCTTCCTGTTCTTGTTTTAGTCTTTGTTCTTCTCTTCTCTTTTCTCTCCTTTCTCTTGCTTTTTCTCGTTCTTTCCTCAGCCTTTCCCTTGCATTTTCTCTTTCTTTCTCTCTTTCTCGTTCTCTTCTTATTCGTTCTCGTACGCGCTCTTTCTCCCTCTCCCTCTCTCTATCTCTGTCCCGACCTCTGCCTCGACCTCTATCCCTGTCTCTGTCCCTGTCTCTATCCCTGTCTCTATCTCGGCCTCTATCTCGGCCTCTATCCCGATCTCTATCATCATCCTCACTTTCACCTTCCTCACTATGTTTCCTCTTTTCCCTCCTCTCATGTTTGTCTCTCTCCCTTTTTCCACTTTTGGTACTTCTTGCTTTACGATCATTTTCGTCATCATTGCTGGAATCAGATTCGCTCCTACTACAGCTAGCTTTTTTCTTTTTTCGCTTCTTTCGTCGATCTCCTTCCCTACTCGACAATTCTTCATTCGACGAGGAATAATCTTCTGTTCTTTTTCTTTCACTTTCTTTATCATTCCTGCTTTTTTTCTTTCTTTTTTTTCTATTTTCACCTTCCGATCCTTCTCCATCCTGCAAATCACCATCAATATCACCGTCTTTATTGCCATCCTTATCGCTGTCCTTATCCCCATCGTTATCATCATCTTCTTTTCCATCTCTGTAAGCACGTTTCTTTTTTGTTATTGAATCTTGATCATCGCTTGATCCCGTTTTTCTATGTTTCTTCCTTGGTTTTTCTCGATTTTCCTCTTCATCTCTTTCCTCATCTGATTTCAAGATATCTAATTTTTTTTCTTTTTTTCTCCTTCTTCTTCTTCTTCTTCCTCTTTCTTTTTCGTCATTATCCGAATCTGTCGATAAAGTTGAATCCTCTCCCGATTCTGATTTAGCTTTTTGTTTGCGTCCTCTACCATTTCTCTTTTTTGCAGATTTTGTTTTCTCTCTTCGCTTCCGCTTGCTGAAATTACTTCCTCTATCATTATCACTATCACTACTTGCATTGTCACTACTTGCATTGTCACTACTCGCATTGTCACTACTCGCATTGTCACTACTTGAATTGTCACTACTTGAATTGTCACTACTTGAATTGTCACTACTTGAATTGTCACTACTTGAATTGTCATTACTTGCATCGTCATTTCCTGCACTGTCACTGCCTGCACTGTCGTTGCTTGCATCGTCACTATTTTCTTTATCATCATTCAAATGATCAATGTCACTTTCTTTGTCATTTTTTCTTTTTCTGACTCTCACTTTTGCGCTTCTTTTTTTACTTTTCGCTTTCTTTTCTTTTCCTTCCTCATTCTCTTCATTTTCACGTGACTGTGATGATTTTCTACTGAATTTTCCTACTGTGCTATCTTTGCTTTTATTTCTCCTCCTTCTTTCTTTGTGTCTACTGATGGATTCATCTGAAGTATACGTTTCACGCTTTTCCTTACTGCTAACACTTGATTTGTACCCTGTTTTATCAATATCTTTTTCTTTTCTTTTTTTTTTCCTTTTATTATCATCACTGTTGCCTCGATCTGATTCCTTGAGTTTGTCCCTCTGTGCTTTATTAGTTTTGTGGTATTCACCAGTATCATTTGCGCTATTATTCAGGTTACTAGTACTAATACTAACGCTGTCTTGACTTTCGCTCCTCTTCTTTCTCGATTTTTTTTTTTCCCCCTTTCCATTATCATTTTTTACACCCTTTCTTCTTTCCATACTCCCATTAAACTCATTTCTATGGGATTTGTTTTTTAAAATAAATTCGTCATCTTCTCTTGTGCTATATTCATAATTATTTTCATTTTCATCTTCATCTTTCTTTTTATCATACTTATTATTCTCCATCTCCTTGTGAATGCAGTTGTCCGATTCACCATTCATTTCTGTTTTATTTAATTCTTTTATTTTATTTTCCTTATTTTTAACATTTCCATTTTTGCTATCCATTTCATTGTTCTTACTTTTATGTTCAAGTAATTTTTCTACTTCATCAAAATATGAATTATCCTCCATTTTGTTAACATGCTTATTGCAAAGTTGTTATTACCACAGGTCTATATATATATACATATATATATATGCGATACTCAACTGCTGGCTATATATCTCTCCTTCTACCCAATATATATATCATAGATAATTTATCAGGATAAGCACTCACGCAAATCCTCTTCTTATTTATATGTTTCTATTCCTTTAAGCTTAGTCTTGTGTGTGTCTCTCCTTCTGTTTTGTCTTTCGCAACTATAAATAATGTGGAAGTAATATTCCTTTGGTCGTGTACTATCTATTACTTTATTTATTTATTTTATTTATTTACTTTATTTATTTTTTTATTTACTTTATTTATTTATTTATTTTATTTATATGTTTATTCATTTTATTTTTACTATTATTTTTTTTCTTTTCCCATTCAGGGGTTCTATTTGGTTATAGTTTCTTTCTCCTATATACATATATATTTGGAATAGGAATTCGCAGAAAAGTTAAAGATGGTCTTATTTTGTAACTCCCTAGTTTTATTTATTTATTTTTTTTTTTTTTTTTTTTTGTTTTTTTTAACTTTCTGTGATATATATGTATGTTATTATGCATACATGTAATGTTGATACGTTTACATGTAGTGTTAGCATAAGATTATGCATACTTGTTTTCATCCTTAAGATTTTCCCTCGTTTTCTCTAACATTCACAATTCTCTGGTTCTTGAAAATATTTTCCCCCCTATTATTCTAAAACGTCGTTTTTCGATATATACTAACGTAGTAAAAAGCGAAGTATTTAAAGGGTTTAATTTTTCTCTTTTCACTTATCTATGTTTTTTATTTTTTTATATTTTTCTTTTTTCCCTCCCTCTTTTTTTTTTTTTTTTTTTTTTTTATTTTGGATACCTGATAAAACAGAGCAAAACAATTGAGATCGCTAATTATTTTTTTTCTTTAAGCCTTTTAAAGCTAGTTATAACTATTTGCTTCTTTTTTTTTCTTTTTTTTCCCATTGCGCGAAGTAGTGATTTTATCACAAATTGTTCATTTCAAGTGTTTCTATAAACATTTAAGTATATGTGTTTAAATAGCATAGAAGATGAGGCTTCTTTTATGTGGTGTATATATATGGATACATACATGCATACATATGTACATGCATACGTACATACATGAATACGTACATACATGCATACATACGTACATACATACGTACATACATACGTACATACATACGTACATATATATATATTTATATGCATACACAGCGACATATATCCTCATTAGAAACTAATTATCTTTTTTTTTTTTTTTTTTCTTCTTTCTCTAACCCCCCCAATTTATAATGCAAAAGTGGCACAACAGAAAAATAAAAAGTTTCACTTCATTTCTATACATATACATGTTTTTGATTCTAGTATGGCTTTTCCAAACGTGCCATTAGTTAATAAAAATTCATTTTATGTTTTTTTCTTTTTTTCCCCTTCCATCACCTCCTTTTGGCTATTCTGAAATTGCAATTCAACACAAATTGAGTAACATATTGAGTGATGTATTGATTGACGTATTGATTGACGTATTGATTGACGTATTGATTGACGTATTGATTGAATTATTGAGGAATAGGTTATTTAAAATTTTTTTTTTTTTTTCCTTTTTTATATTATGCTGAATAAAAAAATATACTATAGGTGTGGTGGGATAGAAACAACAACTCCTTATAGGTATTTCTAAAAATGAAATAACTTTAAGGACGTGGGGGCGAAGGGAAAAAAAAAAAAAAAAATGATCAAAGCATAGAATTAGGTGAATCGACCCAGGTGAACGAAATTAGCATGAACATGTGATATAGACAAAATGCACATACATGCAAAGTGAAATATCTCTTGTGTGTGATTTTGCACGAAGATCCAAATGGAAATACAAAAGTTGTGTAGTATTCTATTTTTTTTTTACGACATGTTTATAACCCTTTCGATAATCCTCTAACACCCAAACATTTCAGGGAAATGTTCCAGTTTATTTCTTCTACTCCGCGGGCTTTCGCTTGATGAACGAGATTTTAGAGCTGGCACTTTCAGAGAGGCCCGATGAAACGTATAAAATACGTTCTATATGCATACACATATGTACACACATATATGTAAACACACACCTATTTATAAAACAAAACCATTCGTGCTATTGGGCTGTATGAAACATAAAAAGGAGGAGCTAAATTTACATGCTTGCAAAACGAAGCTGTAATTTACATTTTTCATAGGCTAATGTTTCATCCATTCGTGCTTATCTTTTTTTTTTTTTTTTTTCATAAATTGTTTATTATTATTTAAGTATGCTGTAAAAATGAAAACAAATTTTTAATTCCTATTATAAGATTCATTTGTGTATACAAATGGGGGATTAACAGACAAACAAAAAAAAAAAAAAAAAAAAAAACTTGGTTAGAGACGTGTTAACCATCCGTGGTCTCCGTGCACATGCTTATTTTGTATAGGTGGTTACAAAAAAAAAAAAAAAAAATAATTCACTCATGTAAATGTTCCTATGGGGGAAAGTTATCATGTCTGGTGTTGTAACGGCTGGAAGAGTAGTACTATGTTGCACATTTGTATGGATGCACATTTGCATGGCTGCTTATTTGTGTAGTGGCAGTGGGGTGATGACATGGATTACCCAGCGGGACATGCTAATCTAGTTCAAGGATATGTTTTGTGGGAATGTCCGCGACGGAATCATCGAAAAAGGCACTCTGTGTGATGTACTCTATGCACTTGATAAGTTTTTTTTCATAATGATAAATTTCCTTTTTCATTAGTTGATATAACAAAGGGGAATTTCTGTGAATATTGAGAGAATCAATAAGCTGCAACTTCTTTCGGGACCGTTTCTTTTTGTTTACGATATAATTGTTTCCATTTGAATTAAAACCAATAGGGTAATAATTATTTTCATAAATATTGTGCATTTTATTTTGTTCTAATTTGGTTAGTAAAGGAACAAAAATGGATTTTTCTGACTGATTTTTGCAATATATGTTTCTTCCTAGAGCTGAACAATAGCTTTCAAATAATAATTCTTCAATTAAACAATTTGGTTTTTTTTTTTTTTTTTTAGCTATTTTATTATTTTTAATATTCCCTATTTTACTTCTTGTTGGATAATTCTTTTTTCTTTCCTCAATCCATTTTTCAATTTCTTTTGAATCATTTAGTATAATTTCATTCTTCTCATTTTTCATATGATTTAATAAATGAAATTCTAAATCGTCAATATTGTACACTTGTCCACAGTTATCTATAGGACACTTTATGTGTTCACTCTTGTTATGTTCATCTAAATCCTTGTCTTCAATATTTTTATCACAATACGTGCAAAAAGTTAACTTTGAATTTTCTTTCTTTATTTTTTTATCATTTTCTCTTTTAACATATCCTTCATCCATTTTACTTCTACTATTTGTCGTTTCCATCACTTGGCTAGAATTATTAGTAATCACAGAATTTCTTTTGTTTTCTCTTCTATCACCATAATACTTTGTATTTTGGAAATGAAAAGGACCTTGTAAATTTTTTGATTTCTTCACGTTCATATAATCTTTCACTACACTGTTGCTATTCAACTGGGGCGTAAAGAAATATGAGGAAAGATGCTTCATATCGTTCTTGTTTTTGCATACCTCATGAGAATTTCTCATTATCCAAGTATTCCCATTCTTAATATTTTTATATTCGTATGTGTCTGCTATAGTACCGTTTTCCCAAAAGTTCTTATTCGATATTCTCTTATTTGCCACCTTGTCATAGTTTTCATTGTAAGGATCGTCCATATCTTGAATGTTCCTCTTTCTGTTGGGTTTACTATTAGTAGTGCTCATTTGGAAAAATCCATTTCTGTATACTCCCCTTGATTTGGAATATCCACCTTGAGGTGCATAAATTGTTTCTTCACCCTTTTGCATTTCTCTATGTATGAATCTGTTCCTATAAAGACCATTCAATTTGTTATTTTCATCGCACATAGTGTTTTCTATGTTGTACAACATATTCTTATTTACATTTGTTAAAAGTGATTCCTTCATATTATCATGAACATCGCACGTTTTATAACTACTTTTAGCATTATATTGGATAACTTTTTCCTTTTCTGGAATTTTGAAAGAATACCCTCTTTGGGTATGTTGGTTATGATGGTCTTCATTGTAATGATACCCAATATTATTGTTAATATCATCATTTTTATAACCATTTGTGTATGAAGAAAAATAATTTTCCAAATAATTTTCATTTGAAAGCAATGGAATCTCTTCACCTTCTCGTTCAGTATATCCCTTTTCATTGTTCCTTTCTCGATTGTTTTTTATTTGATTTTGGTTGTTTACATCTTTCATTTCTGTTCCAGGTTGTCTTCTTAACTCCTTGTTATGATTTCTATTGAAGTTCCTACTAGGAGCTCGTTCATGCTGTGGATTCCAACGGGGAGAGTTCTGCTCATTTTTATTTGGCTTATTTTGTACATATTCAACATCGGAACGCAACCATGGTTCACCATGTCCCTTCACTATTTGATTAGTACCAAAATAGTTTATCGATGTTGTAATACTATTTCCATATAACATTTTTTGACTTTGCGTGCCGTTATACAATTGGTTATAATTATTTTTTACTATGCCCACGCAACCTATATAATTCTTTTCATTTGCATTTTTATTCATTTTTTTTTTTTTTTATTCACTCTTTTTATTCATTCTTTTATTGAAAAGCGGAAGAAATTATAGTCATAAAAATGGAATACTTCATTTCTTAGTCACACGGTGTTTTACATGAAAAAAAAAAAAAAAAAAAAAAAAAAAAAAAATGAAAAGTTATTACAACATTCATTTAGTGCCTACAATTTATGTATTTTTTCATCAATTATTTTTTATGGTTTTATTTTTTAAAAAAAATAATAATTATGGTTATATTACAATATGGGAAATAATTTCATGCGACCCAGTATTTGCATTAAGGAAATAAGCTTCTTCACTTTGATATCCATTTTATATATTTTTTTTTTTTTTTTTTTTAATTTTAATTCTTCTGTGAGTCCAGCATAAGCAACAGCAACGGCACCAATTTTAGACACTTTTTTTTTTTTTTTTTTTTTTTTTTTTTTATATAACACAATTGTCAATTCAAAGAAGTGTGAAGCAGAATTGTGCTCAAGCATTTTTTCTGCCGATCCACTGTGTCACGTTATAAGTACACTTATATTTATACATGTATATATGTATATTATGTATATATATGTATATTATCTATATTATGTATATATATATATATATAAACACTTATGCGGATACGAAACAAATCTTTTTGAGCTGTGGCATGAGAAAACAGGTGTCAACCTATTTTGAAACAGATTAAAAATAGACTTTTCATATTCATATAACTTCAAAGGGTAGTAAAAAGAGGTGGGTTTTTTATATATAGCTTATGGCTTAACTGTAATAGGACAAATATATATATATACATTCCTACACGTGTATAAGAATATTTCACACGTAGAAAGTGCGAAGATTGTTATAAAAGCTGATTACGGTGTACTAGGAAGGAACTATCTTTTAAAAATGAAATTACACATTGTTTTAAAGAAAAAAAAAAAAAAAAAAAAAAAGCACGTGAACACATAATCAAAAGAACGTTTTTCCTCTTTACACTATTTTAAATTCAGTTTACTCTTGACGACCACACTGTACTGCACATTTCAACCCATTTGAGCAGCCTCATACAGCAATGCATTATTTTTTCTGCTATATTTGCAAAGGCTAAATTATTTGTAAAATTTCAATTCTTCACGATAATTGGGAATACGTATCACACATTTTAATCACACGTTCTTCTTCTTGACATAACGGTAACTACGATGCATTTTCTGTTTAATACACACATAAATGTTTTCTGTCACGGAGGATATGACATTTCTTCATTCTAATCCACACACACACATAAGTATAATATAACATAATATAATGTAGTATAATGTAGTATAATGTAACATAATATAATGTAGTATAATGTAGTATAATGTAGCGTAATATAATCCTTTGTTCAATTAAAGAGCGCGTTTCTTTACATGAACATAATTTCACATTAATGTAGAAATGAATATGGAACGTTTTCTCTCCACTTAATTTAACTAACATTGATGTGTTTCATCATAAGAGTATAAACCACAGCACCGTATATATTTTTGGCCTTTTGAAAAATGTGTGACATAAAGACAAGTATGAACAAGCACAAGTGCAATTACTCGTTTTGCTTTTCTACCTTGCGTTTTCACGTGATTATGCTTCAAATTCGTAAAAAATAAAAAATAAAAAAAAGGAACACAAGGAGCAGAAGAAGAAGAGAAAGAGTGAAAGAGTGAAAGAGTGCAAAGCAGCAAAAGTAGAAGGAAAATACAAAAGAATGTGTTTTAAAATAGGATCTATATAGCTATATACATCTCATTCATAGCATAGACACAAGAAAAATGTAAACATGATACATATACCAAAATTGGGACACGCCTCTATTACTCTTTTCCCATATCGTTGCATACATATTTATAGCTCTTTTTTTTTTTTTTTTTTTTTTTTTTTATTATTTTTGCTTACTTTAGTGAGGAATATATGCGCATAGGGAACCCATATACGTGCAGCTAATAATCTGGCATTAGTATATTTATAATTTGGCACAACTGGCCAATGGAAAACAGTAAAGACATAGTGCTACATGGAAATAGTGACGAAAGAGTGTGTAATGACAATGATCATGTGATATGTGAGAAAAATGTAAGAGCTAATGAAATCGAATTAGAACTGAAGGAATGGAAAACGAGTAAGGAGGATATCTTATCATTTATGCAGAATAGAAAAATTATGAATTTTTCTGATTATATATCGAAATATGATAGTGAAATAAAAAAAAAAATGGACCAAGAAGAAATTATTGTCATTTGTACAATTGTTAATATACCTTACCAAGTCCGGAATTATAATAAAGAAAAATTTATTTTTTGGGACATTTCAGATTTGCAAAATACACAGTCAAGACTCTTTTTAACGGGGGAAATTTGTGAACAAAATGAATCCGAAAAGGAAGGAACCGTAATTGCATTAGTCAACCCAGTTGTAAAAGACAAAGATCCACAATACTACAATTCTAGATTGTTAGAAGTGTTAGAAAAAGCAAATTTAAAAATCATAGGATCAATTGATAAACTAGAAAGATGCAAAGGAAGAAAGCGAAATGGGGAAGGATGCAAAATTGTTATTTATACTCCACTCTTTGGCCATTTTTGCAAGTATCACGTTAAACAAGATCGAACAAAACGTGGAAAGAAGAAATCCGGAAGAAACACAAGATATGTAGAGGTTGGACCTATAACATGGGACGAAGAAGATGCTGCAGAAGAACCGGATGTGACAAACCCTGTGAACGAGGGGGAACATGCTATCCCCTTAAAGTGTGCAGAAGAAAATGAAAGCAGTACTTCTACTACTACAACCTGCAACAGTAAAACAAAAAGCAAGAAGAAGAATATGAATAAGAAAAAGGATGGTATGGAAGGGATTGGTGATATGAAGGGAAATGGCTTAGACAGAGACGGGGAAATACTCGATATAGAATCCATCATAGGTATGTACACAAGTAAGCTGGTAGTTAAAGATAAAAAAAAAAAAAAAGAGCTGATTGAAAACAGAATAAAAGAATTAGATAATATTTCAAAGTTAAACAATGATGGACTTGATTTAGATATGATAGAAAAAGAAGAATCAGTGAATAAGGAAGAAGAAGAAGAAGAAGAAAAAAAAAAAAAAAAAGAAGGAGGAGGAGGAAAAGCACACAAAACAGCAAATGATATTTTATCTGTACAATGTCCTGAACTTATACATTTAATTCACAAATCTAATAAAAAAGATGAAGATGAGAAAGAAATAGATCAAGAAGAAGCTTTAAAAATTAAAGAAGAAACTTGTAAAAAAAATGAACAACACGCTGCTTCCAATGAAGAAAAACAGAAAAGAAAATTTGATAATTTCTTAGCTAAATTAATTGAATTACAAAAATCCAAAGATGAAAATGATGTTAAAACTCTCATAAAGGGATTAGTTTATGTTACCAATAATTTCAGTTTTAGCATAAAGAATGTAAGCAATTCCAACATCTTTGATGTGTGCTACAAGTTGATGGATCATAGGAATGAAGATGTTGCTATAGCAGCTTTGAAATTTAAAAGAAAAATTAACACTCTATATATCAACTACTACAAAAATAAGCTTAAGAAGCAAAAAGTTGCTGAATCAGGAAGAGGAAATGAGGTCTCTGCTCATGAGAAGATTGCTGAGTGTGAAAAGAACCACTCTAGTCCTGCATAAATGTTTAGTGTAAATTTTACAAAAACAAAAAAGATATAAATTCACATTTTTTTTCATAAAATAACAAAATTAATTTTGTTCTACTTCTTTTGATACTCCGTCTTTGTTCTACAACATTTTGTTTTTTTTTTTTTTGTAAACTTATTGAATATTTTTAATGTTAATTTTTTTTTTTTTTTTTTTTTTTTTTGCATAACATTTGGTTGTTAATAGTACGGCCATACATATTTATGTATATATATATGTATGTGTACATGTCTATGTGCAGGATTGGGTAGTAAACAGATATTTTTTTTTTTTTTTTTTTTATTTCTTCCCCCCAACTCAACAATCGTGCATATGAATAGATTTCTTTACATGCATTTTCATACCCTTCCTCCCTTTTGAAAGAACCTCTTTGCCATCACGTAAATATAAGGGACATGCAAGTACATTAATGTAAGTATATATACATATTTTGCACATACCTATAAATATATGAGTGGTGGCATCACGTAAAATGATAAATGATGAGAAGTGAAGGGTGAGGAATGGAAAAAATGAATAAATAAAAATGTTTCTTTTATTTTTCCCAAATGTTTAACAATTGTATGTAAAGAATGGCAAGATTTTTATGATTATGATAAGAAGTATACATTTACTTCAACTTTTTTGGAAATATCCTTTTGTATATATATCCCCACTCTTTTGATTATTTCACTTTTTCTCTTTTTTCTTATTTTTTGCCTGAACAAAACTTCATTTGTATCACGTGCACAACCGGATTACGAGTTGTAGGGACACCCATATTTACGAGATCCAACCTTGTTCGTACTTTTTATTTCTACATATTTATACAAACACAATTAAAATATATACATATATGTATATACGTATATATGCACACAATTTTTTTTGCCCAGCCCAATTACCCCACAGGTGTTGAAAATTGGGAGTTCATTCCTTTCTATGCTAACCGCTTACCCCGCCAGTGTTATAGCTATCTTCTTTTTTTTTTTTTTTTTTTTTTTTTTTTTTTAAAACACAAATTTACATGTACATAATGTAAGAAAAAAAAAAAAAAAAAAAAATATAATAAATAAATAATTAAAGAAGGGAAAAGTAGCCGTTTAAAATTTTTTACATTTGGAGACAATACATAAACGACATGACGTTTTCATTTTTTAAAACACATGGAATGTGGAAAAAAGGAAAATTGAAACAATTTTATTTTTGAGCCTCCCCCTCTTTTTGTAACAATTAAATATATCGAGCTCATATTAACAACATTTCCATAAAATACTCTTACATTTTCTTTACCTTATTGATAAAATGACCATTGAGATTCCCCTATTATTATCATCTACATTTCCATTAATATGGAAAGCAGGATTAGCTCAACTTTCTTTTGCGAAAACGGGAGGTTCATTAGCTGCACTGAAAGGCACATCCTTACTGTTAAGTAAAGCTGCCTCAACAGGTAAAGCGGGACTCCTAGCTTCTACGTCTACGCAACTTGACAACATTAAAGAGGCAGCACAAAAATTAATCGAAGAAATAGAAAAAAATATCAATGTCAGCTTATTTTTTTATAATATAGAAGAAGAAGAATCAGCCGGGTACTACTTAATGAAGAAGCGACAAGAACATGAGAAAGAGGCATCAACAGCTTGAGCATATATAAAACTCACGAAAAAGGTAATAAGAAGACAGTTCGATGAATGGATAAAGAAGGAAATGACATAAAAATGGCATAAAAGTGACGAGACAATGGAACAGTTGTATACATATAGAAAAGGAAAAAGAAAAATGTAATTCTTTTATGTGTTGGTGTACTACATATTATGCCAAATTTGGTATCAAGGATTCGGTGCCATTGTTAAAATATCAATACTTATTCACACATGAGCAGAATTTTTATCTACTGTTTAACACTGTTAAAAAAGGTGTCGTCATTTATACATTTGCAACGATTATAAAATATAGTTTATCCTTATGTGTATATGTACATGTACACATTGGGTGTGTACTTTTTTTTTTTTTTTTTTTTTTTCTTGCGTTTTTTGTTTGTTCCCTTTTACTTCCTTCCAAAATAAGGCATCACTTATTCTGATAAAATTTTCCTTTCTTAAAAAGAAAGACGAGAACTCTTTTACAATTGAACTCACTTGTATGTTAAGAAGCATAATAACATAAAATTTCCGAGTGACTCCCTCGGTCTTATTTTATTTATTCAATCGTTTATTCGTTTATTCATTCACTTGTTTATGTATTTATTTATTATTTTTTGCTCTTAAACCTTTGCAATTTAAAAAGGGGTCTGAGCAACGCGCAGAGCGGTTGGCTCATTCGCACAAGGGGAAAATAAATTCAATTGCCATGTAACCATATTAGTTCACCACATATTATGGTAATAAACGGTATTCACACGTGTGTAAAGAATGTGTAGACATGTACACACATCCTGCTGTGGTTTAATTAAAATGGTGAAGAGCTATTCATCTAGTTTTTTTTCTTTCTTCATCTTTATTTCTTATTTATTTCATGTATTCCGTGATCGATTACAAACGTATGCATAATACATAGGAATATTGAGGTATAACTTTCTCATATTTGCCTCCATGTCGTCCAAAAAAGAAATAAAAAAAAATATGCACCTCTTGTGAACTAAATCGTTCATAAGGGGCAGAGTAAAAGGAAGCGTGTTCTGAAGTATTCAATATACTGACCTGCTAAACTGTCAAACTTTTTAATTTAAAAAATCATTTTCATGCGAAATGTATGTACCATTTTGCAAAAAAAAAAAAAAAAAAAGAAAAAGAAAAAAGGTAAGCGTGGCAAAGTTGCTCTTATGGCAAAAAAAAAAAAAAAAAAAAGAGGTAAAGGTAGTACCACAAAAATGGCAACACAAATTATATATATATATAAGAGAAGTAAAAAAGGCACATAAAAAAGGCACATAAAAAAGGAACATAAAAAAGGAACATAAAAAAGGAACATAAAAAAGGAACATAAAAAAGGAACATAAAAAAGGAACATAAAAAAGGAACTTGAAAAATCGCATTTATAACTTTTTGCAAAACAGGAAAACCTCCAAAAAACGAGGACGTTTAAGTAAAATATCTAACATTACTTGGATTCCAATTTGAATACTCAAACGTGTATAAAGGCACGCAAAAAAAAAAAAAAAAAAAAAAAAAATGCTTTTGATTAATCCATCACAAGTTTAATGTATTAAAGCATGAGTTAAAAAGGGTTGCAGGAGAGACGCTAAAGGAGACAATATTTTCATCACCATCAGTTGAGAAAAAAAAAAAAAATAATAAATGTTGCCAATTTTGTAAAACAATTATATATATACCACCAGCAGCATGAAGAATAATATAACATACACTTTAAAATGTAAATGCATTTGCATTTACATGTATATATAAAATCCATGTTTTTTTCTTTTTTTTTCTTTTTTTTTAAAAATTTTTTCTCCTTTGCCCCTGTGATATTGTAAAACTATTCAAAAAGAGGGAAAATAAAAAGAAAATACACTTTTACTTGTAGGATATATATATATATATATTAGCATAAAAGAGAAAAAGCAACACAAAAGAAGCCCTTCATTTTATCAGGTTCTCTTTTCCTCGCTCCTCCTAATCCTCATCACCACAATCATATTAATGTCGTGATTTTTTCTTCCTTTTTTTTATATCATATAGGAGAAAGATATATCAAATTTGTATCACTTTAATTTTTTTTTTTTTTTTTTCCCCCTCCCTTACTCCACCCAAAAGTTCCATCAAATCGTGTGTAGTATATATTGTATACAAATATGTAGCATATACTTAATATATGGATTAAATGCATCACATATGTATTTTACAGGATTGTATATATATATATATATATATATACATGTGTGCGTGCATGTGTGAATACGTATACGCGCACGTTTCCAAGTTTGCATATGCTTACTGCGGAGGCACAAAACATACTCCCCACCTTTTTTTTGAAGGTATAAGTTTTCGTTTCCCTCGCTTTCATACTCTTGTGTACACAAGAACAGCCCCTGTCTCCCTCTACCCCCAAAAAAGTTTCCACATTCTTGGAGAACGAAAAAGTCTTAGCAAATAAAGAATTCTTGTTAAGTAAGCTGAGTACATGCACTTTTAACGCGGGAATTGAATTATCCGAACGATTTTTAAAATGCTAAATAATAATGGTTTTAATGGAGGAATAAGTCAGATGAAAACATTCCAAGGGGGTGGAAACCTCCAGGGAAGTAGCCAATTTCAGGGTGGTGGCCAATTTCAGGGTGGCAATACCACCTTCGCAGGTATCGGAAATAATGAACAACAGCCACATATCTATGGAGAACATCAAAATGGTAATAGCAGTTTTTATGGAGTGAAAACCCTGAACACAGCAATTACCTATAATCAGGGATTCTCAGACAAGAACATGATGTATGGAAATAACTCCTTCGGAAGGATCAACACTGAAATGATGGAACAAAACCCTAACCTTTATCTGACAAAGAATACTATGGGGAATAGTAGCACCATAGGAAATAGTGATGCACAGAATAGTGCCCCTCGAAACAACGTTGTGCTGAACAATGCTGTGGGATATGGAGATTACCAAAACAGTAATAATAGTTTACATTTTTATAACAAAGACCAAAGTAGTACTAATTATAATAATGAAACACTATTTACCCAGGTTAAACAAAATGTATCCATATTTGGAAACAAGTCAAAAAATAATTCCCCCCTTTTTGGCAATAATTTAAAAAGCGAAAATAAAAATGCAACATGCAATTTTAGGTTCTACGACTTTGTAAGTCATGATAAATCAATATTTGGAAATAGATTAAAAGATGGAAAACCACTCTTCATGAATAATAAAAATGTAAATAAGCAGTTAACACCATCTGCTAATGAACAACATGGCAATAATTATTTACTAAATAATAATAATATAAATAATTTAGTAGGGTCCAAAAGTGAAAAAAATTACATGAATTATAACAACGATTTGAAAAATGATTCTTCGTATGGGTTTAACACATCCAACGAAATTATACCAAAATCTGTTATCATGAATAGAAATAATAATATTAATATTGGGGTAAACCTACCTCAAAATCAAGTGTTCGGAAATACCTATAACCAAAATAGTAACAACTTATGTAGTAATATAAACACAATTCCAAGTGCACAAGATGATTCTACGTTTATAGTTGGGGCCAATAATGAACTCAACTCAACCAATTTCATTTACAACAATAACTTTAATCCTATATCTGAAAATATGCAGAACGAACAGTACCACATGTATAACAGGAACATTGTCACTGGAAGAGATCCAATGAATCATAATTTTTCTCCATTCCATAATGCTGGAGTAGACGGATCTACTATCAATACACATGATAATTTATCATACGGTAATCCGATGATAAGTAGTAATCATAACATGTTAAGATATTCAAACGTTTTACCAAAAGGTAATTATCTCCCCCCAAACGAGAACACCCAAATGATCGGTGCTAATGTTGCTATAAATAGCACCACTCATATTCCCTCTGGTGCAGACACTCTTATGAACGACTTTTCTATGAACAACGCTATGCATGGCATAGGATTTGTTGGTACCCAAATGAATTTAAATAAAAACGATATTTACTACAACAGTAAGGGAAATATGGAAAATCAACAAAATATAAATTTCGGAAATAATAACCCCAAGTTAGAGGGACAAATAAACACAGGAGATAGAAACATATTCGTGAACAACGCTGCTCATTATGAGACGAATGAAAATTTGTTAATGGAAAACACACAATCAAATGATGCTTTAAGAAATCATTGCAAAGAAATGGTTTACTCAAGTCATCTCCAACAAGATGCTAGTAATAGTAGTAATAATAATAATAATAATAATAACAAAGAGAATGAAATTTTTTTTACAAATGAAAATGAAATAATGTTTGAAAAAAAATACGTAAAAGAGCATGGAAACGAAGAAAATGAAAAAGAAAATACCCAAATAAACAAAAAAAAAAAAATTATGTTTTTTAATAAAGATTTTATAAAATCTTTAGAATTAATAACAAATCATAATTTAAATAGTTACAATGAAAATAGATCCACCATATACTCATTTCCTAGTACTTTGTCATCCAATAATGCTGCTTTTTATATGCAAGCGGTTGACGAATGTAAGAAAGGGGAAAGATTTGACGTTGACGTGGAATTATATAATAAAATTTTTACCAAAAATAGGGCAGAACAAACATTTTCTGTTTTAAAAAATATAAATGTTAATAAAAAAATAAATGAACAAGACATTGCTCTCGATATTTATTACCCACTTTTACATGTAGAAAAAATAAAATTTAGGCAATCCATCACTCCAGAATATTTGTATAAACCTATCAATGCCCCTTTTGAGTTGGGACAAATTCCGACCATTATTTGACTGTCATGTTTTTTTTTTTTTTTTTTTTTTTTTTTTTTTTTCCTCTCGAAGCTCCTCCTAGCTGTGTATGTAATGTGGGTAGGAGCAGGAGAACGAAGAAGAGGAAGAAGAAGGGAAGAACCACAAATTTGTTTTTTAATCGAAACGTACGTTTGATTGTTTCTTTTGGAACGCGAACACAAATTGGTTACTTTCATGGGACAGTTTGTCGCATCTATTGCGTATTCATTTTCACCCATGTGCCCATTTGTATATTTTGCATTTTTTCCCCGTTTTTCCATGCGAAAAGAATTCATATTATGTTTCAATTATATATAGCATAATTATGCAGATGAGTTTTATTAGAATTTGTAACATTTTCCTCTCCCACTTATTCCTGTTTGCTTCTTTTTTTTTTTTTTTTTTTATTATATTTTTATTCCATTTTATAATTTATTATTATTTTTTTAATCACCTGTGTTGTACATGTGTTTTTTTTCTTTTTTTTATACCTGTGACATGCATGTGTATATTTATATAACAAACCCCGTTTGGCAAAATTCTACTTATCAGCATTTACTTTTTACAAACATAATACATATGTGCATATTTATTTTTATGTCTTATTTTTATTAGTCATTCTTTCCTCCATCTACCTTTTCCAAACATAGTGCATATATTATACTATTATAATAAAAAATTTCGTACTAACCTTCACCTTTTTCTAAAATTAAACAAAAAAAAAAAAAAAACGAAACGAAAAGAAGCGAAGCGAAAAGTCTCTAAAACAAAGATATAAGTTTTTTCCAATTTTACTAAACGGAGCAAAACACAAAAAGACAAGTGGCAACTATCGTGTAAAAAGACAGACGGCAGAGTTATTCTTAAATTGTAATATATATATACATGTTAAGCTACTCTAGACGTACAACTGCAAAAGACAATATTCTTCATAACGAAAGGAAAGAAAATCACAGAAAGTCATGAAATCAAAATTCAAAATCGGGTTAGATGAGTAGAAATGTTTTTAAAATATACACAAGTTTATTAATAACATAATTTGTATATATATGTGTATACATATTTGTATGTATTTTTATATATAGCATGATTACTAATATTAATTTAAAAAAAAAAAAAAAAAGGAAAAGGGAAAAACATAGTGATAAAAGGTTTAATTTGTGAAAACACCATAGCAGACTCGGTTATCCATGTCAGAGGTTCTCTCTGATTTAGTGTCATGCGTTGAATGCATAATTTGCATATTCATCCAAATGAACTAATCAGACTTAACAAATGAGTGGGGTTATATACACATGTGACTTAATGATTTGCACTAAAAAGGTGGTACTTAACTGCAGTAAGCTATTCTATGGGTAATATAACCAAAATATGTTAGGAAAAAAAATCGACGTCCATATAAAGAGCCTACTGTTGCTGCCCTTTCAAAAAAAGTACGTATGTGTGAAATTTCCCCATTTCATAGATGTTACAAAAAATTGTACTCTCTTAATGTAAAAAAAATGTCACATCACTTCAGGAACACAAAAATCAGGTAATGATGATACCACAAATGCTCGTCATAATCCGAATAGCATAACTTAAAAAAAAAAAAAAAAAGAACAAAAAAAGAGCAAAAAAAGAAAAAAATATATAAATAAAACAAGATAAAATATGCTAAAATGTGCTAAAATATAATGAAGTAAAATAATAACAGTAATAATAATAGCACAGGGGCAAGTATATACTGCTCCAGCTTAAATTGAGAAAGAATCATTATAAATTTCTTGAAATTTTTTAATAAGAGAAATTTTGGCTTTGATTCTCTCTTCCCCTTCTGCAAAACTTATGGGATGTTTTAATTAGGAATTGGAAAAATGTGAAAAGACGCTTTCCCCCAGACCTTTTTCTCCATCATCATTTTCTATCCTACCAGCATAAAGAATAACACAATGTTTGTGGTAACTCAAGGATATAATGTATATGATATTCCTTCAGTGACCAAAATTTATATTCATTAGTTTTCATTCGATCATCTATAGATATAAGAAGTCCCTATACAACAAAGTAGAAGAAATTTATTTAACAAAAAAAAAAAAAAAAAAAAAAAAAAAAAAAAAAAAAAATTACTCCCTCCATTCAGTATCATTTCCATATTTTTTTTTAATCCCTCAATATTTATGATGATGTGAAACCGTTTATGTATGCAATGACATGTTATACATCGATCATAGTGATGTCTAAGTTGTCTCTATATTTTTGTTCGTATATATATGTAGGGTTCACAGTTTTTTTTTTTTTTTTTTTTTTTTTTTTTTTCTGTTATATCCATTTAAGAGGACAATTCTCATGGCATGTAAAATCTGGTCAGCATATGTTTCGTGTTATGGGATCATCCCATTACATGCAGGTTGATGATACTACCATAATGAATTCCTCTCACTACACAAACGAAATTGGATGGTGTGTTATATGTGATATATGCATGCATCTGCTAAATATAGTCTCCTCCTTCTCATCCATGTCACTAATCCTTTCATATTCTCAGATAAAATTCGCATATCGTTATCGTCCACTCCGAAACGCATATTCGCATCAGAACTAAACCTCCGACGGCATAAGCTCGTCAGTAGACCTAAACCAATTAAGGACGTAATTATAGTAGCTGGATGCAGTATTTGTAGCCTCCGAAATAAACTCATTAAGTGTCTCATCATTGTCCAATTCATCTTCGTATTTGTCATAAGAGTCTCTATACTTAATCATAATTCTTTTTAACTTTCCACATTTGCCTGATATATAATAAGCAATAGTAAAAATATCACTAAAATCTTCTTCACATAATTTTCCTCGATAACTTTTAAATTTCCTTGATGGATTTCCATTGGCTGGTGGAGAAGATAAAGTATTAGTATATCTCTGATTATTCGTAACAAAATTAAATTCATGTAGAACATTCCTATGACTTTCTATGGGGTTATATAAATACCCATCAATGTTATCAAATAAAACATCGAATCCGATTATTAATTTTTGAAGATTTTCCATTGTATATAACATTTTATATAATCCTTGTAATCCCAAAATTGTAAAATCAAAAACAAATTTCCAAACCCAGTGATCATGATGTATTGGATAATAGCATACTTCGAATTTTTTTAATAAAGGAAATGAGCAATTACGAAATATATGTAACCATTCCAATGTTTGACAACCTATAATTGTTAACTTTTCTAATTTTGAAAAAACAGATGGACATAAAGCAAACGGTTCATGTCTAGGTGTGTTATCATTCATACAATATTCTGGTGATAATAATTCTAATGTTTTTAAATTAGATACATTTTGAAATATTATTGCAGCTACTTCATGTATGTATATTCCATTTCCTGAATATATTTTTTCAGATGTATTCAGATGTTTTACATTTTTCATTTGATGTAAATAATATTGTCTCTTATATATTGGAATATGAGACCATTTCTCATCTAGAGTCAATTTTTTAACATATGTAAATACGTTTACACGGTTATTTATCACATGGCTACTTAGTTTATTTATTAGTTCACACTCTAATATTTTGTCTACGCTTAGAAAGTTTAAGCATTTGGCATACACATCTGGGGATAATGGAAATTGTTTTCCTTGATCTTTGTCCTCCCCCAGAGATGATACCTTTACTACGACCTCTATTACATCTCCTTTATCAATTTGAATCACTTCTTCATCGTTCCTTTTTCTAATCTGATCACTTGTGTTTTCTTCACATTTCGACACTTTCTCCTCTCCTTTGGGATTCATATCCTCTGATTTTACCAAAAACACATTTTTGAAATTGTTCTTTAAGACATCCCACAAATTGAACGGTTGTTGAATTTCTATCCAACTTTCTGTGTCCACATCTTGTGTATTATTTTCCTCTTCTTTATTTTCATCCATTCTATTATTGCCGTACTGATTGTGATTAATCTCGTCATTATGTGTGAGTCTATGGACTCCATCCTGCGCCCCATTTCCACTATCCCTAGAGTAATCATTACATTTGTGATCCGTTATAGTCCTCATCTCACTTATGCCTATATTCGGATAAATTCTTACATCTCTATCAGCTCTGTTATCCATTTGATTATTTTCTTTTTTATCTTGTGTTATATCTTTAGTGGAAGCTGTAAGCATTATACTTTCCTTTTCCGTTTCAATATCTGTGGCACTGCTCTTTGTTTCTATTTTTATGGTGTTTTCATTTACGTCATTTCTTCCTTCCTCCTCCTGTTTATTATTATATGTATTTTCATTATTCACAATACTTGTAATGCTATTCTTCCTAATATTATAATAATTTCTGTGATGTTTAACACGTTCTTTTTCATAATATTTATGAGTAGACCTTTCTATTCGCGGAATTGAATTATTTCCTTCTTCTCTAATGAAATTCTTTTTTAATTCTTCATCGTTGCAGTTTATTATATTTTCTGCCTGTTTGCTGTTTTTCATCAACTGTTTTTCCTTCTTCCGATTACTTTCGATGTCTTTACCAACGATGCTGGTGTTGCTATTTGATCGAGCACGGTTAGATATTTGGCTATTCCCGTAGTCCTCCCTCTTGCCACTATTATCAATATTATTCACATCATGAGTAAAAGTACTTTTTTTTTGCACCTTATCATGGGAGTCACTGACTCTTGGCAAGGTTCCTCTGGGATCATCTGTAAACTGTGACGTGGACTCTAAGTATGGCATGCTTTTATACTTGTTTTTTTTTTTTTTTTTTTGTTTTTTCCTTTTTTTATCTCTTTATAATATTTCGAATGGGGCCTAGCTTTTTTACATCCTTCTTACCATTTCTATTCGTTTCTTCAAATACGTTTTTGTTGTTACTACTATTTTTCTTTTCTAAGAAATGTAAAACAGTATCTTGATCTATATTAAAAAAAAAAAAAAAATTATTCAAATGTTGTTTTTTTTTTTTTTTTTAATTTTTTTAATCTCCTTGTTCTTCTTCTGCAAATTTGATGCCGTATTATCCTGGAGAATTACGATTATTTTGCTCTTTTGTTGTTGTGATAAATGTTAAATTTAAGATTTTTTTTTTTTATTATTATTGTGTTTAATGGAGCTTTTTCTTTTAATTTGTTGGAACGCTTACAGTTTTTATTATCTTGAGGGTTCTCGTTTAATGAGGAATAATTTTATTTTTGTCTTTGAGTAATTGTATTTAACATTATTATTGAAGTAATATCCTTGTCTTATATCACTTGAAACAATAATTTTTGAAGATGTTTCATTATTTTTTAAGTAAAAGGCACGTCTTTTTCTCAATTTTTTTTATTTTTTTATTAAGAGAAATGCATAATTATTTAATTTTGTCATTATCAATTTACCTTTATAGAGTAATGTGCTCATTTTTGTTTTAGGTTTTCTGTTATTTCATTTTTTATTTTTACCTTCTGTCTACTAGCTTTTTTTTTTTTTTTTTTTTTTTTTTTTTAATTAGTAGTTTGTGTTAGCCATATTTAAAAATTTGAAAAAATTGTAATCGTGAATTAACATTACTGTTCATAAAAAAAGAAGAAAAAAAAAAAAAATTATTAACTTATTAAATTATAAACTTATTAATTTATTAATTTATTAACTTATATTTTTGCAATTATTCAATTCAAAAGTTGAGACATAATAGTTAAGGTTGCTAAGATGATTAAAGAGCAACTGCTAAGGCTAATGCGATTTGTAAATAAACTTCAAAATAAAGAAAACAATTAATTGAGAAATAACCTTTAAATTAGTATAACACTTGAAGATTAAATCATGAAGGGGTAAAATAACAAAATAAAAAAAAAAAAAAAAACATTCATTGAACACTATAAATATGATGTTTTTCTCACATAATTATTTTTTATGATGTTACATTTACATAAAAAGCATTTATAATGATTCATTTTTTTCCTGTATATGTACATGCAGCATGAAAATATCGGAAAATAATCATCTTGGGAGGGAAAAAAAAAAAAAAAAAAAAAAAAGAGTTGTAGAAACGTTGTGTGTGTGAACTTAAAGGAACATAATTCAAATGTTTTTTTTTTTTTTTTTTTTTTGTTTCCCTCAACAATATATCATCAAATAAGGCTAGTAAAAAGTTTCGGACTGGAATTTTATTTTTTTAATTCACTATTATACCATTTTGAAGGGTAATGCGCTTTTCGTTATTTTCACACGTTTATTATTTCCCCTTTAATTCCCTTTTTCTACACAATTTTCTACACATTTTTTTTTTTTTTTTTCTGATCTGGTCAGGTTTAAATTTGAGGTATTAAGCGAATAGTTAGTGTATTAGGTCAACATTAAAAAAAAAAAAAAAAAGTTATTTTTATTTTAACACCCTCCCAAGCAATAGTTTTTTTGGTAAATAGCTAAAATACACTATCTTTAAAAAAAAAAAAAAAAAAAAAAAAAAAAAAGGAAATAATAAAATAATAAAACGATAAAATAATAAAATAACAAAATTTGTAAACACAAATCCAATAAAGAAGAAATAAATTCAAAAATTAAAAAATGTTTTTAAGAAGAAATTAACAATAATTTTTATGTTTTTAATCTACTTAAGCATTTAAGTTTTTAAGGGACAAAACGAAAAGGGTGGAAAAGTTCCCCTCTCTTTTTCTTATTTTGTACATATAAAATTGTACTGAACTGTATGTTTTCTTTGGGGCTAAAACATGTGTCATGTGGATTTGTCTCAAATGAAACTTTATTAGTTAGTTCCCTTGTGTAAATGCAAATGTGTATTTGCTTATTTCGTTAATTATTTACAGCATCAAAAAAGAGATGTATTATATGCTAAAGATTGTAGGAAGGAAAAACTGTATTTTTGGAACGTCCCATAAATGGATAGGTTATGTGAATGAGTGAACGTATGAGTTTATAATTACTTGTGTACACACACCTATGCTTGTATGTGTTTGTGTGTTCATGTACATGTGTGTGCCCAATGCTTAAATATCTGCCTATTTATATTGTTGCATTTAACCCATTTTCTTCACTCAAGCGTACCTTTAAAAAGCCATCTGGAATGAATGCTTGGTGCGCACCCCGTACGAAAGATGTGTGTGTATTTGTATCCCCCCATTTACAAAAGAAATAATTTGAATGTGATGTCATTTTGGTTGCAATGTAATTTCTCCACTTAGTGAATCAAACAGAACACATTTTCTTTTGCTACCTTGTTATGGTTAAATTAACTCAACTGCATCAGTTATTCCGCTGAAATCTCTTACATTTGTAAGTTCCTTAAACCTTCTGTAAAACATATCATATTTGTAAAATGTTTTAACCTTCTTGGATACTAAAAATCGGGGGGCTACCTTCTTCCCATATACCTGAGATATCATATACACATCAATAACAGTAAAGAATACATGTTTTAAAAAAAAAAAAAATCTTCTAATGTGTCAATAATATATGCATATTATATTTCCTTACCTTTTCAAATATCGAAAAATCATTTAAGCCATACAGGGCTTCCAAATGTGGCTTTTTTATGTTCCGAGTTAGCAGTAGGATAAAGTTTTTATACTCTACCATCTCGACGTCAATTTTGAATAAGAAATTTTGCAGAACCGTGAAACTCTGGGGCTCTAATAAGGAACGAGAAGATAGGAAAATGTGTGTATAGTGGGGAGTTCATGTATGGGGTCTATGCCACGTTCACTTCTACTTTACTGGTATCACATATGGTAGTACCACTATCAGCTTTTTCCCCTGCATGCATTCACTAATTCTCTTACTATTTAGAAGGGCGTGCTTTAGCGCGTGTGTAATGGAATCCCGATTCGAAATTGCACTTAGCTCTTTATTTATATCATAAAACAACACATGTGTTTTTTTATTATTCTTCTCTTTGTCCACAAAGCGGATTCTACAATATTCATCTTTTGATAAGTTTCTTCGGATCGACATATTATCACTTGCTAAATTAAGCGTATGTAAATTTAGTCCATTTGGAGATTCATCCTTTGGATCACCAGTTGACTCATATTCTTCTAGACATTTTTTTCCATGTTTTTCCCTACATTCCTTCTGCACATGGACGACATTTAGGTAGTTGTTTTTTAAAACGTCGCTTAAGTTACTCCTCCCCTTGCAGATAACATTTCGTGTATTATATCTAGGGAAGTTCCTATGAAATTCTTCTGCATTTGCCTTTTTTGATTCATATTCATTCGAATTTATATCAAATGACGTGCTTCGTTTATTACCCAAATAATGTGGCACTTTATTTGGCTTTTGTCGTAAGATATGATTTTCAGGTAGAATATCTATTTCATTTGATTTTGCAAAATTTTCACTTTTCTGATAATAATTTATGCTATGCAAAGTATCATCATGTATAATATGTTCTTTTTTTTTATTGTTTTTTTTTTTTTTTTTTTTCCCATGGACATTTTCACTACATGAGTGCATGTGATTTTTTAGAGCTTCCTTATATTTATCTTTCAAATTGGAATAATAGGCAGAAGTTTTGTCTGTATCATCTGCGTATAGATTGGTGAATTTGTGCGTTAAACTCTTTTTACTTTCTGCCATATATTCGTCAAGTGTCTGTTTTTCATGTTCTTTATATATTTTATTGTCTCTATATTTATACTTATTTTTTCTTTTTTCATTATTGAATTTATCATCTTTTGTGATTTCTTCTTCACTAAGACTGTGGCGCATTTTCATTTTATTTTTCTCAGTTACCACTCTTTGCATAACTTTGTCTAGTTTTTTATATTTCCATTCATCACATTTTTCTTTTTTCTTAAAATGAAAATAATCTTCATCATTTATATTTTCAGTGTGCGCATTCTTTGGTATATTCACGGGTTTATTTGTCCCTAACTGCTGAATCATAAACTGGGGTACTATATTGTAGCCATTGGGAACTGCTGAATACTGTCTAAAAAAGTATTGTAAAAAGAGAAGAAAAGAAAATTGGATATTTTGCTTACTTTTAAAAAGTTGATTTGTTGATTAATGGTATCACTTTTGATCATGGTATTATTTATTTTTTTTATTTTATTTTATCTATTTTTTTTTTTTTTTTTCTTCACTTCACTGTGTTCATTAAAAAGTGAAGTAGTTCACGTGGAACTTCACCTTACATATGCTCATAAACCGTGTATGCGTCCAATTTGTTACAGCACACAATGTAGGGTGCACATATGTATACATATATGTATACATATATTTATACGTTTATTTATACATATATTTATACATATATTTATACGTTTATTTATACATATATTTATACATATATTTATACGTTTATTTATACATATATTTATACACATATTTATACATATTCCGATGTATTACCTTAAGTGTTGGTGATCCCTCGTACCCAACTGCTCTTTACGAGTCGACATTTTTTCATAACTGCATTCGATCGAGTCTAAATTCGTTTTACCCTTTGGATTTTTAAAAATAACTTCTGCAAAACGGGGAAAGAAATGGATAAAAAAAAGAGCGGGTGGGAATACAGACTATATGTATGTCAAAAATTACAAAAAAAAATAAAAAAATAATAAAATTATAATTTTTAATGTTGAACACTTGGTTTTTTCTGCATAAATAGGATTTACTAAAATTTAGTTTTCGTAGGATTATTAGTTATAGAGTAGTTTAAATACATTTATAACTCAAGGCGATGTTTTCTATTACACTATTTAAAGTTAAAGTATGCATATATACTTTTGAGGAGGTATATCTGATAAATGTAAATTTTTTTTAGGAAATCATTTAACCCTTGTCTAGAATCAAACATTTTTTCACAATTGAAAGTAACATTTTTAATATGATTAGACAGAATTGAGACTGCTGTTTCGATTTTTGGATACTTGGTTTTTATTCGTCTTAAATACTTCATAATTTTAATTATTTTTTCGTATTTATTTAGTATTTCATCTTCTGTTTTTTTGTAACTAATGCTTCTATCGATTTTATGAAATTTCAAACTCGTAAAGGTAGATTCATCAGGGGTGCTTAAGGGGAACCTAATTTGTGATTTCTCTCTCTGTATGATGATATGAACGGAGAACAGAAAGAGTGGGAAGTGCGGATGAATGGAAAAAGAACAGAAAACAAGGAAAAAAATATATAAAACAAGAGAGAGAAAAATTTGGTTTTATATTTGACATTCGTTGATGAGAAGTTTTCGACAACATTTCTGCTTCCATGGAATTTTCCATAATTTTTTCCACTTTTTGTCTACACTAAAACTATCGTTGGAACTAGTTTTTCTAACCAAGTAACAAGGAGAATCACCTTTTTCCCTGTATCCTGTGCTTCGTTCACAATTTTGTTCATCATTGGAGATCCTAATATAAGAGTCAGGTGTATTGGATGCAGCAGGAGTGTTCGCGCACCAATGGTCAAAGGAAAAATTTTCTTTTTCCTTTTTACTCTGTTCACTGATTCCCCTAGGAGATATAATTTTATGAAATAAATTTTGCTCATTTTCCAAAATGTTATTATCATATGTAATTCTTTGGGAAAAGTTCATATAACTCGTCTTTTCATTTTTTGACGCATTTGTAGAAACATTTGAACAATAACTATTACTTGAATCGGATGATGTATTTCCTACATCACTGTAATTGTTTTTTGGATAAAAATATTTTTCTTCTTCTCCACCCATTTGGATACTTTCATTTTTTCTTACATTCATTGAATCATGAACAGAATCATGAACAAAAGGTGGGATATCATCCGTTGCGTGCACAGAGTGGTACCCATCGTTATAGTAATAATGCTTCCTATTTTTTAAGTGATCATTATTTGTTTTGTTTCTTTGTTGATGATTCTTATTTTTTGAATTATTCACGTATAAGCACCTTTTTATGTTGTCTTTATGCGCTAATATTTCTTCTAAATTATAATTAATTTCCAAGTTCAGGTCTACATAATTTTTTTTTTCATTGCAACACTTCACCAAAATATCATAATTGACACAGTAAGGGAGATCTCTACCTTTTTCATTTTTATGCAAGGATTTTTTCTTTTTTTCTTCATCACAATTTGTTGGCACTTTTGCATGTGTATCTCTTTCGTACATTTTTTTTTTTTTTTTTTTTTACATTTGGCAAAAATGGACATGTGGGGATATGTTACACGACATGCAGCATTTCTGTATTCTACCGAAAATGGATCAAGAATAAACGAGTCTTAAAAAGTTCACGAACTTTTGAGAATTTTACAAAATTTTGCATTCTACGAACGCAGCAACTTATTGCTAATTTGAGGAAATACTGAAGCTTGCTGGTAATTTTGTGCATTTTGTGAATTTTTTTTTTTTTTCATTACATTTTTAGTGTCCTCATTTGTAAATGCATTCACATGTAAGAATGTCATCTGTGCGTACGTATATTCTTACCCCCTTGAGTTGGCAATGGATAAAAATAAAAAAAAAATAAAATAAAAAAAAAGACAAAATATTACACAAACGAATATAATATTTTAGGAAAACTTCACAAGGAGGAGTATATATAAAATAAGTACTTTCCTGCATTTATATAACATCTTTATACTTTATTACTACGTTTGCACGTTTTTCTCATTTTCGCTACTTCATTATTTTTTACCTACATAATTTATTTCCCATGGTAAGCAAACATTGGGTTGGATCTCCCAAATTGCTGCCTTATCCTTCTGCGAATGAAGTTCAAAAAAAGGCATGTATCCAGACATGATGATGAAACATTTTGTGAAAATCACGCAAAAGTGAAGAATCTTTAAAAAAATGCGTAGCTTTTGCGAAAGACACAGCTGTTTTATCTCACTTTATCATTTTACCGTTTTGTCAATTATAATTTTGTCACTTATAATTTTGTCACTCATGATTTTGTCACTCATAATTTTGTAACTCATAATTTTGTCACTTATAATTTTGTCACTTATAATTTTATCACTTATAATTTTGTCATTTTTTTTTTTTTTTTTTTTTTTATTTCGCCCGTTCGTTTCCCCTACTGTCCTCTTTCCCCAACACGAAGACGCACATTACACCGACTTCCTGGTAAATTGTAAAGAATTTCATATTTGGCAATATCATGTTCCGTTTAAAAAGGATTTTTTGATAATTTAATAAACATCTTAAGTCAACGTGAACGTTTCACAAAAAAAAAGGGGAAAAAATAAAACAACAATAAGTGTATGTATATGGGCCCGGAATGTTGCAGAACGGAAGTACATGTATACATATGTATATATATGCATACACATATGTATCCGTGTATGTTTACTTAAATGGATTTGGACATGACTAGCACAGATAGGATTGCATATGTAAATACATATGTGGGCACACGAGATGAAGTCTCCACGTCGAACGTCTACGAACACATACACACACACACACAAGTGAATATATCTATGTACATATGAATGTATGTGTATATGTATGTTCTTGTTTATAGGAACATGCTTATATGCACCTGTTTATGGGCACATGTTTACAGATCCTCCGTTTGGCAATCCCTTTTGTCTCCCGTTCGACGCAGTGTTGACAAAAAAAAAAAAAAAAACAAACAAACAAAAGCATCATAATTTATTTAACTTTTTCAATGCTACATTTTTTTTTTTACTTTCTTCGAGTCTCTTGCTAATTTCATTTAACTCTTCCTCAGTTGGAGGTTTGACTTTTCTCTTCTTTGGGTTTTTTTTGGCATATTCCATTTCGATGCTAGATAATAAAGAATTAATTTTTAACGTCCTTTTTGCTTCATTATTTCGAATAGCCAAAACTAAATCGTCAATAGGTGGTGGTTCGCTTTTTCGTTTCTTACTTATTTTGGAATCCTTTTTTACTATACTCTTATATTTCTTAATGATGTTATTGATGTTTTTTAATGATTTGTCATAATCAGATGTTTTCTTAACTTCTTTCAATTTAAATAATTTCTCAAACATACTGATATACCTTTCCAGATCCGATTCTTCACTAAACGGTATATATTCTAAAATATGAGTAAGGTTACCATTGAATTTGTTGTAAAATTGAATTAAATCTTCTTTTTCATCTTGGCTATTTTTATATTTCTTCTCATAATTTAATATGTCTTCTACTTTAATTCTTGAATGAAATAATTTAGGATCTAAATAATTTTTAAATTCGCTAAATTCATCATCTTCGAGACCAAACTCATCATAGTTTTTTCTTCTTTCAGGATCTCTTAATATTTCATATGCCTTTTGAATTTGCAAAAACATTTCTTTGCATTTTTCCAAACTTAAAGGTTCATCAGTCTCCTTTCCTTTCTCATCCTCGCCTAACTTTTCTTCTTTCTTTTCTGCATCCCCATTACGTACTTTCCCTTTGTTGGACGCAAATTTGTCTGGGTGATATGTTAGGGCTAATATTCTGTACGCTCTTGCTATTTCTTTTATGCTTGCATTTTTATCAATTCCTAAGATTTCATAAAGGTTCAAATTTTTGTCATTTTTCATTTTTCCTTTGTACCAAGGTGTGCGCGTGAGGGTGTCAGTGAGTATATTCAATGGTGTGTTAGAGAGTGTGTATGTCAGAATGAATTCCTTTTAAAATGTTTCACTTTAAAAAAAAAAAAAAAAAATGGATTAAAAAGACGAAGAAGTAGGGGGTGAGTTGCAGCAAAATGAAAAAACAAAGATGACAAAAAGAATTAATATCACGGGAATAATGTGTGACGTTGCTGCAGGACGGTGTGAAGGTCTGTTAAATTTTAAATAGATTTTTCTTTTTTTTCATGCTCGGAAATAGTGCCGCTAGTGTTGCGTTAACGTGAATATATTATCAGGTACATATTTTCCTACATATACATTTAAGGTGAAAATATCCCTTTTGCATATATTTGCAAAAACACACGTGATGACTATGTGCTATGGGATTGCTAACATGTTCTACTTTCTTTAATGATAAACAAATGTTCCAAATGTGTATATGCTTTATTATTCGCTCAGCGGGTAATATGAAAGTGCTTATTCTCGTTTATATGTACACACATGCATGCACATGTACATGCTTGCGTGCTTATAAAAATCCCAGTTTTAATTAAAACGTGAGGTCTTAAATTTTGTGAAAAAACACACTAGTAAATTTCTCTTCTCGACTTTGTTCAACTGCTTCGATGTGTTATTTACCTCTTCGTTTACACATTTATTTGTATACTTAATCTCTTTTTTTTTTTTTTTTTTTTTTTCTCCTTGTGTACAGCATAATATACCATTCCAAGGTGCAAAGGAAGAGCATCAGGCGTGTGTACCTTTTATTTTACAGTACTTTATTATCACACGTGTGAATATATATATATGTGTACACATGCATATGCGGTACAAAAATAAATTCAAGTGTTTGTAAATTCAGGTGTTGACAAATTTACGTGTTTACAAATTTACGTGTTTACAAATTTATGTGTTTCCAAATTTACGTGTTTCCAAATTTACGTGTTTCCAAATTTACGTGTTTCCAAATTCACATGTTTGCGAATTCACGAGTTGTTCACACTTCCGAAAGGGATAATCAAGTGACGAAGATATGGCTAGCTTTTAAAAGCATTTGCTGATGACAAAAAAAATTATTTGGACCCATTTATATTAAAGCACCAATATATTTTTACATATGACCTATATTTCAATGAATGTTAAGCTCATTCATCGAAAAAAGTATGTATACAGTCTCTGTTTCTTTCTGCTGAAGTTCAGTTGCATGTGTTCGTCTGCTACTTTTGGTTATTTACTCCCAAGCTTTTTTTTTTTTTTTTTTTTTTTTTTTGCTTTTTTTTAGTATACCACAGTGCGTTCCCGTTCCTTACTGATCTTGTTATTTCTCCATTAAAAATGTGACTGAAAAGTCGCACCTTATTAAGCTATGTATTTGGTTTGATTTCAGTCTCTGTTTTTTTTTGCTTAAGTTTAGTTGTATGTTTTTTTTTTGTTTTTTTTGTTATTTTCTCCCAAGCTTTTTTTTTTTTTTTTTTTTTTTTTTTTTCTGTTTTTGTTTTAGTATTCTTTAGTAAAAATTTTCTTATAAATTGGATTTCAAAATCATTTTAAAACTTTTTTTTTTTTTTTTTTTTTTTTTTTTTTTTTTTTTTTTTTTTTTTTTTTTTTTTTTTTTTTTACAAAAATGGTATTCTGTTTTACTGTATTCATATAAAAACTGAATCAAGATGGGGGTTGTTATCTAATAAGCCTCTGTCATCATATCTGTTTTTTCCTTTTAGTAGTATAACATATATGTACACAATTTATTTTGTGTAATAATATATTCATGTGATATTAACAGTAGACTTGTAAACGTATGCACACTTTTATCTTGAATTTTTTTGTGAAATTTTAAAGCAACGTGCAAAAGGCACATTTTGAAAATGTGTAAACATAACAAGTTTACTTAATTGTTCAGGAAAAAAGAAAAAAAAAAATTAAAAGTTAAACAAAGGTGCAATTTTTTTTTTCCCCCGATATAAGTAAACTTTCATAAAATAATACACCTCTCTTATACAGACAATTTTTTCTCCTTTTTTGAAAAAATAAAATAAGAATTCATCCATTCTTCATTAAGTAAAATTGGAGAAAACATAAAGGACAGGCTGATAAGCAAATGCCCAGAATAATGCAAATTGTCAAAAGTAGAACAAAAATGTATACCCTAAAAAAAAAGGCATGAAACAGGAAAAAAAAAAAATAATTAAGCATAGGGGTAAAAGAAAAACAAATCCCAATTTACGATCTACACAAAACATGTTAAAAAGGGTTTTCACAAATTGGATACCCATTGTGGTATAATATATATATGTATATATACGTATGTATGTATGTATGCACATATGTGTACACGTTACAAATTAAGCCGAAAGCAAAAACATGTAGAAACGCAAAGATAAACAAATATAACCATGTAATTTTTCTCCGTTCATAATATACACAGTAAATATTCTCTTTATTGCCTGTTTTTTTTTTTTTTTTTCTTTTTTTATAATGCATATTCTATAGCACAAATTATTCTTCGCAATTTTTTCATTTGAAAAAAAGAAAATAATAAAAACAACACAATGTAACAATGATATAAAAGCGTGTTCCACAGTATGAGGAAAGCAAATACACCAAATGGTCATAATCATAAAGATAAAATAAAAAAAAAAAAAAATATATATAGTTAGACAATTTTCAAATTGTATATCTCTTTATGTTTTAGGTCTCAAAGGACATATTCATTTACCCATAGTACGTGTGCTTATGTATATGCACATTTTTATACCCTTTTATGCACAGTATTAAAAAAAAAAAAAAAAAAAAAAAAAAACATCTACTAATTAGCACATGAACATGTAAAAATATATATATATTTTTTTTTTCCTATGTAAAGTCTGCTTAAATTGTGAAGAATTAAACTGACGATAGGAAGAAATTTTTTTGCCGGAAAAAAACTTTTAAAAAAGCAGTTATTTTTGCTTTGCACTATATGCAAACCATGGGTGGGAGAAAAAAATTGGGTTTACTTTGATCTTTTTTTTTTTTCTTTTTTTTTTTTTTTTTTTTTTCTTCATATTATCCTAATACGCTTAGAAAGGAAAAATAAAATGGTTGAATGACTAAAATTGCTGAATACTCGAATAGCTTAATAGCTGACTCACTGACTTAATGGTTTAATGGTTGAAATGAGAAATAACTTAATAAACTACCCTCTTACCCTACACATTCACGTTATACACTTTGGCTGGTATGCCTCTCTCGTTACACATAAAAGTACTTGCTGCTTATATGAAAGGATACACATAAACAAAAATGTGTAATATAACTTGAACCTTTTAAAAGAAAAAAAATGCATGACAATAATTTTTTGGAAGATTTACATGACATTAATTTTGAGGATTTTTTAAAACATTTTATTTTCCTTACGAATGAAAAAAGCACATTAAGAGGAAGTAACTGTGAAGGGGAAAAAACGGAGACAATTCAATATGTCGAATCTAAAGAAGAGGAGTCAAATGGATGGAATATTCTCTTGTTGTCCTTAGCTAATGATATTATAAATAATGAAACGAATAAATATTTTTACCGAAGGATTTATTGGCCTCTGCTACTGGGAGTTTACAATTCCGTGAATAATTTGAACGAACTAATAAATGATATTCAGAAAAAAAGAAATATATACAAACGGGATAAGGATGAATATATAACAAAACAAACGAATTTAAATATTCAAAAATTAGACCCACAGATCTTTCATCCTCTATCATCGGATGATAAAAATCCATGGACATTAAAACAGAAAAATCAAGAGTTAAATGAAGAAATAAAGCAAGACATTTTGAGAACACATTCAGAAAAAAGGATTTTTCAAAATGAAACAGTAAGGGATACATTATGTAAAATACTTTTTCTGTGGGCTAAGAAAAATCCGTCTATATCATATAAACAAGGAATGAACGAATTATTAGCCATTTTTTTCATTGTTAATTATCGTGAACAAGTTACCAGTAATCTTCTTAATTTGAAAAATGATAAATATTATAAACAGTATTGCATACTATTTGATAATAATGAAATCGAATCAGATACATATATCATATTTGACCATTTTATGAATATGGGTTTAAAATATTTATTTACTTCTCCGGAAGAAGAAAAAAAAATTCAACCATCAAAAAATTCATCCAAAACTGTGTTATTACACAAGTGTACATATATATTTCATAAATTACTGAAAAATTTGGATAAATTAATGTATAATCATTTGATATCCCTCAGCATTGAACCACAAATTTTTTTGCTTAGATGGATTCGTCTCTTTTATTGCAGAGAATTTCAGATTGGTGATACGGTTATTTTATGGGACAATTTTTTTTCAGGTTCATTTTGCAGATAATAACAGGAATGCTTGTGGCAATTTTCTTATTTCCACTGCTCTTGCAATCGTGATTGATGTGTATCAATCAACCAAAATTCATTCACACGCTTATTTCATTTTTTATTTTCATTTTGTTATTCCCTCCGTGTAGACAAAATACAGGACACACCTACGTATAAGCATTTTTTTTTTTTTTTATTTCAGATTGCTACTTAAAAAACTGGAAAAATGGCTTCATTTCTGAATTTACGGGTGATACTATAGAAGTTGCCCATACAATATCGGATGTATTCCCCATGGTAGATTATTTTGCCATATCGATGATCTTATTTATCAGATCTTTCTTACTAGAAAATGATGAAAATTATTGTTTAAAGAGACTATTTAAATACCCACCTGTTGAAAATATAAGGATATTAATTGATTTATCCTTCAAAATTAAAGCCAAAAGTGAGAAAAAAGAAAATTGTATAAAAAGGGATAACCTACCAGTTTCTAATCATGTCAATAATGTTAACACTGTAAGTATGAGCAATGTAAGCACGAATGTGAATTTGAATGTAAGTAACAGCCTAATCGCGTTTCATGTGAAGAATGGGTCAAAATATTGTGGTAACAGCAACATTACTAGTGAATACATAGAAAGAAATAGATACACATCTAACGTCAACACTCTTAAAATAAATAAAGAAGCCAAAAATTTAAGCTCACCTATGACGTTATCCTGCATTAATAATAAACTAAATAAGGTTATTGACAACTTAAATAATTTATCTTTTAGTATGGGGAATGAAATTCATCGTGTGGAACTTCAGCAAAATGTACTTCATTTACATGAAATATTCCGAGAATTGAAAAATATGGAACATAATTATGAAGAATCTAAAAATGAAGACATGGAAATCAACAGGAAGAAGGAAATCCCCCAGATATATTTTGGCTAAGTAGTTTATATATGCCGAAGAAAACTCAAATATTCATGGAAGTACGAAGAAGATAGAGATTGTTCCTTTTTTTATTTTTTTTATTTTTTTTTTTTTTTTGTTTGCTTCATCTTTTTAATTAGGCTCAAGCTTGTATTACATGTGTATGTGTGTATATCTATGAATATGCTTACGTGTACTCTTATATCTAATCGTATATGTATACGTTTATCACATTTCTCTTTCATGAGTCATTAATTTCTCCTCATTCACAGCTCTTACGACATGAATTTATCGTTCTACCTTTTTTCCCCCACCCCTTTTCCTTCATTTCATTTTTTTTTTATCGTTTATTTTTCTATTTTAATAAAACTTTAATTGCTTTAGGTTTGAAATTTTAAAAGTGTGAAAAGGATAATCTTTACAAATTCAGTAACCTAGAGACTTTATAAGCACCTAGTTTGTAGCAAAATTTCCCATTTTTTACATTTTTTCTTTCCACCCATCTCCCCTCACCCCAAATGATCGTAATACATGTTAACAGGTTAAATACAATAAATAGATTTACAATACAGAGGATATACAGATTTGAAGAACAAGTACATCACATCTCATATTTAATATATATCGCATACTTGTACCAACCTTGCCTACGCGCAAGTGTCTTGTTGCACGTTCAATATACACAGTATACAGATTGTGTTGGAAAAGACATAAAATAAATTTCAAGTATGCTGAGATATTTTTCAGCAAATATCAACTGTTTGTACTATGCATATGTTCCTCTTTTAGCTTATTTATTTTTTACAAAACTTTATACGTTACTCATGTGTTTTGCCGGATGAGCTAAGTTGATGTTATTGTTTAGTTTTATAGTTTTATAGTTGTGTAATTGTTTAGCTGTTTAGCTGTTTAATTGTATAGTTGTTTAGTTTTTTTTTTTTTTTTTTTTTTTTTTTTTTTTTTTTTTTTTTTTGTTTTCGATTGCACAAGTTTATCAACGCGAATTTTCTTCAAAAGCGGAAAAAAAAAAAAAAGACATACACTGTACATGTAAAACCCCGTTCTAGTCGTTGATAAAGAAACCATAAAAGAAACATGGACACATTGATATCCAAAATGAAGGATGTAGAACCTGATAACATCTTAAAAAGTACCGTAGAGTACAATAATGACAAATCAGAGGTAAAAGTAAATTTATCTATAGGAGTTTGTTGCAATGAAAATGGCACATTGCATATATTTAAAAGAGTGTTGGAAGC